TGGAAAGTTTGCCAAGTTGACCGATTGCCAAGAAGCTCAAATTCCACCGGCGCAGAGTTTTAATGACATCAATGCTGTGTAATGCAGGTTGTCATGAGCGTTTGCCATGATGTAATGTAAGTCTGGCAAAAACACCTGAACAAAGTATTTACGGTGTTAGTGATAAAGCATTCAAAAGACATCACAAGAGACCAAAAAGAGGTAAGCGGGAAAATATTGCCAAGAAAGAAGGAGGAGTATCAGATGGAAGAAATATCTTATCACCTTTTAAGTAATCACTGTCTCTTTCTCCTCACTTGCTTCCTCCACATCTGACAAATTTGTTACAATAAACCAAACAGTTTATAGCAGATTAAAGAATACATGTCAACGTTCTTAGGAACCCCAACTAGCAGCACAGGTCCTCCGGCTTACCATAAACATCCAAACCAAACAGAAATAGCTCTCCGGCTCCCCTCACTCTCACTTTGCCAAGATGCTTTCAGTGCCAGGGAGTGGAAAAATGTTGTGTGAAGCCGTACAGGGAAAGTGAGTAAGACAGGCAGCATCTTACTTAGACACAATACTGCAAAGCGTGTCACACATTTGCTGCCCCCCCCCCCCTTCCCCGAAAGCAACATTTACCCACTCTGGACAGCTGACAGATCAGGATATCAGGGACAGGTTACAGAAAGGGCTGGCTCAAATAGCAGGTGGAACGATCAAAAGCATTTCTGTGGTCAAATCAAATGCAGATGTGCAATCATAACCAAGATAGATAAATGCATAGAATCCCGATTCCCCCAGCGTGCACGTGTACAGACATGCAGCTTTGCCCAGAGCCTCAAGTTACATCCTTGGGGAGGCTATGGAGAACATTATGGATTTCAAATTTTGTTTGAAAGTACAACATGAGCACGGGAGTTTCAAAACATCAGTATGTGTGTTTCCTGTTTTGACTGTGAGCTCAGAATGTTGTGCCCCTGGTATGTAACAAAAATTTATTGAGGTATGAGATTTTGACAAACTCAGGACAACTTTGTGGGATCGGGACCAACTGAAAGTGCCATAGTAACCGACAAGTGCTATAATGCGATAAAACCAGTGAATGCAGATATGAATGCTTTGCAGGTGAACAAGTTATCAGACCCAGACTAAAATGAGGGGGAGGCACCCAAATAATTTATTGGAGAAACAGGCATTTATCCATGGAGCTACAACGATAAGCATCCTATGACCTTAGAAGGTGGTATGTGTCAGTGAGCATGTGGCTCTGGATAAACTAGGTTGGAACAAGCCTGATGATTGATTGGACACTTTTAAAAGTTTAAAGATAATATGCCGATTAGATGTTTTAACTCCCTCTATAAAACACTATGGGATGTGAGATAAATGGCGTCCCGTTCATCCTCCCATTTCCTCAAGTTACCTAGGCCGTCTCCTCTGCGTTACTTTGAAAATCATCCTATTTGAGCTTCTCTCCACATCCACTTTCTGTAAAACAAACATCACCACAAACCACCAACTACCCAACTTCAATATGCCTCTGGTTAGGGCTGTCAGTTCTGAGGAAGACGCTGAAAGTCCCTATGAAGAGAAAACCAGAGGACACACAGAGGGCTGAAAATATACTCTCAGCCAGGCCTGAGTAATAAGGAATAGCGGACAGCTGAGGTAATCTTGTATGGCTGTGGCTTTTGGGGGAGGAAAAAGACAGGGAGCAGAGCTGTTGTATAGAATGAGCTGTCCACTGTAATGGCTGATCGGAGACAAGCTGACTGATAAGGATCATCTGCAACATGTAGAAGAGCACATCAACATGGGGTGAATAAAATGTATAGGGAATATATTTAAAATTAGGAAGGGCTGTTCTGGCAAAACAGCTGCGAGAGGTAATCTGCTGCGTTAACGTAAAAGATGCTGAAGAAAGTGGAAAAGTAGCAGAAATCAGCTAAAGAACACATTAAAATGTGACAGGAAATAATATGAAACTTGAAGAACAATAACTAAATTGAAAAAATCCCAAACTAAAATAAAATGATAGAACATATTCTAGACCAAAAACTGGAAAAAAAAATGTATACTGAAACAAGTCAAAGTAAACTAAATAAACAGAATAAAAAAAAATAAGTTGTACAACTTCAGTCATTTGTATGTTAATTAATGCTTAGTATTATTCCAAAGTTAGCAATTCAAAAACCTCTGACTTCTCTGTTCTCCTCCATATATTTAGCCTGAAAGTTTACATTGCTGTCTGTGGAGAGTTGGAGAGTTTTGCTGACTATGAAAGTTTCTGCTCAAATTCTAAAATTTGTTGAAGGATGTGAAACAAAGCTCATGACCGTCCCTTTTCTGCAAGCTTACCTCTTCCCATGGGGATGTGTTTAAAAATCTGGAGGAAGCAAAAATATGTCACGTTTTGTCATACCTGTCATATTTTAAAAACTGTTAAATATTTTGAAGAGCTGAGACAAAAGATAATAACTGAAGGTGAATGGTGCTTCTAGCTGAAATAATGCTGAAGTAGTGTGAGGTTGAGGTCCAAGTTTTTGAATGATTCTTTATTGAGTTTGCTGAAAAAACAAAACAAAAAGTTTAACATTTCAAGAATAAGATTGAAAAGATAAACACCAAAAGAAATGTCCTAAATAAGGTGAAGTTCATCATAGATCACTCAAACAGGAACACTTTCATTAGAATGCTGTCTGGCATGCTCTAAAATATGTCTTGTTTATTACACTGGGCTTACGCATTATTAATCAGTGAGTGTTGGTAATTTTTATAAGGAAGAAAGGCAAACTCAGCAGACAAGTAATTAGTCTGCTGGGGGGGGGGGGGGGGGAAAAAAATCTTAAGCGTCTTAAAGTCACCATCACATCTTGAGCTTGGACTAAAATTGTAATACTAAGATTTATGAGAGTGAGGCAGGATTGAACTCCATGTTTCAAAGGGTGTTGAAAGGAGAGGATCGAAGAGGGAATTCAAATAGCTGAACACTGAACCAGTTAGCAAATGAGGCTTTGCAATTTTATAGGAAGATAAACGTTTTTCCATGATTATAAACAAGTTAAGCTGATTAGGATTTAAATTAAAAGACATGAAATAATTGCCTCAGCAGCCTGCACAGTCTGTGACCTTGGATGAAAAACAGCCAACTTAGATGAGGTGAAGTGCAAGCTCATTTTCCAGTTTAATGCAAATCACAGTTGAAATAAATACAGCAGCACTATGCAAACATTTCGATGCGGTTTTTAGAAAAGGTTTCCTCTTTGTATTATACAGTAAAGGCAAACTAAAAAAAAAAGAAACCTTTAAATATATCCAGGGCAATTTGTATGTTCCTCAATCTCAGTGAATGGATTTGTTTTTTCACGTTCTCACTATTCCAAAACCAAAATAATCAAAACATAGGTAAAATAAACTAAACAGGAAAAAAATAACAAAGAAAATGTACAGTGAACAAAATGTTTCCATGTGGGACTTTTCCCTGCGGACAGGGAGTAGTAACATTGAATACAGAATTGCAACAAAAACCAGTGTTGGACTGAAGAAGGTTTCAATGCAAGTATTGGATTGTAGCCCGTACATGTCAACTGACCTATGGGGTTGTTGCAACATTTTCTGCTTTCTCCAAAATGCCTGTCCATCTGCCTCATGCCTTGGCTCCACAGAACACTCTGAGGGGACAGAGCAGCGGCTCAGGGAGCGAACAGAGAGGTGATGAGGGGAGTCTGTTGCTCATAACTGTGAGGAAAAACTATTGGAGGTACTGTGAAGTAAACAAGTGTTATATAAACTGTTTCGAAAAAGCTGCTCTGTAGTAGAGAAGCTCTTAAAGACAGGACATTTTTTAAAACTTTGTGATTGTGAGTGAAAGAGAGTGAAGCCATTTGTGAGCCAGTCTAATATCTCTGTTGAGTAAATAATGAGCAGGGCGTGAAAGACAGTGAATTGGCGCTTGTACACAGTGATTCGTTTGACATTTCACACACTGCATGATTGTGCCTGATTGCTGATTCCCCAAGTCAACAAAATCTAAAAATGAGCCGGCCTCATCTCTAAGGATTTTCTGCTCGGTATGTAAGACGGCACAAACAGAGGGAACAGCCTGCCTCTTTCCCACAGAGTTGACCAGATGATGAATTGGCCAGCATCATTACATTCAGATGTTACTCTACCATCTGCGGGCTCCATCACAGAAAAGATGTGGACTGTGATTATTTGCACAACATATGTGTGCGAGTGCTGAGCAACGTCCCGTAATTACATCCATTTGCTGGCCACTTTATCTCTCTGGTCAGAGCTCAGTAATCAATGGTTTTCCCAGGTGAAACTGTGATTAATGGTTTGGTTTGATGAAAAAAGAGAGATCATTTCAACAAAGTTTCAAATTTATCTTAGAAGTGTGTGGTCTGAGGCCAAGTGCTTGATTCCTACAAAATAAAAAAAAGCAATTATCTTAATGTCCTTCCTTAATTATGTGGAGCACTTTTCCTGCCAGAGGTTCTTGTCTTTAGTAATGTACCGATCCACTACCCCCCTCCAAATGCTACAGAAACAGTGATTCTGTACACATAGTGTGCTGTTTTTACCTGTCAGACACCAAATAACAGAGCTCTTATTTCTGGATGTCATGACATATAAGTTGACTACTACAGTGGTGTTGCCACCTAGTGGTGAAATGCAGCATATCATGCAAATAATACAGATAAAATGCAGCATGACATTTAAAAAGAAGCAACAGGTTCAATGAGCTTCTTTGCACTTTGAATTAAACATCAGCCTTTAAAGAATATAACTTCTGAAGTTTGTGAAGTACATTAAAATAAATGTTGTGCACTCCCATGGACTGCATCCTTATGTCATTATCCATTTAGCAAGCCTTGCTTCCAACAACCCAATTCCAAAACACTATTGAAGCTTAGTAAAATACACCACAATTGACAAATCTAAAAAAAAAAAAATCAATCTCACATTTAGCATAGTGTAAAGTATTTTTGGGGGAAATGCACATATCTATCTAATATGTATTTAAAGGTTTTGGAACTGAGCTAAAGGATGAGTCAAACAGAAATCTCTTCCAAAGATGATTATATATTAAGGTTCCTTTATTGACAGTATGTTAAAGCATAACTTAGCCATCCACAAATATGATGCATTATCATTTCAGGCTTTAAGAGTGCTTGTCTAGTTAGGTTCAAATACAACTACATAAACTTGCAAAATAATCCACTTTGCTAAGAAGATAAATCTGGCACGGGCAGAAAAGTTTACCTTTCACAGCAAATCCTCAATGTACTCGTTTTCTGATGATGCAGTATAAATGGAAAGAGTGATATCAGCATTTTCAATTTATAGTTCAGGTAACAGCAACATAAAGAACACATCAGTACGTAATGGGCAACTTGATCTGACAACCCAAAAAAAAACATTAAGACCTTTAATGCACACTGTACACTTTGGTTGATTAACAATGCCGCAACATCACATAAATGTGGAAAAAAAACTTTTTTACACAAGAGTGGAAAAGGTACACTTTAAATCACTGCTCATCCTGTGGGTGACAACAGCGTACAAGAAGCCTTTACTCAAGTTTGGATGAAATGTGAGGTCCCAGTTTCTAAAGAAAGGATTAAGCTTTTAAGTGAGCCTCCAGTAATAAAATGGAACCGTACAGTAGAATTTGTCATTAAATGGGAGTGATGCTGGAATGAGATGAACCACTTATGTTGAAAAAAGTGCCCACTAAAGCTCATTAACACATGTGAAAAAGACAAGTGTGGATAACATTTAGTTTCAGTCAGTAATCTGTTTGGAAGAGTGGAGGCAGAAATGCTTGGACGTCTTTTCTCAGAGTATGCACCTACTCCAAGTACAAACCCTCGTGCAAACTCAAACTACTGATGAGTAAGTGGATTGAGATTACACTATGTCCAAAGAGGGGGCTTAGAGGTCTGTGGTAAGCTGCCCTTTACTCTGGATGATCCTCATGATGGACTGGACCACCTCTGAAGTGGTGCCTTGACCCCCAAGATCAGCAGTGTGCAACTGCAACAAGAAGGTCATGATACCATTAAACAACAACGAGATGGAAAGATGGTGAACGTAATTTGAGCATTGAGTTTCCAGTCACAGCGGTGTTGGTTGGAAAAAAACACGGAAATAAAACCATTTAGAAAAAAAATACAAAAAACTGCCTTGTACTCTTGTTACACACATTTATGGTCTATTGTCTCCATTACAGGCAAAGGGAAGAGCTAGATAAGTGCAGAGGACTCACCCTGGTTTCATTCATTGTGGTGAGGACTGCATTCCTGATCAAGTTGGCATAGTCATAAAGTCTGAAAATATACATGATATACAAATCCTTCAAATACAAGTAACACAGTAACACAATTTTACACCAGATAAAAATATGGAAGGAAAATCTGACGTGGTGCAAGGTGCAAGCTTACTTAAGGTGGTCTAGCATCATGCAGCTGGCTAGCAGCATGGCAGTAGGGTTGGCTATGTTTTTGCCTGCAATACTTTTTCCTGTGTTTCTTGTGGCCTGTGGGCAAGAAAAAAAAGACAGAGCTCCGTGTTATAGGACAACAGACAAAGGTCCCAGGTTGTCCCATCCTTCAAAACATCAGCCTGCACATTTCCTAGCACTTACCGTTTCAAATACAGCATAGACGTGACCATAATTGGCTCCAGGCACAAGGCCGGGCCCTCCCACCAGGCCAGCACACACGTTGCTGACAACGTTTCCATACAGATTAGGCATCACCATCACATCGAATTGCTGAGGCTTGGACACAAGCTTAATAAAAACAAAACACAAGAACTGGTGGGTGAATATTGTATAACCTGGGTACATGCATCTCTGATAGATTAAGATGTTCGTCTGTAACCTGCATGGTGGTGTTGTCCACAATCATGCTATCAAATGTGATGTCTGGATATCCGGAGGCCACTTCTTTGCAACACTGCAGAAACAAGCCATCACCGAGCTTCCTGCGGACGCACGAATGTTGATACTCAATATTACTACCAGGAAAACCCATCACATTATTTATGAATGCGAGGGCTGTACTCAGAGAAGAGAGCACTGACCACGGATACACTTACATGATGTTGGCCTTATGCACAGCAGTGACCTTGCGGCGACCTTTCTCTCTGGCCAACTGGAAAGCATACTCTGCGATCCTGAGAGAATTGTTCCTGGTGATGATCTTTAGACTCTCTACCACCCCTGATACACTCTAAAACAGGACAAAGATGAGAATTGAAAAAAACAAAACAAATAAAAAACAACTTAACTTCAATAAGAACTGAAAATCACAGAGACTGAAAATGTCACTCTTTTGTGTCTTGTTTTTAAACTCACACTGAAGGACTGCCACTGAACTGAGCCATTTGTCAACTTTACCTTTTATTTAAAAATTTAAAGCAGTTTTTTGTTCAACTTCGGGAAGGTGAAATTTATATTCAGTTTGTGTCTATTGGAAAAAGTATTTTCCACCGAGAAAGCCAAATGAAACACTGTATGTTGAACAATGTGTTTCTATCCAGTAACTTCCTCTTCTTCAAACACTGCCTTATCTCCACTGCTCCATCTTGATGCTCTCACCACTTTTCGAAAAGGGAAGCAATCATATTGCAACTAAAATCTAATTCTTTTAATTTTTTATGTTATATATCCATATTTATATGTACATAGATTCTAACCCTTTTTTTAAAACAAAACAACTTAAATTTGAACTCATGCAGTGTCCATTTAGTTGCATTTCTCTTTCTTTTACTATCCAATATATAGAGAGTCTTCCGACCAGATATCACTATTTTCATACTATGAAATATTTTCAATAACTTGAGAAAGCAGATCTCTGGTTTACAGAGCACATGTCACCATTTCACTCTGTTTGATGAGGTCACAATTGATCAAGTCTGCCAGCATGTCACTATACACTACACATTTATTTCAGGTGGTATGTGCAAGGATGGTACCAGCTTCGATTTAAAAAAAATGAACTGGGGTCAAAAGCTCTATACAGCTGGGAGCATGATCATGCATTTTAGCAGCAGTTGAATTGATTTTTTGTCTCTATTTCCTGTTTTGTCTGACCTCATGCTCCAGACTGCTGTACTCTCCCTCCGTGTTTTCCCGGATGATCATAATGTCGATGTTCTTGTGGCGAGTCTGGACCCCAGGGAGAGACTGGCAGTGCATCACGTTGGCGTACAGGTCTAAACTTGTTCTGTTATAGGAGGAAAACCAATGGCTCACAAAGGACAAATTTATGTAGGAAATGCAGGTCCATTTGACAAAAAGAGCCATTTATCAAGGGATCTGATTATTTCATTTCCACGTACCGCAAGAGATTATTTCTGGATTTGACAGATGGTGGCATTGTGTGTTTTGTCTCTATGTTACCTATAAAAAAGGGTTAGCAATTGTGAGTTAATTTTCAGTATCATGGTTAAACATAAAAGGCATGCAGTTTAAGGTCCAACCTAATTATTAAATGTTCATACTGAAACTGGGAATGTTGAAAAGACAAAATCTAAAAACTAGCCCACCTTTGAGGGCAATCCCATTTCGACGGATGGCAGTGATTGCATTATCGATGTCATCCTCCTTCTCCAAAGCAGAGTTTACATTCACCACCTCAAAGTCCACTGGTACACAGCTGAATCTACGGGCATGTAAACATACAAGAGAAAACCATCAGGTGTCTGTGCATGAAACTTTAAAATCAGCTTTAACTTCAGTCTAACCAACCTGAAAACTTCTTGGACATGGTTAAGAAGGTCTGGACCGATTCCATCTCCGGGTATAAGGGTCACAGTGTGCCTGCCGCCATACTTAGCAGGAGGAGGCTGCAACATTGGCATGCAACATGTTATCAACCGTATTGACACAAGGGAAACACTGGAAGTTTTACCACTTTTGAAATACGTATACTTCATAGATAAAATACAGACTTTCAACAATTCCTCCTTATTTGTTTTTTTCATTAACATCCTCATGATTCAGTTACAACCAGTTAAAAAACAACTTGTTGTGACTTATTTAAAATCTATGCATTAAGAATTTACATCCACGTGTTCAAATAAAATGTAGCGACCTTGGTTATTTCTTTTTGTTTAATCATTTCTAAAAACCCTTCCGTTTGTCACCACATGACCAACTAATCACAAAAAACTACTCCATTACTTGAGTTATTATTTCAAACAATTATCCTTTACATGAACATAACATGGATATGGACTGAAAACACACCAGTGGTAGGAAATGTTGTAAATATAAACAAGCAATATGTGTACAAAGCAACAAGGTGAGTATGCAATGGTAGTATAAGCAGTTAATATGGTCATTGAGGGGTTAAGCCATATAAAATTAAAATGTTTAAATATGAATCAGACACAATTTGGTTAATTGTAAAGTGGCCCAGTTGTAAAACAGGTCCCAGTCCATGTTATCCATCTGAACTGTAGCATTCCATGACAGCTGCAATACTGCTTAGACTGTGTGTTTTCTTAAATCATTGCGATGGATACAAGGTGATAAACTAAAAACCTCAACAATCTTGAATCTAATGATCAGTATCAAAAGACATTTACTTACAATGTGTTCTCTCTGTTGTTGATGACGGACAGCAAGGTAAGCAGAAGATCAAGAATCAGTTTGATTTTTTTTTCCAGAGGTACATTCAAATGTGACAGGCATGATAATACTATAACCTTTTCCCCTCATAGACAGAGCAAATGTAATTAATGTGAATACAAATACATGTAGCTTTGAAATAAGAAAGCATTAAAAGGCAGCTAATTTTTGCCATTACATATTGATTAGGTATTAAAACTGCCACAATCACATGTATCATCTCTGGCAGGTTAGAAGCCCAGAGTGAGGCTAAATTACTCACAGCAAAATTGGTCTTAGTCCTGTGACTTGTTAAAGTTGTCCCAAGTATCTGAAAAAACAAAAACATGAACAGCAATTAAAACATGTCTGTGTACAGATCACACAACACAGAAAGCTGAAGCTTTAGGAAAAACCATCTCACAGGTGTTATGGTAGCTACTTTGCTAATTCAACTGTATGGTGTTAAGCCCTATGACCTTGCGTTAAAATAACACAAAGCTGTTTAATTCAAAGCTAGCCAGCAAAATTTCTCACGTACTATGAAGAAAGCAATTAAGATAGTCTTACTTTAACCGTATTTCCAATGCGCCCACCCAGGAAAGGGTTTATAATTTTTGACACGGAGAACACAGCACTGTGAGCCGCCATCTTGATTTTACAGTTGTGCATTAAAGATTTTCAGCGCATGCTTAAAGAAGAAAAATAGAAGATAATTTATTATATTTATTTAAAAGTCGTATGTTTACTTAATTATAAATTGTGCTATACTGTGTGAATTTGCGCTAGCATAGAAACTCTAAAATAAAAATAAATTATCAAAAAAGACGATCACGTGAGCTTCTTCGCGCAGTCTCTGTGTATCAGTGCAAAGGACCGGACTTGTGGATATCCGGAAGACCATTTGTATACATAGTATTTTCTTTTTCATCCTTGTTTCGGAAACAGTAACAGGGCGTAGAGGCTTTTGGGATCCAATTGTTCTTCTTTCTAGTTGTCTTTTTAGTTCTGTGGTGCATCAATGAAGAAACAACGAAAGAAACCATAAAGTCCAGCGGACATCAGCAGCAGCCCTTCATTTCGCTCGTTGTCACATTTCAATAAACCTCCCGAAAAGGCATCGAGTTGAATCTATACTTTGCTTAAGCGTGGACAAAGTTGGTAAGATTGGTCGCCTTTAAAGTACAAATGTAAAGAGTTCAGGAATGTCCTTAAAGACTTGCATTTCGTCTGTTGGTGTGTCCATGTACCAAGTCACGTCGTTCTGTAGAGCCATGTTGCATTAAGGAGAGAAATTGTGTCAAATAAGGGGAAAACGTCAAAAAGTACTTTCTTTCAATTATTATTAGCATTTTGATTTTAACCACGTCTTTTATTTATATGGTTTGCAATGTATCTTGTTGTTAAATTGTAATGTTTTTTTATTAATTGAATTACTTTTTACACAAATAACGAACTGGATGTCATTTAGCTGTCATTCCGTGATCATGATAATTTTATAATTGTCATTCGATAATTATTGGAGTCTTATTAAATTAACCAAGTAATAAACCCTGTAATACCATTAAGTGTAGGACTATTTTATCCAGAAAATAGAGATAGCCTCAGTTTGTTTGGTACCAGATGCATGTCAGGGGAACAGTTGTGGAAATGCTCATTAACATTAGACCTCAGGTTAGCCAGTGAAAATATTTGCAAAGCCAAGACACTTAGGAACAATTTGTAATGGACAGATGAATCATACATCAAATCGTTGGACCAAATTAACAATAAACATTGACACATGCCCTAAGCATTTTTGAAGGAGAATAATGTTATTCCTGCTGTAAAACAATGTGGTAAAAAAATGTGGTGGTTTGGGATTTTATTTACTGCCCCAAGGACTATGTAATTGACCCTCACATTGTCCAAAATAAGGAAACAAAGAGTGTTCAGAGGTCATGTGAGTTTGCGAAGGCAGGCTCCAAATAGAATAACTCAAAACTTAAGAAACATCAAGCCCAGGTTTGATTGACACTGAAAAATGTTGTGGGGAATCTGGAGCAGAGGGTATGTATGAGGAAACAGACTGTCATGAGGTAGATTTCAGAGGCTGGTGTTTGTCACATGAAATGCACACATATATACTGATTATATCATTCATTTTTATCGTGTGCATATGTGGAACAAATCTGTACCTTTTCTTTTTTATGGAAAATGTATTTTTATTTCTCTGTGCAGGTCTATGAGACAGTGAATCATGAGACTTACAGGTGGGTTGAAATTCTTGTTTAAGTTCAGTGAGCCTGTGGCCCGAGTATATTGATCATAAACTGATGTTTCCTGATTTTCCTGACAGGCCCACTTCGAGGTGTAGTTGTGCTGCTCCTGGTGGGGCTCACCTGGCTGCTAGCAAGCAGCCTATTTGGAGGCGATAGTGCTTCATCTGTGCGGCATTTCTTCAGTGGTAATATGAGCCATTCTGACATGTTTAACAGATTGGCACTATGTTTATTCATCTGTGCCAAAGGTTTTAGTTGTGGTTGCTGATTTTGATTTTGTTCTAAAAGCATGCAACTTGAAAACATTATAGTGGGAAACAATTTCTTAAATGGTTTATCTATTTTCTAAAATTCTATGTACTGGAGACAGAGTAAACGAAAAGGAATGTTTAGAAGTTGTTATCTCCACAGAGAAGACAGAAGTTTATGTAAGATGGTAATCTTTGTATAGAGGATGTGTTTTCAACCCCGGTCAGCAAGGACTTGCTTCCCTGCAAGTTTTAGAGGTTTCGCTGCCTCAACACAACTGATTCTGATCACATGGATGTAATCAAAAGCTCTGCACTGGCCTGCTGCTGGCGCATTCTTCTGCATCAGGTGTGTTGATGCAGGGAAACATCTAAAACCTGCAGGACAGATGCCCTTGTGGACTGGGGTTAACTTTTCCTGAGGTAGGAGTAGCCTGTTTGATTGATGACTTTGCTTTTATTTTTAGGCACAAGTGTGGAACCAACACCTGGTAAGTAGAAGGAAATCTGTGTGTCTTTTTTTCACCATAACAACATTTTTCAGTTGAGGCTTGCATGTACGATAAAACTTCTCTATGCTCTAAACACTGCTGTTCTCAATTGTGTCCATAAAAAAAAAATGTGGGCCATTTTCCTTCAAGCTTTTCAAGAGAAAATCTTTGCACCATAATACTCCAGCTTGAACATTGTGCTTAACAAAGCAGTGTCTTTTAGATATACCGATACAAAACAAGCCATGGTGGCTGTCAGTGACTGCTACTTGTCTCTGTGATTATTTGCTCTGTTGACAAAAGACCCCCTCAGGAATCAAAAGCTTTTATGATGCTTTTGCAGGGACTTTAGATTTGTGAGCCTTTTAAATGATGCAAAACTGTCAAAAAAATTTAAAAGAAATGTAATATTTAAGTTTGCTTTGATAGTTTCTCTAAGAATGAAGATACCTCTCTGTGTATGGGGTTTCTGAAAGTGTTGCATTAATCTACAGAAAGCGCAGCTAATAGTCCCAATATTGATTAGTTGGCAGCTGTGCAGACTAATGGCCCATTTAGTATCTCACTGAGCTGCTCCCAAGCTCAAAAAACGTTCATTGTATACTAGCAGTGATGTTGTGCTAAAGCCTACCTCATCTACAAGGGGGATTGTCGGACCATAACAGGATGAACACATTAGAGATGTTTGAGACAACCAGCCCCTCACATGCACTCCTCCAGTCACATTAGAGTCGCCGATTAACCTGCCAAACACGTTGATGTCTTTCCACACAAAAAAATCACCAGCTGAGATCAAGTGCGAACACTTTTGCTGTAGGAGCTCAACCACCACTCACTCAGAATGAAACAAATAAATGAATAACACAATAATAATTAACAATAACAAATTGTTACCGGTAAATTACTCAAATGTCTTTTTGATTCAATTGAATTTGTTTGCAAAAATCTAATTCCATGCTTCCACACTTCTTCTCTTTTCTTGGCATTTGATCTGGTCAGAATTTGGTACCTTGATAAAGTGCTGTATTTAATTAATGGATTCTACCCATTTTGATTGACTGTATTTTTTAAATACAGTGGTACCTCTACTTATGATTGCCTAAACAAACGAATTTTCCAACATACGACGTGAAATTTGATCAAATATTCGACTCGACACCCAAAGTAAATTTCCAACGTATGACGTCGAAGTCATAGAAAAAAATGTTTAAAATTAAAATGAATAAGCTAAGTTAGTTTAAAGTTCACTTAGTGAAAGTGTGAGTAGAGGTTCTACTGTATACGCTTTTAAAATAGTTGTTGATTACTGTTGTGTGACACTTTGGCTTGACCTCTGATTTCAAAGAAATCCGCCTTTAAAAAGTTATATTTTAATACATACTGTCACGCATTCCAACAGAATTGCCGCCCCGAAGGTATAAATGTGGACTGACGGCCCCGTGTCCTCCGAAGCATTTAGCTTTCCGTCTGGTGTCGGGTGCTGCAAATGTGATTGGGCCCAAAATCTGCTTGGAGGACAAGATGTGAGGTTTTATCCTTAAAAGTTGCTGTCTTCATCTTGGTCTTTTTCTCCCTCTGGTGTCATCTTTGTGTTTTGTTTTGTTTCACTCTTTTCTGCTGTTTCCTCCGTGCTCTGATAACCAGGCCTCCAAGTCTTGTCTGGGGAGCTGAATGCAAGTATTGTTTCAGTCTGTTTGTCCCTCATCTGTTTGTATCTGTTGTTTTGGGCCTCTCATGTGTGTTGTTACTGTTTGTAGCACCAGAAGTTGTGACTAAATGTTCAACTGTGTGTAAACGCAGTGTTCACCGTGTGATTAAAGCTTATCCCCCTAACAGGTTACTGAGCAGTGTGAAGAACAATGTGGGCAGAGGACTTAACATAGCTTTAGTAAATGGTAAGAATATAAATCTTCAGCTTTTACCTGTGTGATATTAATTCTTTGAACTCTTAGTTGTGGTCATTTGTGACATTTGTAATTTGCTGATGTGTTTTCTTCAGGGGTGACCGGCGAGCTCTTGGAGACAAAGACCTTTGATATGTGGGCAGGAGGTGATGACATTTTGACATTTTGATGTTCACTTCAGGGGGTCTGCTTGTGGCCCAAAAACCACAGCTTACACCTCATCTCATGTTTGTTTTTCAGACGTTTCTGACCTGTTGAAATTTTTACGGCCACTTCATGAAGGCACCCTTGTATTCGTGGCGTCCTTTGATGATGCTGCTACGAAGTATGAATCCATCTCAAAATTAATTGGTTTTCACTTGAAACAAACAAAAGTGTCTTAACATTAATTTCTGCATTTCTACTACTGACCAATTAGCAATTTGCACGCTGAAAAAAATCAGAAAAAATGCTTTGAAAATGTTGCATGCAATGTCTCACTTCTTTGAACCATCTTTAAAAATCAGATGCGACAAATGGTGCCAAAGCATAAAATATGCACTGATAAAACAAAGTTTTGGCAGAGAGGCTTGAGTATGTGATGTTATCAAGCCACATCCATTTGTTTACTCGTCATAAATTTAACAGTCGATGTTTCTCAGAAAAGTGAAATGCCAAGCTGGTTCATTCCCACCCTGTTGCCTTTAGATGCTGTCCCAGTCAAATAGTGCTGCCCCATTTACATTCACACAGGCCCGAGTCAAATAAGAGGCTCGCTGTTTTTTTTACAGATACAATTATCAGATGAATACCATTTTGTCATGAAGAAAACTTTTCATTCACCAAAAAAAAAGACATTTCTTTGAGTATGAACTGTTCCACTGTTCCATTTACAAACTGTCCAGCTAGTGCTGTTGTTACTTTCTCATTGTAGACTGAATGATGAGTCTCGACGACTGTTTGAGGAGCTTGGGAGCACAGCAGTGAAGGAGCTGGCCTTCAGGGACAGCTGGGTGTTTGTTGGAGCCAAAGGCATTGAGAATAAGAGTCCCTTTGAGCAGGTCTGTCACGATTACTACTGGTCTGATGCACTGGATGCCATCTGCTGGGAAATGCCTAGCATTCTCTTCCTGTTCCTATGCATTTTCAAACCACCGTCAAGATGTTATTCATTGCTGAATATTTGGATTATGCAACTAGACAGACTGCATTAGAAACTTGTTTAGGATTAAAAAAAAAGCCTACTCTGTTTTGGTCTTTCATTTTTGCATTTTGCCTGTTGATTTTCCATATTAGCGTATGAAGAACAGTAAGAGCAACAACAAGTATGAAGGCTGGCCCGAGTCACTGGAGATGGATGGCTGTATCCCCCTGAGGCCACCACTGGAAGGTTAATTCTGCCTCTGATATGGATCACAGGCAAAGTCACCTGATGGAGCAGCAGTGAAACAGAAGGACTGTTTTAAAAAGCCAAGGAGCTGGGTGGTTGATATCATTCAAGATCAACAGCGATGATGACTCTTTTTTTTAATTTTCTCTCTCTCATGACAGAGGAATGAATTGAATGCCTTGACCTGCAACTTACTGGTTCACAGGGGGTTTCAGAATAAGGCTTTGTGAGCTGCTTATTAGTTTGAACAGGAATTCTATCTGGTATGTTAAATCCTCAAAGTCCATATTACATATGAATGTAATGTTGACAGTTGAATTAATACAGCTGGAGTAGATCTTCCAAAGCCATTATGGGAATTAATATATTTCCGTTTTTTTTTAAACTTCTTGTAGTTTGTGTTAGAATAATGAGTTGACTAGATAACCCCCCCCCCCCCAAAAAAATAAATAAAATAAAATAAAATTAACTGGTTCTTCATTATAATCCGGCATGAGGCCTTTGGATAGACTTTGTAATGAAACACGCTAATATATGTCACAAGGTAATATATTTCTATTATTATGCTTTGACATGAATGCCATTGTTTCCATGACCCAGAGCAGTTGTTACTTGTTTGCCTATTGTTTACAGATTTATTTGACTCAACTCCCATTTTGATAAATCTATTTATTTTCTTATTTTAACAGAAAAATATAAATTAATTGTGTGGGTAATATCACCCCAAATTCATAATTATCTTTCCTGTTAGTGCTTATTAAATTATTCCACCTTCTTTCGTATTTTTTCCCCGCCTTTTTTGATAGTGATGAATGTCTTTATTTAGCTACTTTTGCGCGTAATACAATGGAAAATGTGAAGGAAGCCAAGGTAGCTTTAATTTGAAATGCTTTTTTGGCAAGAATTATCTCAAGCACCTATATCGTTTTTTTTTTCTACAAAATGTTATCGTGTGTTGTCTAATGCCAAAATTACTTATGAATAAAATGTTCCAATGTTTCATTTTTTGGTATTTTTTCTGGTAATTGTCTGTGATCTTGCCATCAGGTGGCGACAACGGTCCAGATCTCATTGCGGTTACTCAGTTCATTCTGCCTACGGCATTTGCTTCTCTAAGCATATGCTCTAAATGGGATAACGACTAGGAACTGAACAGAGTATTTTTGGTTTGGCTATGAGTTCACTGACAGTATGGGATCACTGCGCTCGGTAGACTGGCAGAATCATGACAAAACCGATTCATTTAATTGTTCCATTGAAATGTATCATGGGGCTTTCGAGGGACGTTGGTAAAATAGTGAATTCGAAGTCCGCTTTGCAGGTTGCGAGTGCACACATTTATGGAACTTGGATTATTCTCATACTTATCTTGAAGTTGTTTTTGCTCTTTCTTTCATAAAGCTTTATGCATTACACAAAAGAAAATCGTATGATAGAGATAAGGAATTTTCCATAAAGAACAACTGTTTGGACTTTGTGAAAACAATTCATTCTTACAAATACTATGTTTTGTAATATATATGATAGAATTGTCAAAATGTTTTCCTCCATTTGCAGTTTAATCATGCAGTTTAAATCTATATGAGACAAATTGGGTGGTCTTGTGCTTTTAACTCTGCTTTATCTAATTTGATAGATATCGTCTGTCAGGTATGATTTTTTTGTTCTCCAATATAAAGGTAGACAATATCTAGGTAGACAACAACAATATCCCACTCCTTGACAAAACACAGGACACAGAATATAGTAGTTGTAATATACGTAAAGCATTTGAACGCAGCAGTAAAGTCACATAATAAGCCCTGGACATAAACATGTAGCGCACTGCCCTCTAGTGGTGGCTCAGGCTAACTGTCGGCGGTGCTCCTGATGGTGAGGATCCCTGTGGCGAGTGAGAACCCGGACCGGCAGCGCGCGCACTGATAGTACACACGCGAACCTGCCGAAGGCCGTTGGAGTCGTCCGTTGTAAATTATGTACATACGTCTGTGATATGTTTTCGGACTCTCTTGTAGCTACACAACTTGAAGCCGACGAAACGAGCAGCGAGTTTAAAAAAAAAAAAGAAGCTTGAACCTAACGACGAGCATCGTCTGAGCTGGAACACCGTGCTGCAAGTGCTCTCTGCCCGCCTCACGCACACCGAGGCTCGACGACTCCGGCGGCGACTTGCGAGCCGATGACACCGCGGCAAGCCTGAAAAATGTAAAAAGAAAAACAACCGGAGTCAAGGTTTTTTTCCCAAAGTCTTTTTGTAGCCGTATTTTCTCAGTTGACGTAAAAAGAAAAGAAAAATAGACATAAGAGAGCCCTGTGTCCGCCTCCTGTAAATAACCATAGCGCTCGTGGAGAGGTAATAAAAACAGTTAACAGTGAGTTTGCTAGCTATCAGGGCTGAGCAGCCGGTCGTTAAAGAAAGACATCGCTGGACCGATGAGCTGCGTTGTTCCAGTCTGGTAAGTGATGCTTGTTGATGTTGTAGAATTAAATGCAAATAGTCATTTGTGTGGACGTGACGAGTCTTTGATTCCCAGTGACATATCATTTCGTCCGTTCTGATTTTGGTGCACTTAAAGGAATGTAAACCTCCACGGTTCCAAATTGTTATCGTGACAAATCCACGGAGGCTGAAAAACACGAAAGTCAGGTGCCGATCTGCGGGCAGATAGGCCCCTTAGACATTTAGCCCGTCAGCTTAGAGATGGGAAACGTGCTCAGGGCACCGGGGTCCAGGTGGTTTCGGGATTTGGATTCGTGGTGCTGTCAGTCGCCTCATTTATGGCTTTCCCCCCCTTATGGTGGTTGGCGTGACGTTTCTGAAGTCAGCCGAGCTCAGGGCTAGCGATAGCTGGACCTCACATCCAGGCATCCAGGCTCTGTGTATGCTATAACCCATAAACAATCAGTAATTGAATGCAGCCAGTGAATGCAGCATGGTAGTCACATAATAGGGTCTTTAACGTCAGCTATTTCCCTTTAATGGATTATACATTTCATATCATTACATACACTTATTACAGTTTCTTTTTTATTTCTGTAATCATATACTGTTTGCATAAAGTGTATTTATCCCTTGGCCTCCCCTTCCTAGGTGCTCTATAACTGCCCTCTTGCTACTCAGAAGACTGCCCTTGACCCTCTGGCTGTCAAAGAGGTGTTCCCCAAACCTTAGAGAGGACATTTCCTTTCATAAGGTAGAGAGAAAAAAAAGAGGCTGCCAGCTGCTAAAGCGATTAACATGTTCTGACATCTGTGCTCTTATGCTTGCAAGCTCAGAGATACAAAAGAAAAAAGAAAAAGAGGAGGCTCGGTTGAGCTAAAGGAGTATTACGACACGTTAAAAATATGTAATCCTGCTTCATCATTCGCTGATTAAGGCTCCTTTCTCTCACCTGGATTAGAATTATTTGGAACTGGATGGCAGTGGCCGCCGAAAAGAGCGAAAGAGAACAAAAAAATAGGAGGGGGGGATGGAGGGGGGGCGTTGGATAACCCATTTTCTCTCTGTTTCTCCGAGATTACAGTAGTCCATGTGTGCCGCTACCTACACTCGACTCTCCCATGCTTGACCTGGATTGGACAAAAGTCCTTGTTGTGCTTTCAGCCTTGAGTTTCCCCTAATGGGATGAGAACCACCATTGTGTTTTTGACTCTAATGGCCAGCATTTGATATTTTTTCAGCACAAAATAGGGAAGCAACATGTGCTGAGCCACTTGTTCAGTCACTGCAAAAAAGTTTTTTTTTCTTTATTTGTTTTCTTTCACCCACCGCCACTGTTTTTCTTTTTTTTCCCCAGCTCTTTTAATGAAAACTGTGAGTTTAGTTTGTTGGTCTTTCTCATTCTTTGTTATTTGTCCTGAAGATTGTGATTAATATAATTAAAAGGACACTTTCAAAGCTCTTTGAAGGCTTATGCCTGTATCCTACAATAATGAGACTATATGCAGGAGTCATGCCTTTTAGAAATAACTAACTTGGTAACCATGGTCTTTGTGGTTAGAGGCTGAGTTGTAGAGTTCAGATTGAGACTTGTGATCTGTGGTATAGCTGAAGCTTGACATGGAGCCCATTTGAATTTTGGCTAGCAGCTCTCAGACCTTGTGCTACCTCTGCCCCGTCTCGTCACATCACTCAGCCTCCGTCTCCTCTGTAAATCTCTGTGGGACTCGTACTTCCTTTTGGCAAGGCTGAATAGATTCAACTGCCATTCCTCTTAATTATGAAAAAAAGTCTGCAGGTTTGAACTTGGTCTTAATTTGATCTACACGCAAATACGTTTCGCGTCACGAGATTTAGTTTCTTTATCTCCCAGTTTATGTGCTAAAGGTTAGCTGTTTCCACGGTACAGTTTCAGAGAGCACTTTTAGCCTGGTGATCTATGAAAGCATTATATATTAAAGCATGATATAAAATACTGAAAAACTGAAACACATCATGATCAAAACTTAATACTTGAAAAAAGACATTAATTCGTTTAACAGTCTGAAATCTAGTCTTTATTCAATCTATCCAAGCTAAAATGTATTTTTTTTCCCCAATGGAAATAAAAAAACAAAAGGGGTTGAGTTTTAATGAGTTCAAACAAAAAGGCCTGCCCACTGGTAAATTATATATATTTTGCAAGCATTAGTATTTTAATCCTTCAACAGGGCAGTAACAGCTCATTTGTTTGTTCCTTTCAAAGAAAATTGTTGCAGGCAACTACCATAAAGGTCTTCTTCTGATAACATTACAAGTTCCTCTTTAATACCAGTTGTCCAACAGACATTACCCATTGTTTACAAGCATGTTTTTTAGTGGCATTTCAGCTGTTGATCACTTTTCATTGATGCAAATGGGAAATTTGCTCCTTCCATTTGGTATAATTGGAAGAAACATTTGTTTTAAAGACCACATTTCCAAGTCTGAACATTGTTAGTGCTTTTTTCTCAACTGATTTATACAACCGCTGATAATAGTCACAAGTTCTGATTTTCCACTTATGAGGTAGAGAAAATGCTGAAACCATGGGTAGGACATTTGAATTTGCAATCTCACTCATTTATGCCAAAAATCGATGTCTGATTTATCTTTTCATATTTTCAGTCTGAAATAAGAAAAAGAAACTAAATGTATCTAGCGGAGCCACGAAAAAACAATATAATATTATTTTAGAGGGCAGTTTGTGCTCATTAAAAAGTTAACAGCAACCTGTTCTCTCTCAGCTCCGTGTTCCCAGTCGAGCTGTGACACTGGACATACCCATGGACACTGTTCCAATGCTAATGTAATTAAACTGTGTGTTCAAGTTTCCGAACCTCTAAAAGCATGCTTCCTTCTCTCCTATCCACTTCTCTCCTATCCACTTCTCTCCTATCCACTTCTCTCCTCTCCTCTCCTCTCCTCTCCTCTCCTCTCCTCTCCTCTCCTCTCTATGCACAACTGTAGCTGCTTTTGTTCAGGCAGAAATTTAGCCATAGTCACTGCTTTCATTCACACAAACATTGGCACATATTTTATCAGGCAAAATCCGCCCCCCAGCCCCCTTTTTGTCTCTGTCACCCCTCCTCTTTATCTCCCTCTTGTTCTCTTTCACTCACACATTTTTCCCACCCCTTCTGCTGGCTGGCCCCCCTCGCTCCATCTCTCCTTCCCTGTCTCTCTGTGTTTGAAACCCTACTGTCCGCTAGCTCCCACCGACTGCAGTCCCTTCCTGTCCCCCACGCCACATTTTATTCTCTCTTTTCATCTACATGTCCCCCTCAATTGCAAAAACTGGCTGTCTGTGCACTCACACAGTCCCCTGGCTCTCCCTTTGTCTGCCCGCCTAATTTTGCCGGTAAGCTTAAGTGGCTGAAAATGTGCAGCAGGATTGCAGGGTATAGTTGTGTTTCAACTGCCAGTTTTGTGTTGGGCTTTTGGGACTTTCCTGTGTGCAGTTTTAATAACATTGTAAAGTTTTTACTTGACACTCTGTGGTTTGAGCTCTCACAACTAAAGCTGAAGTAGTACTAAAGTAGTACTTTTTTGTCATATTTGAATTGAAAAGCACATCTTTGACACTGATGAGGCAAAGATGTCACATAGATTTTTGTGCAATATTTCAGAAAACATTAGACTGCTGCAGGTGTTTTAGGAGCCTTTCAGAGTCCTTCAGGGCAGGCACAGTGCCGAACATCAGACGTTCAGTTCTCATGTACTCAAGCCCTGACAGAGGGCAATCAACCTGACGTGGGAACTTGATGTACGCTGCACGCTGGAGTCATTTTGCTGTCCAAGCGAGATGTCACCGTTTCAGCTTGTGCTTTGGTTTTATTATCTTCAACTTTAGTTTACCACGTTTGCCCACATGAGCAGTTGCTTGGTGATTTGGCTGGTGTCAGGAAATTCCTTTCGGCATTCTTTCATTGAAAGGGGACATGCAGTTTGGGTGTAAGTGACAGTTAGTGTTTGATCTGTATGTGTGTATTTTTATCTTTGCATAAGACAAAAAGAGTGAAACAAAGTTTGTTTGAATTTGGTGGTGTGTGTGTGATATATATATCTGTGCATTGATGTGTGTGTGTGTGTGTGGATGATGGGTGTGAGAGACAGAGATGAAGCTGAACGTGTTTGATGTACTGTGATAACTCTGTCCGGTATGTGGCTTTCATGGGAACTCCTTACCCTGGGGACATGAGCGAATAAGCTCCTGTTTAAAGGGCAACTTCCCTCTCTTTATCGCCTGTTGTTTTTCCCCCTTTATGTTCTGCACATCCTGTTAGTCTTTACTTTTTCAAACTCACTGTACCCTATGGTATGTCCCCTGTAGGTTGCCGTAACTCAGGTATTTCCATTTAGTTTTAGTCATTGTACAGTAAGTATTAAGTATCAGATTAGGGTCACAGTTTCTAATACTATAAGAAAATGACCTTATTGTAACAAACAACATTACAAAGCTGTGAGCAGTTTAGTCAGTTTAGTGGAAATGATTGAAGCAAAAGGGAGCAAAGAACTTTACATAAACAGCTTAAAAAACTTTATTAACAAAGTGTAATACATTTCTTGCACTTAGACTTTGTAAAAAAAGGCATAGAAAATTACCCAAATAACATGAATATCTGCTGCTATTTAGAATGACCAGACATTTTTATTATACTTTTTATCCATACAGTCTATCCATATACAGTAGTATTCATAGTCATGTGTAATGTCGGAGAACACGTACTAATAGACATGTCTTCTTGCATATGTCTTGATCTTTGGGAATGTAGTCGAACTGGAATTCTTTCCTTTCTTTTGGGAGTCTCCTAGCAGTTGGTCTGGTGTATCAGTGTATTGTCTTTAGATTTGACTGACAGCTGCTTGCATTGCATGTCAGACCTGTTTATTTTGAGTATATGGACACAATGGAGTTGACCTGAATGTTAATGAGCACGGTATGGAAAAGATAAAAGACTACACTCATCTTTGGTGGTCATGATTATTCCAGTTGAAGAAATGGTCTTGATTTACTGCTGTGACATTGTGGGGGCCAACAGGACTGTACAAGGGTGGCGATTACGACGTCTTCCCTAGCATATCCCCTAACCCTTAAAGAATTCGGATGTGACAGTGATAGCTAATGGCAAAAGCCCTAGAAAGTTTCCTCGCTGTAGTTGTAAATTAATATGTGTTGTGTTGTAAAGTAATATGTAAAGTGAGCCTAGAGACCCTGACCTTGACCCCACTTTTCTGCTTACCTCTCTGATCCACTTCCAAAACAGTGACAAGCCTTCTTTGTAACTGTTGTTGTCAGTCTGCTTTGGCATAATTTCTTCCTGGAAGTTCAATGTGTGGACTTCTTTTTTTAAGCCTTCAGTAGTTCAACCCTGTCTCTTAGATACTGTTGTCAGAGAAACTTCAGGTTAACAAATGTCTTAATGAAGTAGCTCTGAAACAGCCACTCAGAGATTTCTGGCTGTTAGAACACAAAGGAGAAGCAATACCTTATAGACAATGGGGGGTGAAAGGGGAAAAAAGAAGAGACATGAAAATATTTCAAGAACGATGCTTACTAGTCTTTACAGAGATACACACACATACCTAAACAATGACAGTGTCATTTTTCTTCAGAGTTCCTTGTCAGGTGACACTTGACAAGGTCTTTATGTCTTCTGGTGAAGTATACCTAACAGTTTCACTATGTAAAAAAGTGTCATTGGTGTATGTAAGAACTAATTAACACTGTCTTCCCATACCTTTACTGATGAAAATCATTATCACGGTTGTGTATCTTAATCGGCCCTCAGTTACAAATGTTTTGTAGTCAGTCAAAGGCAGTTCAGGAGTTTCTCTGAGTATAAATTATTCACACACAACTGGCCCATAGATCATCATCCATATTTAATGGTTGGGATTGCTTTCTCTTAACTGCAGCTCTCTGTTGACTAATGGAACTGTTGAACACAGCTTAGGTCACTCATAAACAAATGCTGGCTGATTCAAGGTCTTTTTGCGTGGTTCTTGACATGTACAAAGAGTAAGGCACCTACGGTTATTTTTGCAAGATGTTCATTTTTATTTCATAATGTCAAAATGATTATTGCAAACTTTCATACAAAGAACTGATATTCGCAAGATCTGCTTGCACACTGATTCAAATGCAAGCAATGCCTTTTATTTTAGAGATCTGTCAAAATGGCAGTTATCCTCACCTGTTACTATCTGAATATTAATTAATTGTTTTGTTTGTGTGTTGCAGGTTTATTTGAAGATATTCACAAAACGGTTTGAGAGGGAAGCTCTGAAGATTTATAAAAAGGCCTGAAAAAAAGCCCCTGCCTTAGTGTTTTCACTGAGAAACGTGTGATTTTCTCTGATTGCTGCTGCACAAGGGGATTCTACTTGTATGCAGGAAATGAGACGAAGAAAAGTGAGGACAGAATCCTTGAACAGTTGTAGCCTCACCCTTCTGCATTGACGAAAAGCTGCAGAAAAGGATACAGAGAAGAAGAAGACAGGGAAGAAGTGAGAGAGAACCACCTGGTTGACCCAGCATCCACCTGCACACCCAAAGAGCAGCATTGCAAGCTGAAAGGGGTGAGTGTGTGACCACCGAAAGAGAGAGAGACGGGGACTGTTAGAGGAGCAAAGCTTTGGAGGTGGAGGTGGAGGGGGAAGTCTAGGACGGTTGGGAAAGACCATTCCTCATGGCTACCGACCCAGGAGAACCCACAGGCACTGAGGACTCCTCGGAGAAACCTGATGGACAGAAAGAGGAGGATACAGAGCGGGAGGGCGGGGCCAACCAACAGAGGGAGAGGACACATGGCACCCCCTTGGAGTTCCCATCGTCCAGGACTCAAGAGGGGAGAGAAACAGGTGGGGAGGATGCAGGAAATGGAGGAGGTGGGGGTGGAGGTGAGTCCCCAGTCTTTGTCTCCATGCCTTCCTTACACGGCGATTCAGGTCCTAAACGACTGAGACGGGAGAAGCGCTTCTTCAGGAAGAGTGTGGAAATTTGTGAAGAGGACGATGCGGTGGAGGTGGCCCCTGAGGCTCCTCACAGTGCCCCCAACCTGGAGCTGCTCTCCAAAGAAGCAGGCTTTGGCAGCGCTCAGCATCAAGGGACTGCTTCCTCCTGTGCTGATGCGGGACATATCCCATGTCAGGGGAATGAGCCTGGAAAAGATGCTCCTTCATCTGCACCTGCCCAGAGTGGGAGGGAGAGAGACCGCGAGCAGGAAGAGGAGGCAGAGATGAAAGCCGTAGCCACCTCTCCAGGTGGAAGGTTCCTCAAATTTGATATTGAGCTGGGCAGAGGAGCCTTTAAGACTGTGTATAAAGGCCTAGACACTGACACTTGGGTGGAGGTGGCATGGTGTGAACTTCAGGTAAGACTGACCATTTTGGTTTAGCCAAATTTGCAACCATACAGTCTTCATTAGCTGGCAAAAGCAAGATACAATACATTCTGTGTACACAAAGCAAATGTAATTGCAAAATAAATACTTTACTGTTTTACCAAAGATTGTACCGTGAGGGTGTTACAGTTAGCCTTTTCTATGGATGACAATCTGAAAATCTCAGAACAGGCTGCATTCAGGGTAAGTGCAGATGAGAGGAGACCAATTTGAAACAGAACAGTGTCATGTGCAGCTGTGTGGCAGCAAAAACTAAAAATGGACTGCATATTTTTAAGGACTACTCAGAATAACACTGTTTTTGGAAAAAATGTTACAAACAGCACTCCTGAATTTACCTGAATTAAACAGAGGTAAAGTCATCGAAATCAGAAAGAGGCTTTGACACTTACAACTGGATTTGGTTATTTAGTAAAACAATTTTGATGGCAATATTTGCCAGTAATCATCAATTAATTGAAATTAAAAGTAACCAGAGTCCTGTTAGCAATACGAAAAGCAAACGTTCATGTAAAACACACCTCTCATCAGAAAGAAAATCATATGAAGACTGCTGAGAGTGTAACAACAGCAATATCACTATGAGTCACTGTGTTTGAAACCATAGTGGGAGGAAAATAATGCAACTGTTGGTGTTTTTACATACTGCAGCCAACTGTATTTTATTATCCGTACAGTTAATAGGAAGCATTGTCAAACGGCATGAACTTAACATGTGGTGGGAGACAGACTTGTGGAAGGGAGTAGAAACGCGCCCCTCTGACTCTGCTTCACAATAGCAAGCAGTGTTATAGTAAGCCATCTGATTTGAGTGTTGGCTTTGTGTGAGAAAAGTCAGTCATGTGTTTGGTTTGGAGCTAATTCCAAAACAAGAGCCTTGGCTAATCCTTGAGATCAGCCTCCGTCTATTGGGCTAACAAGTGGTAGGCATGCCCACATCACCTTTATTGGTACAATTTCAGCACCAGTTGAACTGATTTTTACTCTGGCGGTTTGGCTGTGCTACATCTGACACAGCTTTTATTCACTCCGACTCAGACTGTCATCTTGTGTTTTTTTTGTGCCACTCTGCTCATCCCACACACTATGTCTGACACTATGAAGCCTCAGTAACAGTGAGAATATGTTTTTGCCTCAATGTAACTTACTTGGCATACATTCAGCAATCGCGCTCTGGCCTCCCCCCTATAGACAGCAATATTAAGCTGGGAAAGCATTTGTTGAAAATGAAAAGACATCAGGCTTAAGCTGCACGCATACTAAATCTGTAATATCCTATTTTGTTTCGAAAAGTGCAACAGGTCAAAAAGAATTCCTATGGCAGGAGACATGTTTTTATTGGTTGTTGCTTAAAAAACAGAACACATTAGTCAGAGGTGATTCATGTTATTAATAATTAAAAACCTTTGCGTAATTAACTGTTTGATTAGATTATGCTTTATGTACAGATTCATGATTTGAGAGGAAAGCAAATGGAGATTTTTACACTTAGAGTAACAGCTTGAACTAAAGAAAATGACAGTGTGTGAAAATGAAAAGACAGACACAGGAAGTGACGGTGAATGGCAGAGGGGGAGACGGTGTTCCAAATGGAGGATTACCGTGGCATCCCTCCCAGAAAGCAGTCTGTGACTGATGCTAAGTTATCACATTAACACACACCAGCGTGCACATACACTCTGGAAGCAAACAGGGGTCTGGTCACACGCCTATAGATGCATCCAGTGCCACATTCAACGCAACATTCTAGTCTCTCAGGGCACATGATCTATCCTATTTACTCCACATTCCCAAAACATGTACACAGTTTCAGTGTAAAATGCCTTCAGAATAGACAGGATACTGTTGACAGTAGCGATACTAATCATAGAACGACTACATTTAGGCCGTTAGGATGTCCTTCTCTTAACAGATGTAATCAAGCAATTTAGCAATAATTTCCAAGTGTGAATCAGTCATGGTTAACATATTTTCCTTTGATTTGAATGAAAGTGCACTATTATCCTCTACTTCAAAACAGGATCATACACAGAAGCTGTTGAATTTGTTTCAACAGCCTCGTAACAGAGTTTCATCCTGTGCTTTAACCGACTGAACAAAGTGGAGTATTTAATAAACCATATGTCGAACTTACAAATACTGTTAACTATACATTATTATGAGGAAAGGATTTAATACAGTAAGTTCATACCATGATATATCATTGCAAGAATTCATTTTTAGTTCAGTGAAAGGGATTTTATTGAAGATAAGCAATGCCAAACAGCCCAGGGCTTTATTTGATTATTTTTGCTTTCTTTTGAGACTTCAGCCCTGGAGCACCATAGTTCTCTCCTCTTGTGACCATAAAGTGAAGGAAACCAGGGGATTAGCTGTCCTTATGCAACTGAGTTTGAGGAATGGATGCTATGTCTTTTACTTTTTAAATTCAAATCTGCCATTTAAAAGGTTATTGCTATATATTTAGCCACCTGTTATTCTCAGTGTGCGTTCATGTACATTTATTATATTTCTGTTTGAGTCACTCCTGCCTGTTTGTCTGTATCAGACACGCAGTCTGTCGCTGTATTTGTGTGCCTATCACTCTCCCTCTCTCCCCCTCTCCCCCTCTCCCCTTTTCTCCCCCTCCACTTTTTGTCTGTTTGAGTGAGCATGCAGAGTGATCCAGGGAGTTAATTACAGTGGGTGCCTGTCAGGCTGGAACAAAAACCCTGCACAGACAGCATAACTCGGGTGGCAGAAACCAGACTGGTTAAACCCAGTCATCCCAGACTGGTCCAGCTCAGCTAAGTACTGTTGCACTGGCAGGGCAAGAGCAACATTCAAATGCAGAGCCTTTTGAAATGTAGGTCTACAGTTCAGTGTCAGATTAGGAGGGCAGTCCTGACCTCCAGTTTGGTCATGACTGTCATAGTGGTGGAATCATTTACGTAGATCAGATATCTTGTCTGGTTGTAAGGGCTTGATCCTGTTAGACACCACTGGTGTCCCCGTTGTGTGCAAAGAGGATTTTCTTTATCTTTTTAAGAAGATATTTTCCTATTTTAACTTTTTGTTTTTGTGTAATAAAAAAACAGTAAAGGAAGGAATATTTTGGTTCATTTTAAGCTGTTAGGTAAGACAAAGCAAATGAAAGACACGTTATTTTTGTGTTACCTACAATAGTACAGTCAACAGCTGAAGTGACCAGACCAAAGACCTGTCCAGCCAAACTGGCCTGACACACATTAATCTGAGCTACAGACAGTTGGCAAGCGTCCATGGAGCCGTACCCTTGGTCTTTATTATCTAACCAGCAACAGAGATACAATAGCTGTTTCACTATTTACGTTAACCACATAACTTTATTTAATAATACAGCTTAGGAACAAATGGGCCAATAATAATAATCAATAGTCATGAATCACTGATCATGAGATCACAAATCAGTCACTGCATTGTAGTCCACTGACAAAAAGGACAAAATGTTGTTATCAGATGTCCGGTAGCCATTTAACCTAAGCAGCAAAGTAGTTCATCAGTTTCTTCAGTTTGTGATTGTTTTGTTATTTTGAAGCTGGGGGGCTGTGAATTATCTTAGCAATACAACAATGAGGTTGTCTGTCAGAGCTCCAAATCACAGAGTTAATCACACTTCCTGCAAACGTGTGGTTATCAAGCAAAGTGGCCAGTGCTGCGTTAAAGCTGAGGCCATTTGTAGGTCTGTGAGGCTGGCCCGAAGGTTAGGAGTTTTAATCTGCCATGAGGGACAGCCTTTTTGCAGCAATATATCTTGTTAGTCAGAGCTGTTGTAGCTTACTGTAATCTAATCCAAGCCATCCGCCACCCTGGATTTTCAAATGCTGACACACTTACACCTACTTTTCACAGCCAACACGTTGCATGCACCTTTAGTAATGTACGAATTATCTTCTATTTGTTGATGGAGCTCTGGACCAGTCTGTTTACCCCACCGTGGGTTCCTGAGACCTCAGACGCAACCTAAATGTAATCCCTGTGATATCGGACACTCAGTCCCGTGTTTGCCAAAATAGATGTTTTAGGACTCGCATGCTTTGGTATTCATGACCCCAGCCTCTTACCACCTACCAAATGTGCCTTGTAAGTTATATCCTGTCCATTTACGCCAGCGTTTTATGAGGCTAGTTTATAACCTGCTGCCTGACCTTCTGCTCCGCCAGATGTCTGATCCCAGAGAAAATAAATAAATCAGAAAAAAAGAAAAAATACCCATCTTTACCCATTTACTGTGACTACAACCATGTTGCTTCATATTGGCTTTGAATGGCTGAACTGAATTATGCGTTGCTGTAAAGCAGCAGCAAAGGTAAGAGCATGTCAAACTACTTCACATGTCAGTCAGTTTCAAGATCTGACACGCTTTCAGTCATATACTCCTCATACCGTTTTAAACACAGACTCTCTAACATGACTTTTTCTCTATATGTTTTATCGGTTGGGAGAAATTCTATGAAATATATTGAGGCGCTGAAAGGGTCATTTAGTTTTCTTACATTTTTGTGAAAATCTGAGCAAGAACTTGATTTATTTTTGCTTGTTACTATGTTGAACATGTTTGAAGTTAGTTGAACTTATCTGGATATAAGTTCAACTTGAACTTATATCCAGATAAGTTCAAGTAACTTCAAGCATGCAGGGAAGAGTGCCTCAAGGACCATTTTTGGATACAGTGACTTAAAGGATATACTTGTAAGTGTGTGTGAAGTTTTATTTAATGAATCCCTTGAACCAGTGTTTCCCAATCCTGGTCCATTAGGCACACTGCCACGCATGTTCTTTTAATCATGGCAGCACCACTGACAGACATAACGCACAGGAGCTGTTCCAGCTGACACACATACACAGGAACATGAGATGTTTCCATCAATCAGCTATTCTGCCTTACAATTAGACATTTACTCATTTTCCTTTGCCCCTTTTTAGAAATGTTCATCTTCAGCTGATTTTTGATCACTCCAATTCCCATTCGTTTGGCCTATACATTATAAACATGCATGGTCTTTCAGAATGATTCAGCAAAGATTCTAGGCCTTTATCCAATTTTTTCTTCTACCCTTCAGATTTTTCTGGTCATTGTTTAGTTGCTTCATCCTCTTATGGTCTCGTCACTCAGTGCATTGAGGTTGGGATAAAGACCAAAATATTTAATACAATCATCTTTAACCATGAGAGAGCATATCTAGTTGGCGGGGGTTTGTTGTGGCTAGAGAGCCCCGTTGTTGCAAATATGATCTGACATTTTCTTACAGCATTTACTGATATGATTTATAGTATGGCCGGGATGCAGCAAGTCAGATCCACAGTACTCTACATTACCGTGTTTCACAGATGAGATAAGGCTATAAAACTGGAATGCAGTGACCTTTTTCTTCAAACATCTTGTTTCACATATAGAAAGAATGTTTTGTCACTTTGCGTGCCCAGACTTCTAACAGATTCTTCTTTTTTTGCATGTAACTCAGTGCACCTGAAACACTAGACTAACTGTAAACTCTTAAGAATTTTCTGCTTTTCAGATCTCAGCAGCAGGAGCTTGTATAAAAATCTAATGAAATGTTAGGTCACATTCATTCAGAAGTTTGCACAAAACTGAAAAGGCTTCCATATTCTTCATGGACAGTACTGTGCTGTTGAATTGGCTTGCAGCAAAGGCTTTGTCTCGACACATTTTGTCTGAACTTTTTATGACATTTGCTGACCCAAAGACTGTCTGATTGGAAACTCAGCAAGATACAGTAGACGCTGAGGAGGCAGCAGACAGGGACACGTAGGGACGCTTTCTGTGTCACACTGCACCGATCAGTGAGGCACAGTGAGGCTTCACAAATGGGGTGAGAAAGAGGGCATAGACGCTCTAACCTTAAACAGAGGTAGCGCTTCCTGGCCAAGTGTAGCACACTCTTTACTGTAGCTAAAAAAGGCCATGTACATAGAACTGAGTTATGATCTTGCATGAAAAAAAGATATGCAAACATTTGGAGGCACAGGAGCAGGCATCTTAGAGACACCAGCACCCAGTCAAACATTTGTTTCTGAATTGTCACATGATGTTCTTTATGGGAAGAAAGGTATGAGGCCAAGCCTTGGCTTTGTTATTTATTCTTAGCCAAAGTAGTACGACAAGGAGCAGCCTTTTTGTTGACGCATAATCACTTTTATATTGCAAAGGGAGGGGTGAAGGGAATGTCCTCGCCACTGGTTTTTCCAGAAAAGGACACGGAACCAGTACACATAGAGAAGGAAGAAGGAAAAGTAAAACACAGGCCCGGGCAGTAAAAGAAGCAGCATAAATACATTTGTCCAAACAAAAATGTGTAGCATGGAGAAAAATCTGTTTATTTGTTTTAAAATACCTGCAGGGCACCGCCTCATTTTGAGCAAAAAGCTGTACATCAATGGAATCGATCAGTGGAAAGCCAGTGTTATGATGATGTCTATTTTTAGTGAGGTCTGTTGGTGACACAGCGACTGCCACCTCAATCCCCTACAGAAATGAAGTCAGACATGCTGTTATGGAGATTTACTTTTGTGTGGTCAGAGATGGCCTTTTTCTGTTCAGATGCACATTCACAGAAACCTTCCAGGATGTTATCTTTCCAAACTTTGGTAATGTCCTTAAAAATCCGGGACAGGACTTACAACAGGTCAAAGGGCCTAAGCCCTTAAAATGTTTAGTACACGTGCAGCGAAGAACAACAGCTGTTCCTGACAAGTCTCAAAATAAACACAAAGTAGAGAAGGCCAACATTTCCTCTGTTTAAAATGGAATTACGTTTGCTATTTTTTGCTATTAATATCTCATCATAAACATAAACCTGGATAAAAATGCTATTTTTTACTTGCATTTAAATATTTGTTTTTTTTTTTCTTTTTCTGCTTTTGTGCCTTGTAAATTATGCTTGGGCCATTAATTGATTAATTTGATAGGAACAATAGGAATGATTTTTCCGTAAACAAACATTATTTCTCAGATCACACCTTCACTTAGTGACTTGAGTCTTATAAATAACCTATACACTGTTGTTTGAAATGAGATTAACCAGTGGCCATTTCTATTGTCTGTGATGATGCATGTGCAGTAAATTTGATTTCTGCAGCACCCAGTTGGTGCGCCATGCTGGGGATTTGTGGCAGATGCAGCAGACGTGTGTTTTATAAAGCTTGGGTGTTGTCAAAGTATTACATCAACACTATAATGCTAGTGCCATCTAGTGGCAAAAGATGTTGTTGCACAATCATGAATGAGAAGGTTAGCTTGATAGTGTATAAAACAGAGGTGCCAGCCAGGAAATAGGGGAACCAATGTTAACACTCTAACCATAAAACATGACATGCAACTGTCACCTTAGGACCGCAAACTGACCAAGGCAGAACAACAGCGCTTCAAGGAGGAGGCAGAGATGCTCAAAGGACTTCAGCACCCAAACATCGTCCGCTTCTATGATTCGTGGGAGTCTGTGCTCCGTGGAAAGAAGTGCATTGTTCTGGTCACTGAACTCATGACATCCGGAACACTCAAAACGTCAGAATATAATCATTCTATCAATCACTTTTTACTCAGTAACAACTCTGTTTCTTTGTCATTTTGGTATTAGAATAACTCTTGTAATTATGGGTCTCATTTGAAATGTATCTGATAGTCCCAAACTATTTCTTAATATCTTTACATTGACTTGGGATATATTTTTGTCATATCAGAAGTTATATTATGTAAAATGCAAACTTGCTTTTCTAAGAACATTTTTCTGTCTGGATCAGTTTGTTTTAGCTGAAGTAACTGTGGTACTTTATTCAGACTGAAAAGGGTTTGTACAGATTTAGTCTTTGCTGTTCTGTCTGTCTGTGGTTGCCCGCCGCTTTGCCTTGAATTTGATTGCATTTGCTGTCTCCACACAGTTATCTGAAGCGCTTTAAGGTCATGAAACCCAAGGTCCTAAGGAGCTGGTGCAGGCAAATTCTCAAGGGCCTTCACTTCCTTCATACTAGGACTCCACCAATCGTCCATCGGGATCTCAAGTGTGACAACATCTTCATAACTGGCCCAACAGGATCAGTTAAGATTGGTGACCTGGGACTGGCCACACTTATGAGAACCTCCTTTGCCAAGAGTGTCATAGGTAAGATGTTGTCCTTTTGAAAACAATACCTTTCATATAGCAGCTAAAGAAAAGTGTTAATGAGTTCAGTTTCTTAAAGATAAAGACTACAAATGGAAGCACTAGTGATTATTATTGACACATTACTGCTAAATCTAATAAGGACATCATTATTGGTGACTAATGACCATTTGTACACAAAAAGTGCCACAGGCCCTACTTCAACTATTCAGTTGGATTAAGGCCATCGTTTACTTAAGGTGAAATGTGATTAAATGAAGGATTTTTTCATAATGTCACATTTTCTTCAGAAAATGTGTTTTAAAGACATATATTAAACACTTCTACAAACACGTTGCAAAAAAAACACACGTGCATCTCTGCTCAACGGACAACATTTTTTCCCACCGTATTTAATCTCTCTGAGTATATATCTGAGTATAAAGATTTGTGACAATGTCAAACTGTTTGGGTTGTTATTAACTTGGACCCAATATCTCGTCTTAACAGGAACCCCAGAATTCATGGCTCCAGAAATGTATGAGGAGCACTACGATGAGTCTGTGGATGTGTATGCTTTTGGGATGTGTATGCTGGAGATGGCTACTTCAGAATACCCCTACTCTGAGTGCCAAAATGCTGCTCAGATCTATCGCAAAGTCACTAGTGTAAGTGTCTGTGATTAAATAGTTGTCATTAAGTCTCACTATAGGTCTGTACTGATACATGTAAATATGTCATTCATTTTTGTGATATTTATGAATATGAATATAATCCCAATGTCTTGATATGATATATTCAAAATTCTAGTTATATGAATACAACACACATTTTTTTGCAGGGAATAAAACCTGCTAGCTTTGATAAAGTAAATGACCCAGAGATCAAAGAGATCATTGAAGGCTGCATTCGTCAGAACAAAAGTCAGAGGTTAGTAGGCTTTTATCTGCATAACATGATCTTCTCCTGCTGTCCACAAATGGGATTATCACTAAGTGTCCTTGTATCTGTTTCCACTCTGAAAGACTTTCCATTCGAGACCTCCTGAACCATGCATTCTTTGGGGAGGACACTGGGGTCCGTGTGGAGCTGGCAGAGGAAGACACTGGCACTCAGGACTGTCTGGCTCTTCGGATTTGGGTTGAAGACCCCAAAAAGCTGAAGGGAAAGCACAAGGACAATGAGGCCATTGAGTTTAGCTACGACCTTGAGAACGACAGTGCTGAGGAAGTGGCTCTAGAGATGGTGAGAAACATGGATGATTTTGTCTTAATCATTAGAAAGGTGTCAGATGTTCTATAAGGTTTCCTTTGATCAATTTACCACCATATTTGTTTCTCTTTGTCACTTATTACAGGTGAAGTCCGGTTTCTTCCATGAGAGTGATGCCAAGGTGGTGGGAAAATCCATACGGGACCGTGTAAACCTTATCAAAAAGTCAAGGGAGCGGCGGCAGCAGCAGCTGCTTCAGCAAGGCTTTGAGGACCGAAGAGACTCCACTCTCACCACCTATGCATTTTCATCCCCTTCCTGCCCTTCGTCACTTGTGCAAGGGTCAGCCGCACATGCAGGTGTTGGAGAAAGAGGAGCTGGAGGAGTAGTGCAGGAGTCTGAGGAGCTGCCTGAAGTGGATCAGCATGTGAGGCAACAACAAATTTTCAGTGGAGCAGCCCTTACCCTTCCAGGTAAAGAATGCACCTTCACAACATGTACAAGGAGTTTCTAATAAACATATGGTTATAACACATATTTTGTTCTTGCACGTTGTGTCTTTCTTTTTCATGGTCTTAACATCCAGTCGGGGAGAGCATTGGGTCTGCCAGCTGTGAATCCTTTACAAGTGGACAGAGCCACTCTCAACAGGGGGAATCTTACTCCCACCCCCAGATTACTCTCCCTGCTATGGTATCTCAGATTCTATGTTTAATTTGTTCATGAATGATAATTAACTGCATATTTAGTAGTTATTTGAAATCATTGTACTCGAAATGCATTATACCAAACTCTAATTCTTGTGGTTCTAGAGTACCGGTGCTTTGACTAATCCTCAAACACACCCAACTGGTGAGAGCGGAAGTGGTCCAAATCCTCCTCTTGGTCAGAGTTTTAGTATGTCCAGCATGTCCATTGGCCAGAGTGGAGGGGGACCTGCTGGTCAAACATTTCTTCAACCTACCGCTGTGGTTCCACAGGTATCACCAGGGGTACCTCAACAGTATTTTCAGGTGAAAAGGGTGATGTAACACGTAATTTCATGAAAATGAAAGCTATGTTTGCACTGGAGTTACAGTATTTGCCATCACTGCTACTGGAAATAAATACTGTATATTCTGTCACATTCTGTCACATTTGACAGTGACTCTTTTCTTTTAAGTGACTATCAAATATCAAATAGCATCTACGAATCAAACCTCATAATTGCTAAACTGTACAGTTTCCCCCAGGCTGTTTGTCAGAAGAAGTGGTGAAATACAAGAAATTAATTGGAATGTCAAAATGTCAAAGTATGTTTTTGATCACTATCTCAAGTTATCAAATTCATCCAGATCTGCACTAGAACACTGTGGGAAACTCTTTGATTTAAACCTAATTGAATGTGTTTGTAATTTGTACTTCTATTCCAACGCTTATTCTTAACCTTATTTTTTCTGCTGCTTTCTTCCCTTTTTTCATTCAACTGCAACCAACATTGCTTTCATGTCATTACATTATCACTGAGTAGTCACAAACATTCCCATCAGAAGCATTTCAAACCAACACTCCTCATGGGTCAATGGCCCCTTCACAGTCCTGCATACCCCCGATTTCCCCGCAAGCACCTGTTAATGCCCTCACTACATCCATGTCAGTTAGTGATCCTGCTGGACTAGCAGGGAACATTTTGCCCCTCTCTCAGCAACCTGCCACTCACATGCAGTTGTCTGACATTCCCCATTCAGCTCCACAGCAAACACCTGTTGCTATCCCACAGCAGACTATTGTCCCACAACAACAGATAGGGATGGATCCCCAGGTCCTGGCCCTTCAGCAGCCACAGATACAACAGCAAATAGAGGCCCAAGCTTCCCTGCTCGAACAACAAGTCAGCGCCAATCAGCCTCCGGTACAACAGCATCAGCAGAGTCATTCAGCTTCAGCTGTCCAAAAACATCAGAATGATCCTCAGCAGCACGTCCAACCAATGTCTCAAAAGCATGTGTTGACACCACAAACAGGTATGGAGCAGCAAGTTATATCAGCACCACAGCCAGGAGAACAAGCCCAGACCTCCAGACTGCATCAAACAGCTGACCCATGTGAGCAAACAATGATACAACCACAACTGTTACAGCAGCAGCTCCAGCAACACCATGCTCTGTTACAACTGCAGCAACATCAGCAAGGTCAGCAGCAGCAGCAGGCAATGCTGCTGGAGCAACATCAGTTGTATGTCCAGCAACAGCTTGATCAGCAGCAACAAAGAGTGCTCTTTCAACAGCAGCAGCAGCAGCAGCAGCAAGCACTGCAGCACAAACAGCTGATGGACCAACAGCAGCAGCAAGCTCCCATTCCACAGAAACAAGAGCAACAGCAAGGTTTTGTTCAACAAGAGCAGCCGGTACAAGCATTTATACAGCATCAGTTAGAGCAACAACAAAGGCAACAGCTCCCCTCACAGCAACAGCAGTTATATCAACAAAACGGACAGCACCAAAGTGGAATAAAAACAGAACCTGAGATACAGCAGCAGCAGCAGCACAAAAATGTATTTCAACAGCAGCCCCAGCACACACACCAACAAAATGAACAAATGCAGCAACAAACCTTAATCCAACAGATGGATCAGCAGCATGTGCTAATACAGCAACATTTGCAACAGCAGCTCCTGTTACAACAGCAGCAGCTACAACAGAAAGCTCAGCTGGAGCAACAGGAGCAACTCAAGCAACAGATTGAGCAGCAGCAGCAAGCTCTGATGCAAAAGCAGTTTGAACAACATCAGCAGCAGGTCTTGTTGCAACAGCAACAGGTAGAGATTTTACAGCAACAGGCTCTGATGAAGCAGCAGATTCAAGAGCAGCAGCAGCAGCATGCTGCCATCATCCAGCTTCAGCACTCTGAAAAGCAAGAGCCACAAAGCAACATTGAGTTGCAGATTCAGCAGCAATATGCAAACGCCGGTCAGTTTACGCATCATACCGGTCAGCAGCAAATGAGGGAGCACCAACAGCCACTAAAACTGGCTCAGCAGGAGTCAACAATTGTTGCTCAGCCGCAGTACCACACAAATGTGATAGATCCTCATCACTCAGTGGCTCCAAGTGGTACTGACACAATTCATCATCAATCTCAGATAATCTCTCAAACTCAGATCCCTATGGCTACTCAGACGACACAGATCCCTGTCCAGACAACTCCACAAAGTGAGGTTCATATCCAGAGACAAGGTCAAATCCCAGTCCAGTTCTTATCTCAGTCAGCACCACAAGTGTCTCAAGCTGCGACTGAGACGCATGCAACCCCTTCAGTATCAATTATACAGGGGCAAACGCAAGTCATTCAGGGCCAGCAAAGTCCTTTACAGGCCTGTTATCCTGGACCTTTAATTGCAACACCGGGTCAGGTGGCTGGTCAGGCGTTAATCCAGGCCCAGCCTTTACACACAGCCATTTCCCAGCCACAACAGGGCCAGGTTGAACTACAAATGATGGGACAGCAAAGCCAAGCTACTGCTGCTCCAGTTATTAATCAAATCCAACATGAGCCTCATTTGCAGCAACATGTTCAACTTCCAGGCATTCTCCAACAACAACCTCAAGGCCAACCACCTTTCCAGGCGCACCCTCAGACGTCTGCTGGCTTGTTTAACCCCCAGTATGTCGCTCAGCCCTCCCACCAAGGCATGCCAACTGTACAGCAGGATATGACTCATATGTCACAGCAGCATCAGCAGGCAGCACTCCAATATCAACAGAGGATTCTGTCTCCTGGCTCAGCTGTTGCTATTGGAACGATGACTGATGGTTTCTCTTCAGTGGTTGACCCTATAAACTGTAATGCCCCCCCTCCTCCTTTGCAAGCAGGACAAGGAGGAGTTCCATGCCAAACAAGGTCACAGCCAGTAGTTCAAGCCTCACAGCCATCGCTTGGAGGCACCAGTGACCCTTCAGTCCTTCAGCAAATCTCGCAGACATATATGCCTCAGGCTACTGAGCAGTACCAGCAACAGCTGCAGAAGCTTTCTGAAGCACAGCCACCACTGGCTCTACCTACCCCTCAGGTCCAGTTACAGGCACATACCATGTCAACTACCATCCAACAGCCACCTCCTCCAAAGCAGGCTTTTACAGCCTTTGAAGAGAGTCAACTTCCTCCACAGTGTCTCCCAACTTCCCACCTGGTGGTTCAGCCCTCTTCACAGTTGGGCTCCGGTAATGTGGCTGAACCTCAGTCACAGAGCAGGTCCCTGCCACTCTTCAGTCATTTAGGTGCAGGTGCCCCTCCATCTCCACAGCACCAAACCAAACCGATACTGCCTGCTCACACACACACACAGACCAGCAATCAAGCTCAAACACACTCCCAAACACAGACACAGTTTCAGACACAAACTCATTCTCATACTCAAACGCACACTGAGGCACCAGTACCCGAACTGCCTCTTCTGTCTCACGCAGTCTTTTCTGCTCAAATAATGCCCCTTAGTCCCTCACATACCTCATGCCCCCAAACATTACTACCATCTCTCCCACCCCAAGTACCTCCCACTGCTCCTGCTACAGAGCTTTCTACATCTCAACCAGCAACCCAGAAAACCTTACCAGGGCAGGCCGACTTTGTTCCCACCTCTCCTCCACCTGTCGCTACACTACAATTGCTTGACTCTAATGCTCCCATTCTGCCCCAAGCCTCGCTGCAAGACTGTGACCTTTCCCTGCTGGGCATCACTCAGGTACATCAAGTATGGTAGTTTGCTTTGTCAATGACAGACTCTACCCATATTGGCATAGGAGTTAGCCAAGGGAGGGGTCTACTCCCAACATATTTAAAACATATTTTTCATCCTCCTTACTGACTCAAACTAACATATACTGATTTGATTAAAATATTAAAACAACAGATGTATAGTAAACATTTTTTTTAACTATTTGAACTGTGTATAAATACTTTAGGGTATTTTAGAATTATTGCTCTCCTTGAACTGTAGGTGCAGAGTTTTTATATTGATGGAATGCATATATCATTTTATGGTATTTTAATCATATATCAAATCAAACAAGAGCAAACATTGTGTTCATAAATTAGAAATAAGTATGCACAGTTGGCTGATTTTGCTTATCAAATCCAGTGTATTTCCTCATACCACCTAAAGACCTTTGACCTATCAGTGCACAGCCAAAGAACATCTATTGGTGTTCTAAATAGCAACAAAAAAAAGATCTGGGTCACAAATACACTGGCAGTTGATAAAATGACCAAATCTGTGCAGATCTATGATCACCCAAACCACATTGTTGCTTTATTTACATCTAACGTTTTTCCTTTTCCATGTCTAAACATGTCTACTACCTGTGTGTATATATACCGCTCTGCAGGATGGCCCATACCTGACCAGTGCAGACCATCATTCTTCTTCAGGGTATGTCTGATAACAGTATAAACTCACATCTCTGTACAGGAAAAAATCCTAAAAGATTGCATACAGAAATTTGTTTGTTTTTTTATTATTAGTAAACATCTGTAAACTGGGGACAGTAGTTGTAGGGCATCAGGCATGTTGACCCATTCCTGCCTAATATAACCAGCTATGCAGCAGTCCTGTTTCTAACCTGTAAAGTTCCACATTGATATGTTTATTAGTTCCCAATAAGCCTAATTTGTTGCAATTGGCGCTGCACATTATTCCAAAGCCTAAAAACAATGTTCACATCACTTATGACCACAAATTTTTCACTGAATTCATATGTATTCCAGACACCTTTTGACATATTACCATTTTTAGGTCTGTTACAGCTAACGGTGAAGACAACCTTCTGCTTGCGGCGAATGGGAAATCAGAGAAATCAAAGACTCAACGAAGGACCTCCTGTCAGAGGCCCGAGAAGGGTTCACATCAATTCCAGCTGAGCATGCTTCAGGTGGAAGAGATAGAAAACCTTTGTCCAGTTTTTTGCATCAGGAGACAGATTTGAAACATGACATCATAATAATTTCTCTTTGTCTACATAGGTTTCTGGCAGTGGGGACAATATGGTAGAATGTCAGTTAGAGACCCACAGCAACAAGATGGTGACATTCAAGTTTGATATTGAGGGAGATGCACCTGAGGACATAGCAGACTACATGGTAAACTTTTCAAGTATTTGTCTTGTCTTGCTGCTCAAAAGTCATTGTCAAATATGCTTAAATATTTGGCTTGTGGTTACAGGTGGAGGAGGATTTTGTCCTTGATATGCAGAAAGAGAAATTTGTGGAGGAGCTTAAAGCAATTGTTAAGAAAGCCCAAGAAATTCTTCAAACGCATTCACGGGTATAATGATGCACATCTTTACTTTAGATTCTCTCAGTTTCCTGTCTTCACTGAATGATAACCACTTTGGATCTTTATTTCTCTTTTAGACCGGATCATCTGATCAGTTACACGTGAGCACAGCTAGCTCAAGTGAGTTTATCAATAGATTGTTTTTTTATTTAGAAAATGCATCTGAATGGAAAATGCTTTAAATGTTAGAATATATGCAATAGCACATAGTAATACGTATTTATGGTTTCTCAGTGGACTCAGTGCCCTATTCCTCTCCGGTCGGACGCTGGCGCTTCTTTATCAACCAGACCATTCGTCATAGAGACTCTTTTTCCAGCCAGGGAGCAGTCACACCACCACCCACTGCAGAATCACGGATTCCGCAATCCCCTCAAAGGGAAAACGGTGAGCTCTACTCAACTCCTTATAAATGACGCTGCTTATTAACATTTCTAAACATAACGGAAATTAACTGTGATTTTCCTTGCTGGTGTAGAAAGTGAAGGATCCCAGAGTATGGAGCCTTTGACTGGAAAGAATTCTTCCCCCACAGCCCCTTCTTCGAACTCAACCCCAGTCTCCACTGTCTCAGTCCCTGTCTCTGTGGCCCATGCTCCGCAAACACCTGCCTCTGAAACTGTCACTGAATCTGCCTCTGTTCCCCTCATTGCCTCAAGTTGCCTTTTTTTGCCAATCCTCACCCCAGCTTCTGCTGACCAAACTCCCAGCGCTCCTTCAACCACAGTAATACCTGGTGCTGCTAACATCCCCATATTGTCTACTGCCCCATCTGTTGTGTCTCCTTCTCCAACAACCATACCTCCTGACAACCTTACTCCCCCTGTTACCAGTGTTTGTTCCACTATAGGTCAAAATACAGCAGACTCAGTGATCATTGCACAGAAACCGTGTGTATCAGCAGTAGACCTGGCCTCTGCTGCTCCTAATTCCCCGTCTCCTGCTGCAGTGTTGCCAGTCAGCCAAACAGGTGTTGAAAAGCAGCAGACATTAAATCAGGTAGCCACATCTGCCCCACTGCAAACGCAGCAACAGAATACATCCCAGCAGCAAGCCCCGGCAACACAACAACCACAACGGTCAACACCGCAACAACAGCTATCACAGCACCAGATCTACCAGGATCAAATTCCGCTGCAGCAAGAGCGAGCGTCACAACCTTCTCTGCAACAATTACAGCAACAGCAGCTAATGCAACAACAAGTATCCCTCCAGCAGCAGCTGACCGAGGTGCAAGTACTCCCCCAGCCAGGCCATGGAGATGTGCCACAACAGTCTGTGCCACTCCATCAGTTTTTGCCACCTTTGCCCCTACAGCAGACCCAAACCCCCCCAACCTCCCTGCAGACCCTGCAACCTCAACAGCAAACGCAGCAGTATGCCCAACAGATACTGCAACAACCTCAATTTCCGGTTGTGGCACATCAAGCTGCAGTATTTGCCCAGCAGCAGGCTAACATTGATCAGCAGCAGCAGCAGGTAAATGTCCAGCAGACAGGACATTTGGAGCAGCTGCAGCAACAGCAGCAGCAACACCAGCTGTTTATGAGTGTTGTAGCTCAGAGCCAAATGCTGCCTTCTTCCATTGGCCAACAACTTGTTCAACAGCAGACACAGCTAAATGTTAGCCCTGTCCCTCAACAGCAGATTCTACAACAAATCCAAATGCCTGCTGAAATGTTGCAGCAGCATCCGCAGTCACAGAAACAGCTGCAGCACTCTGAGCAACAACAGGAAATGGTTAAAGCCATGCATACACCCCAGAGACAGCAGCAGTTTTCTCTGCAGAAGCAGCCCTCTTTACAGATGTCAGAGTCAGAGGCATCCACGGGAGAAACAAGTTTTACTGAGGATACGGGAAGCTATTCTGCCCACATTCCTGCTTCATCCGACTCCTCTCTGCCCCCTCTCCATCTGAGCACCACTGAAGCCCCCTTACCCAATTTCTCCCTGGCAATGACACCATCTCCCGCTCAGCCTTCGTCTGTGGCCGAGTCAGACAGTGAAGGGCCCCCCAAAATTGAGTTTGTGGACAACCGTATAAAGACTCTGGATGAAAAGCTGAGAAACCTGCTGTATCAGGAGTATAGCAGTGGCGGCACACTGGCTGGGGCTGCTTCTGTTCCTACATCAGCTGCCTCCACATCAGCAGGAGGGGATGAATCATCTGAGCCACAGTCTCTTCACCACTCATCTTTTCCCCCACCTGCCTCTTCCTCAGATACTTCCCCCCACTCCTCATCCTCCACTACCTCCTCCACCACTTCTCGTTCTTCTTCCACCTCTCCTGACCCAGAGAGAGATGGAGACGGAAAGCAGGCTTCTTCAGAAGTGCCCGACCCTGTGGCGTCGGGTCCAGTGGAGCAGCAGCCTGGCCCATCGCTTACCTCCGCTTCTGTCTCATCCACCCTGCCTGCTTCTCCCCTGCTTCCAAGTCAGGATGACTCTGCAGTCTCCCAGTGCCCACCTTTACCAAGAGAACCAACCATCCTTGTGAGTGAATAAGAAGAGTGACCTTCTGAGTAAATTCTCTCTTAGATATGTCTTTCACTGTTTTGCATTAACTTTATTTTACTGTTTATGTTTCAGTGTGTCATCTTTCAGATGTCTGTGATTACTTGTCAAATTTAAATGTTGAGCATCTCTCCCTTTTCACATCTCCATGCGGGAACCCTTAACTGTCTTAACTGTTCTAGGCTGTACCCACACACTCTGACACCAGTGCCTCTGGAGATACTTCATGGTCCTCCAATCAGCACCCGATCCCCCTCCGGCATGGACGGCAGCAGCATAATGCAGGAGGTGGATATTTTGGCCTAAACCTGACATGTCCTAGTATCAGAAATCCTGTTAGCAAGAAATCCTGGACTCGAAAATTCAAAAACTGGGCATGCAAACTGCGCCACTCCGCCAGCTTGTTCAAGAAGCCCAGAGTCCAGCAAGGTAGCGTCCTCTTAGGGAGCGAGAGAGAGAGCGCGAGACTGAGAGAATGGGGTGTTGGGGCATGGACTTACATCCTATGTCTAATACTAGGTTAACATAGTGAAATAACTTTCTTACCACTAAAACGTAATAAAGTTTAATGCTAATGACTGATAATGTTTAAAACTGAACAATTATGTTTTGTATATTGTTATTTTCTCGACTCCATGTAACGTCAGTGTTGACATCACTGCATACATAACTTTTTTTTTTGTTTTTTTGACTAAATTTAATTTCCTTGCCAACTTTTCTTTTTGCATGGTTTACTCAGAGGCAAGAACGTTGGAGAGTAGAGGAGGGTAGCAGATTGTCACAGAGTAGGAAGAGGTTGGCATAAAAAATCTGATGCCCTCCAAGTGCAGATGAGCTCTGGAGTAAAACCCAGCTGTGACTTTTGCCCAGGACACGTCCCCTCATATGACACATCCCTTCACTGCCCCAAGCCTACAGCCACTACCAGCAGCATCCTCCTCACTTCCTCACCCACACTTGCGTGCTCAGTATAGAAAGCACAGTGAAAGTCGCATTATAAACAGATGAGATAGAGGCTAAGTAGTTTAACTAATAAAAAGCATTGAAAATGCTTTTGCACGTTCTGCGTAGTGTTAGTGGATGGTGGGTGGAAGCCTGAGTTCTGGCCTACGCTGCATTACGTTTTTTATTCACATTTTTATGGAAACAGGGTTGTTTACGTTGTCAATGACCCAGGATCTGCGAGATACTGCTAGGCTTGTGCACAGGCAGGCTTTTTATGTGTGTGAGTTTTGTCATGCTGTTAAAAATACTGTACTTCACCCATTTTTGCACGTGTTTGTGTTTATATCTGTTGCATGTTTAGCAGTAGCTTAGATCTTCTGCTACAAGAACACATGCATGAGCATCAATGTTATGTTCCACACAAGTGACTAATAATGGACCATTATCTGTAAGTAACACCCATAACAGGCTTCACATTTTGTTTTAGTTTTTTGGTTTATCTTGAATCATTCTTTCATTATCCATCCTCACAATTTGTTAATATAATAATCCTGAATGTCAGACATGGGCTGATATCACTGTCGACCTGGTCTCAGGTCTAAGGTGTGATATTGTGCTTTGTTGTCTAAGTATCACTGAGAGTGAAAGAGTGGATGTGTGGGGTGGGTTGGGTATTCTGACTTTTATTGCCATCTGACACGTTTTAATAACTACAGTTTTGTTTTTGATGCAATAACTTTTAACCACTCCTCCCCACATGCCCAGCAGATGTTTATTTCACAACCATAGAAAAATGTATTCTTCAGTTTGTATTTATCATTTAGCAATCAACACAACATATAGAATGCTCACACATTTTTAAGATGTGCATGTAAAGCTAATTAAGTCACAGAGTTGATGATGTGAAACATTGATGAGTATTTTTTAATAGTTCGTCTGTTGTCATGCGTCACGTCTGTCTGTGTGCACCTCTGTGTCGTGCCTTTTTCTGTGTTTGTCAACATTCATTTACTCTTCTTGTACATGTGTGTCTGTGTTCTCGTCTCTACGTCCTTGCCTCCCCCTTTTTGTTTTTCATCCCTATCTCTTCATCAGAGAAACAATCGAGCAGTCTGGCACTTGGAGATGAGAAGGAGGCGACACCACTGAATCCGCCTCAATCACGCACAGGACGGTTTCAGGTAGCACTAATGCTTCTAAATGTTGTCCTCTTTTTTTAATTAGTCTGGGTGTTTTTTTAATACCTCCCACATCTACTGCTGTCAGGTGACCCCGGTGCCCCAGACCTCCCCCCCAAAAGAGATGGCATCAGGCCACAGTAGCACTCACAGGAAAGTGGGTCGCTTCTCTGTAACCCAGGCTGAGACCAAGAAAGACTACAGACAGACTGACAGCTCACCAGTGTCTCCTGATTTGGAAAGAGAGAGGAGGAGGTCTCGGACAAAGGAGGGGGATAGAGAGGAAAGTAAGAGAACGCCATCAGCAGCCCACCTGCCTCGAGGTCTTGGGCACAGCCACTCGCCACTGAGCAGCAGTGATGACGATAATGATGAGAGTGAGCTGGAGGATGAAGAGCTGAGAAAGGAGCTGCACAAACTCAGAGAGAAGTATGGCGGTTAATCGTCTTCTCTTTTTTTCTTTAACGGTCTGTCTTTGCATACGGTTTCAAATGAATATCCTTTTTTCACAGGCACATCAAAGAGGTGGTTTCTCTGCAGGCTCAGCAGAACAGAGAGCTTCAGGAACTTTACAAACAGCTGCGTTCCCTAAAAGACCAAAGACAGAGTCTGCCTGCTTCTCTTTCCCGAACTCCTCCACCTCCTGTCCTGTCTCCACGCAGGCCAAGGCCAGGCAAAACTAAGCTTCGACCCAGACCTCACTCTCACATGGATAACAATGGAGTGACTCGCGCTGGTTAGGGTTTAAAGCCATTTTTCTTCAATTTCTTGTTTCTACCCTTTGCTCCCTGTGTACCTTTATCTCATGTGTCTCTTCTGCAGGGATTCACCCGTCAAGTAGTTTTTCAGGTGGAGAACAGGGTAGAGTGTCGTCACTTTTTAACCCAGAGCATCATACCTCACTTCTTGCAAAAAGAGGTAAAAGTTGCTATGACAGAATTTAATCAACTAATGCCGGTCAGTGATACTAAGAAGAAGTTTCTTCTTCCACAGATCACAGTCCCTCAAGAAAAAGCACATTCACAGATGAATTGCACAAGCTTGTTGATAATTGGACAAAGGAGATGGTTGGCCCTGTCCCACCCAAGCCTTCTCTGAATCAAATCAAGCAGATTCAGCAGGTACAGGAGTTAGGGCGCTGGAGCCAGTCAGAGGTATGACGACACGCTCCAAAAAGGATGTAGATTGTTATGTAGACTAACCAAACTGCATTAGGTGCATTGTTTTTAACTTTGTGATGAATTAAAGGTTAAAAAATGATTAAATATTATGGATATTTTTGATGAGGGACATTTGTCTGACCAGTCAACAGATTTGTCTCCATATTCATTAATATAATGCCAACAGGTGACCCCGCCAGTTTGGTTTCAAGCAGCACGACTGAGCCCCCAGGCCCCCGCTGCTCCTGCAGTCGTGGCAGCGGCGCCTTCTTCTCATTACAGCGGTGGAGGAAGCCTGACCACCATACCCTCATCTGGGCCTCCACCACAACAAACCCTTGTAGCTCAAGTGCCACAGGTTCAGCAAAATGTGCACCTTCCTCAGTCTCTCCCCCTCCATCAGATGACCTATCAGCAGTCCCCTCTCTGCCAGCAAACACCCCAGCCGCGGATGCAAACCCCTATTCAGTCACTGTCACAGACACAACCAACCACCCAGCTGCCCCACTCGCCATCACAGAGCCAACCGCTGCTGCCTTCCCAGATGCCCACATCACCAGTGTCCACGGTCACCTCTCTGCTGCCTGGCAGTGGTACCTCTGTACCCACTGATAGCTCTGCTGCTACCGGGGGGGCATTTTGCTCCTGTTCTTCATCTTCCCCTACATGTTGCTCATCTTGCTCAACTGCTGCTATACCTTCCAGTGCCAAAATTCACCAAACAACCCCCACCTCTACTCTTCCTCTGGGACAGAAATGAAACCAAGTGAAGTGTGAGGGAAATATGAAGGTCAAAGAAATGGAAATACTCAGTGGGTCAGTACGCAAATCTGATCCATTTGGAGTGTTTGTTTTGTGTACGTGTGAAAGAGTTGTGACTGAAATGTGTATATAGATTCCAGGGTGCTACTGGATGTGGTGGGAAATGAATGTTTAAGACAGATACAGTCAGGATGGATGTTTGGATGTTGAAATGTAAAAAAAAAAAGTCTTAAATATATGAGTGTGTGCATTTATGAGTGTGGGTGAGTGTTTATGGGACATTTGAGTACATATCACTTTGGATACAAGTCCTGTTTTTGTTTGCAAACCTCTGCACCTGAAATCTCCCAAAGCAGAGACAAGAAGGACAAACTATTTGACGATGTTGGCCTTTTTGGTCGGCTGCTTACATTGAAAGGACTATCAATTTTAAAAGTGCAATTAGTAATGGTCATCTAAATTGTATTGATTTATCTGTGAGGCATAAAATATTTTTGTAGAGGCACAGTGGTGATTATGATGCATCGAAGATTTTTCTTCACCACCTTTTAATCTGTAGGCATACAGCACAATGTGTTTCAATGGGCAATGATAAAAAGAGAAAAAGAGCATGTTGCACAGTTAAGCACGACTAAGGGATCTGGAAGCCCTCTTCTCCACAGTGCAGCCAAACATGTTGCAGTGTTGTGTACGGTACAGCATGTGTTTTGTAATGTTTTGTGTTTGTGACAGAAAACTGTTCGAATTAACACGATCAAACGAGTTCATTATGCGATGATAACCTGAAATATTCTCTCTGTGTTCAGAAAATATCTGAATACACTCAACTCAAGACTGCATGACCCTATTACTAATTTGACTTGCCTGAGTGCAAACTGCCTGCTCCTGCTTTATATTCATGAAACTCTCAGTCACTGTTCCCATCCCGCCAAGCTGATAAATCACAGGCGCATTTGCTTTCAGTCTTATGGGCTTTCACGTCTGACTTTTTTGCTTTCAGTTTAAGCTCTGCATATCAAAGTTTATCTGTCAGGCTAAGGAGGAAGACGAAAAAATTATTTGTAAAAAAAACAAAACAACCACTGCCAAGTTATTTTTAACTGGGGAAATCACAGTGAAATGTTTTTTCCCGTGATGCCTTTTTAAAATGACTGCGTTGTTGTGAGTGTGTACTTTTTCTGTGCGGCAAAGCTGTGATTGTCTCCTGGTATATGGCATCACGAACAGCGCCCTTTCCATTTTTTGTCCATTCAAAGTAGCCAATCAGATTTCACTATCCTTAAAAGGAAAGAAATAACTGCTCGTGTTCTGGGATGGCTTCTTCAACAGACAGAAAAGTGACAATTTGATCATTTGTGTTTCAGTCCTCGGTTACCTTCTCTGCTTTCCATTGCATTTTTTTCCAGTATCGGTTGTTAAACATTTAATCTTTGACCACAGGCTTTCAGTGTAACTGCATCAGTCAAGGGTTGAATTAGGGCCGTAGGGACACCACTAAAGATTTATTTTCTTTATTTCCCAACAGACTTCAATACGTCTTATTTGTAAATGCCGAGACAAGCGGAGTAATATATCAGAAGAAGATACAGTACTTTACAGTTTATTGACGTTTTAGTGCACCTCACAATAAACATGTTTGACTAGTCTTGGTCAAGCTTTAATACATTTTTTCATTGTTATACTTAGCCTGTAGTCAAAGCAGCATTTCTGTTTTACTGATTATAGAGATTGTGTGCCACAGACAACAGGAGATTGCACTGTGTGGTAAGAAGAGCTTAATGTGACTAAAAGACATAAAAAACATAGTCTAAAGGGGGAATAGTTCATACTATAGAGTATGGTTGTTGAGAGACTGGAAAATCTAGAGTATGACATTTTCAGTTCTCTGTATTTGTTGCTTTTCAAGACTTCCTACATCCTCCCAGAGATGTAGTTCATTAATAGTGATGGTGAGATACTGTGCTGTTTATGTCTGATACTAACATGTATCTAACAAGCCACAGCTTGACAGTCAAGATTATGAAGCAGGCTTTGTCCTTGAAGTGTTACCAAAATGTTATCTAAAATATAAAGATTATTTTTGTATTTTGGAATGGGCTTGTACAAATTGTAAAATTGTGTTCTCATCATTTTAAAGGAGAGGTTATTTGAAATTAGAAAAAAAAACAACAACACTGGTTTTCATCCCTGTTTACATGGGACTCCCTTTCCTTAAATACCTCTCTGGGTACTGGCAGGCAAGACTTTTCTTTCAGAAAAGTGTTGGTCATTTTTGACTACATACTGAGTCTCTGAATAATGCTAACCTGGACAACGTATTACAGAGTAACACCAGCTTTTTTGCTTCACTGCAGGTCAAATATAATTAAACAAATAATTGCAATGACATTCTGGGGAGTCCCAAAATGGTGACTGAGAACCAATGATAAGAATACATTTGGCCATAAAATGAAATTTAAAAAACAGAATTAAAGTTTGTTGCTGGTGAGTTAGCCTCTGTAAATTGTAACTAATTCAGCTGTTGATTTTATTTATGTTTTGTAACTAATCAAAATAAACGATGTTCAACATCAGATTTCCCTTTTTTTCTTATTTGCCAGTTAGAATAGACCCCTCTGGGGTTCTCTTTTGAGTTTTTCCACAGGAATTTATGCATTGCCTACATTTAAACCATCATTTAAATTTTAAAATGAGTTATTATATAAAAAAACTCTCTGCTTTGATTTTGTTAGGTTTTTGTCCAAATACAGCATGGGATTGAGCAATTTTTACAAAATAACAGTGGACTTTCCAGTCATTGGTTTTATGTTGAAAGGGTGACTTGGATGTGAAGTAAAGTTATAATCATGAAGTATATATGGTTAGTATCTTTTAAAAAAAAATAATTAAAAAAAATCTAAATTCTATGAAGATTAACCCACAAGCAGGGGTCATGGGTGGGGATGGTGAAGAGATTTTTTCCACTTTAACCTGGGATAATCAGGTCTACATGCACACTTTATAAATAAGTCTAATGGCATAACATTTCAGTTTTGATCATGATTTCAACAAAAATGACTTATATATAAAAGCAGGGCCTTAAAATCTGATAATCAAGTGAAAAAAAATCTTGTTTGCAGAGACCAAGAATATATCTGCCAAAGGAGTTAAACAATATGCAGTGTATTTGTTCATTTACTTTTCAATATTCGAACATGTTCATTAATTGGTTTTATTGTTAAACAGTCCTTACTTGCAGATTGTATTTTGCTTTGTAAATTGCACACAATATTGTAAAGTACATTTTAATGAAAAATGTTGCTCCCTCGTTTTTAAAAAAAATGCAACTTGGTTTTTCTGTTGGCAACTTTATTGTTCCACCCACGACGGACAATGACGACAACGGGCTGACGTTATTCCCTTTGAAATGGCGCTGATGCAGTTAATACGCTGTTGTTTTTAGTCATTGTGTACGTTTTGGTGACTGTAGGTCTTACTTTTCGGGCCCTTTGTTAACATCTGGACCTGGCCTTTATATTGGAGCATCACGGAGTCGATAAACAAAAATATAGTGAAGCAAACTGTTAATAACTGACGTTGCATAATAAGGCCGCAGCTTCCCCCGAGTTTGCGTAGGGATTACAACCGACTATCAATGCTTGGCCTAGCCAAAGAGCTACAGCTCGGTGAGTTGCAAGCGGTTAAGGCCACTTTAGGCGTTAGAAGTGTCCTTGGTTTCGATTATCCAATTGCACTAACTTCAGTAAACGCTTTTTCAACCAGTTGTACATAAAGTTGTTGTGAAACAGTCGTTTAAGTTCACACTTTCCTCAATATTGTGTTTTGCTAGCTACAGTCAGCTATCTCGGCTAACGCTAGCTTACTTGCTATTCAAGTCGGAAAACGTTGCCATGCAAAGTGTTTACAAACTGTCAGCTAACGTTACAAACTCAATTTGGTAAAACGTTTAATGTAATCAGCAAAGCAAATAATGTCTCATTACACCTATACGAAACATGCAATTCATCGGTTTATAACTAAATAATAGACAATTGGTCATCTAGGACATCACTTAACTTTATTCCACACAACCGAAGGAAAATGAGTTTTGTTGTTAAGCTAACTGCCTGAACTGGTAGTTTTTAACAAGAAAGCAGGTTGTTATTTAGCACCTTTTAACAAATAAGCATACGGTGTAATTGCATTTTTGTATTGTCTGATCACGAACTAATTTAACTGTTCCTCTCACTTTTTATGTTTGCTTAGGTTTTCAACTGAATCTCAGCTGGCATGTCTGTAACTAACGGGGATGTGGAAGTGAAGTGAAATCTTGAGACTAGTTCACTCCTGTTGAAATATTATTATTATTACGTGATTGATAAAGCCCTTGCTTTGTCAGTCTTTTATAGTCAGATTTTTTTAAAAACGTAAATCATTTGAGGAGTATTTTTACACACAAAACAGACAGCATGGCCTCGGTGCCAGTGTACTGTTTGTGCCGCCTGCCATATGATGTGACACGGTTCATGATCGAGTGTGACATTTGTCAGGACTGGTTTCATGGAAGGTAGGATTATTTTAGATTTTGTTGATTTTTATTTTGTAGAGAGTTTCAATATTGTGTTATTTAATTCTCCAAAATTTGATGTCATATATTGCCTCGAGTGATTTCAAAAGCTATTCTAATATCGAACTATCCGATACTATAAAGCATACTTTAAGTGAAAGCATTGTTTCTATGTAGCTGTGTTGGAGTAGAGGAGGAGAAAGCGACTGAAATAGACCTGTACCACTGCCCCAACTGTCAGGTCACTCATGGGCCGTCTGTCAGTAAGTTTCCTGTTTTTATTTTTATTTTTTTCATTGTCAGCTTATGGATGGACAAAATGATGAGATTCCTATTTGCATACATCTCTGAGTTAGTTATGATGCCACGCTTTGTTGTTCTGGAGGGGCTTCTGTCGATAGTAGCTTTCTGTGTCTGTTTTTTTTAGTGCGCAAACGTCGCGGAGGCAATAAGCACACAGAGGGAAGTACCACTGGAGGAAGAGATCCAAGTCGGCCTGTGAAGACCGGAAGTCCACAGTTTGTTAGGGAGCTACGGAGCCGTACGTTCCCGAAGTAAGACCCCAGTCCAGCAGTGGCGGGCGTTTTTTTCTAAGCAGGTTTAAATATACAACAATGATGTACTGAACACAACACACTGCTCTAACAAGGTTCTACACTTTGAAATAGTTCAATATCCTTTGTTCAGCATTTCCCTTTATCAGTGAAATTTTGTATACTTCTACCCCCCTGATATGTGCCCGTGTTGTTACAGTGCGGATGAAGTCTTGCTAAAGCCATCTGGCGCACAGCTAACAGTCGAATTTCTGGAAGAGCATTCATTCAGTGTTCCTGTCCTGGTGTTGAGGCGGGATGGCTTAGGCATGACCCTTCCTCCATCGTCATTTGGCGTCACGGATGTAGAGCACTATATTGGTAATTTTTTTATTTTTTATTAAACAAATTAATACTTAACTCTACTCTTGTTTAACAAAAGCAAAAAAGTATGAGCATGTCACTCTTATTCTGATGTCTGTACTCTTTTCAGTGCCTTTCAGTTAAATAAAATGTTGTTTCTTAAAGATATCTTATAAAATAATGCACAGCTGATAGCCCTTAAGACCATCGAGTAATGGTCGTGCAGAGAATGAAGTTGGCTTATGGTTTTTTCAGGCGTTAAGGTCAGGTCTGCTACAACTTTTTAAAAGCTGATTGAAAATAATATTTTAACTTGAGCTTTGTATGTTTGTACACAATCTTTTATTTCTGCATTAATTGTTGTCTTACTCTGTTTTAAGTATGCAGACTTTGTACCTGATTTACAATATGCACAACAATAATAAACCTCAAATTAATAGTTTCATTTATATCACATATCATAAGTTCTTTTCTAGGTTGCATACCCATCAATTCTTGTTAATTGCAGGTTCAGATAAAGAGATAGATGTGATTGACGTGTCTCGGCAGTGTGATTTGAAAATGCGTTTGGGCGACTTTGTTGAATACTACAACAGCCCCAACAGAGACAGGGTTCTCAATGTGATCAGCCTGGAGTTCTCTGAGACCAGGTACACACAGATAGTATTTATTATTCAATGCTTCCTCATTTTTTATGTTTTTTTACTTGAATTCAGCTTCTATAACATTTTGGAAATAATTCCGGTGTGTCTTGGATCTGTTGTAGGCTTTCAAACTTGGTGGAAACTCCTAAGATTGTGCGGAAACTCTCATGGGTGGAAAACCTGTGGCCAGAAGAATCTGTTTTTGAACGTCCCAATGTCCAAAAGTACTGTCTGATGGGAGTGAAAGATAGCTATACGGACTTCCACATAGACTTTGGAGGTACCTCTGTGTGGTACCATGTCCTGAGGGTAAGTAGATAAACATGATATAGTTATATTTTTCAGGTTTCAGAGACTTTTCCTGCACTTAAATAAGTGTTGTATTTTAAAAGTTTATCTTTCTGCTTTCACAGGGTGAGAAAATTTTCTACTTGATTTCACCCACCCCAGCCAACCTCGCACTTTTTGAGAGGTGGAGTTCCTCGTCTAATCAGAATGAGATGTTCTTTGGGGACCAGGTTGATATGTGCTACAAGTGTTCTGTCAAACAAGGAAACACTTTGTTCATACCAACAGGTAAGGAGTGGATATGTAATCCAGTATTTGTAGTTTCCCATTGCTCTGTACAAGATGAAACAGGATTTAAACGTTCTTTTAGCCTTTATTTTTGTGTGGTGGTTGGAGTAATGTTGGGACAATACAGAAATGTTTAGTAATTAAACTGATTTCATCTGGGCATGTTTTGAATAAACCACATTTTTTGGTCTTGTGTTTGTTTCCAGGGTGGATTCATGCAGTGCTGACTCCAGTGGACTGCCTGGCCTTTGGAGGCAACTTCTTGCATAGTCTTAATATTGACATGCAGCTGCGGTTAGTTTTCTGAAGAATCTTCATAATATCTTCACATCAGATGAATTTACCGCTTTTAGACTCACTGGTGTTGCAATTGTAAATGTTGCTTTCCTACAAGCATATCAAAGCAAAGAAAAGAGATGGAGTGACTGAAATCTCATTTTTGTGGATAGTATTCTCAAAGTTGGCATACTTGGAAGTCTATAGATGGTATGTTTTTACATAGGCTGGCAAGTAGTTAGCAAATTGAGAAGCCTGTGGTGGGAATTAGGAATAAAGTTATTAATTTAGTATAGATAGGAAGTCATTGCATCAGCCACTACAGACCAGATTTGTTGCTGTTTTAAAGACTGTTATCCCCTCTTCACCTTTCACTGAAAACTGAATTATTCAAATGACAGTGGAAAATCAAATATGAATAACTTTTAGTTTTGTATGAGTTGATTAGCAGTTAATATTTTAGGGCCATCTGACTTTTCTCATGCCTTTGGTGTCTGTATTTCAGGGCTTATGAAATAGAGAAGAGATTAAGCACAGCGGACTTGTTTAGGTTTCCCAACTTTGAGACAGTGTGCTGGTATGCAGGAAAGCACCTTCTTGACACTTTCAGAGGTAAAGGACTTGAATTAACCTTAGATTTCTAATTAAATGATGTGTGTCTGTTATGCATCTTATTAGCATTATTAACTTTGTCTTACTCTGGCTAAGGTTTGCGAGAAAATCGCAGGCACCCTGCCAGCTATCTTGTTCATGGAGCGAAGGCCCTAAACAATGCTTTCCGCAGCTGGACGCGTAAGGAGGTAGAAACCATTTATGTACCTCACTTGTTGTTTTTTTTCTTCTCCATTTTTTGGCCTTTTTTATTTGATTAGATTGTTTTCTTTTTACCTAAAGAAGGTAAGAGAGTGAACTTAGATTGAGAATAGTATAAATAAAAATATTCTAGATGTGCAAGGTCTTCCCTTCATGAAATGTGGAAAGGAAAAATGTAGTATTGTGTTTAATGTGGTTTGGTGCACGCTGTTGAGCCGTGTGTATTCTCATGGTTCCACTATGAATTACCAGGTGCTTAAAGTCCGCACATGCAAAGCAGAAAAGAAAAGGCATGCAGGAGTGACGAATGCAAACTGGAGATTTGACTTTTCTTGAACTGTTCAAGGCTTTTTCCACTTGAAATATATATACATATATATATCACTGAATCCTTCATTTTAGACAGAAATGTATTGAAGGAGAACAACACCAATGTGATATGAGTTTCAACAGCCAGAAAGAAGTGAAGAGGAGTTACCAATATATCAGATCATTTAATAAAATGTATTTATACTACATATGCCACAACATTAACGATGAGTGAACTATCCAGTTTTTTAATGAGACTACTATGTTCATCATAAGTTTCTTTAATATGTTATAATGACTGACAGTTATCCCATTCTCAGTCTTTACCAGATCATGAAGTTGAGATCCCAGAGACTATCAACACCCAGACACTTGTTAGGGACCTGGCCAAGGAGATTCGTCTTGTCGAGGTAAAGATTAGAACTACTTGAAAAAAAAAAAAATATATATATATATAATTTGAAAATGGCATGCAGAAATGTATAGATGAATAACTTTTTTGCTTCATATTAAACTGTGCTTTGCTTCGCCAGGATATATTTCAACAGAATATTGGCCGCACTGGACCTCAGTTTCCTGGGGCGTCGCTTTCCAAAGCTCCATTGAGTTCCTCTAATAACTCTGGACGCCCCCCTGGAAAAAAGAAAGGACCCAAGCCCAAAGAGGTGGTAGGGGGCCTCGTATCCCCTGGACCCAAAAAGAAAAATCAGAAGGGGCTACTTAAGGCAGAAGCAGGAGAACTCGACCTCATTGAGATCCACACCAAACACACACTGAAGAAAATTCAACCCGGTAAATCTAAACACAAGAACAAGGTATGCGCGAGGATAATGAAATACTAAAAATTACTATTTAAGTGCATGTGTAAGTCAATGTCTAAGTGTTATAACAATATGTATTATATTCCCATCCAGCTGGAGCTGCCATTAGAGGAGTTTGAAGGGAAGCTAAACAAAAGCAAACTGAAGCTCGTGCTTACCAATGGGAAAATAAAAGGGTGAGTGTTGAAGCAAACTTTGTTTTAGTTTTCATACACTTGAAAACTTTAGCTTTTACTGTTTTTTTTGTTGTTTTTTTTATTCATAGTAAAAAAGATGGTAGCAGTAATGGTGCAGGGAGTGCTGGAAAGTACAAGCACCTTGCTACAGAGGGATCCAGTCTTTCTGATTTGGAATCTGAGGATGAATTGCAGATTGATGAGACCCCCCCTCCAAAACGCAAGACTCCTGGACCTGGCAAGAAAAAGAAACTAAGTGGTGAGCTTTGGATTCCTAGCAACAGTATACTAACATTTGATTAGAATTTCACAGATTTGATTTTGATGTGTGAATGCTCCCGTAGGTCTTCCAAGGAAGCTCCCACGGGCCAAACCCTGCTCTGACCCTAATCGCATCAGGGAACCAGGAGAAGTCGACTTTGACATTGAGGTGAAGACCAACAACGTTTTGTACATTCTGACTGTTGTCTTTAAGATGTAGTCACTTTAGACAGCAAAGCCTGAATGATGAGGAGGATAACTGACTCCGCTCAAATGATTTGCAGGATTTGGGTGGAAAGGTACTAGAATCGAGTGATGTTACACTGTTCATATCAGACCTTTAAGCAAGTTCTCACTAGTTACAATCACTCTATTTTCAAATCTTTTTTTAATTATCGCTTTGGAAAAGGTCTGTCAGGCTGTGATTTGTCGTGAAATCTATACCTGAGTAGTATGACAGCTCTTGACAGCATTTTTTTTTAATGGCTCCAGGAGGACTACACTACTGATGAAGAGGCGCTGGCTGCCCATGGAGTGAAGGGTGGTGCAGGGGGCATCCTTGATTTATTAAAGGCCAGCAAGCAGGTCGCAGGATTAGACTCTGCAGCACTGAGGTTGTGAGCCTTGTTTTACCAAATGATAATCTGAAAAAAAAAAAAGTTTTTCTAAAAATCTGTTGGATTGATTATTTATTTTCTTTCTAATGCCCAGTGAGGAAGCCCCAGCCTCTCCCAGCACTCGGGATGCTATCCAGGGTATGCTCTCCATGGCCAACCCCCCTTCATCTTCCTCATCTTCATCCTCCTCATCCCCCTCATCTATCTCTGGCGGCCTGACAGAGGGATTAGGGGTCGTCAAGGAAAAGGGTCGCAGGGCTGTGTGGGTGACTTCCGGAGTCAAGAAGACGGCAAACTCTGAGAAGAAGCCTGTTATCCAGCGGCCTGGAAAACGACCAATAAAAAAGCCTGCCCGTCATCTGAGCGATGAAGAGAGTCCAGATGAGCAAGAGACATTAGGAACTTGTTTTAAAGACTCTGATTATGGTGAGAAAAAACAAACATCCAATGTTTTTATGATTATAGATCAATACACGATTTTTTTTTAAAAATGAAGTAATCCTAAGATTATAGCGATGAATATGTTTTTAAAGTTTACCCTTCGTTGGAGTCCGATGAGGATGACCATACCAGCAAAAATAAGATGAAGCGGAAGAAAAACTGGGATGACACACCGTGGAGCCCAAAAGGTAGTTGACTACATGTCAACATGGACACTTTCTTTTTAACCTTTCTAATGGTTGATCTCTCAACAAGCTATTGCTATTTACAGCAAGGGTGATGCCCACCCTTCCAAAACAAGAGCGACCTGCCAGGGAAGGGGCACGAGTCGCCTCTGTAGAAACTGGCCTGGCAGCCGCCGCTGCAAAGTTGGCTCAACAAGTGAGTGAGAAAAAGTCAACGCATTAGTTTCAAAATATGTGTCCATGAAGAATGTGGAATAGAAAGAGCTTGACAGTCTTGTTTGTGCTTGTGACTCAGGAGCAGCAAAAACCTGCCAAAAGGAAGTACACCAAAAAGCAGCGCCCTCCTCCTCCAGTCGTCACTCCTCCACCTGTTCAGACCGAGCCTGCCCCGCTCTCACCAGCACCTGCTCCAGAGTCTGGAGCAGATGTCAGCCCAGACAGACGAATGGATTATTATTCTGCCAGTCTGTTAGACCATGAATACACAGCAGGACCGGGACCTTTCGGCCCCGGGGGCCCTCGAGGCAGTGGGGCCATGGCTCCTGGTGTATTCCTTACTTCTCGAAGACCCTCTCTGTCCCCTCAGAATAGCAGCTCTCATTCTGGTGCATCCCTTACAGGTTTAGCCAGCCAGGGGACAGCAGCAGTCGCTCAAGGTAGGTACAAATATTGACTTGGAGTAAATAGTACACTATTGTTTCATGTTTATATTTCTTTTGATGTATTTCCCTTATTTTTCTCTTTTACTTTGATTTAGGCAAACGCCCAAAGAAAGGACTTGCAACTGCAAAACAGAGACTTGGAAAAATTCTGAAAATTCACCGCAATGGCAAACTTCTCTTGTGAGAAGTGTTCAAAATGTGGCTGAAGACTTGAAAGAATGAAGAAAAGGCCTGTGTAAAGCAGGTCTGAAGGAAAAGGAGACGATTATCTATATTTTTACTTTGAATAGATTTGTTCACGATTTTCACTTGTTATCGAACCTCATCACATCTTTCCCTTCACCAGTTACTCTGCCCAACTCATCTTATCCACACGTACATTGGAGCTTTTTAGAGGAACCTCTGTGACTTTAATTATATCATTGCTGGAGGCACATTTAATATGGTGAATTTTTTTTAAATCTCACATATTTGACATTGTGCAAAAATACTGCAAAAAATGGGAACATAGGTTTAGCATAAATTGACAAAAACCAAATAATTTCTTTTGTTACAACTACTGTATATATGTAAAGTCCATTTAACATTTTTAAAATGGAAATAAAATAGCTTTTTCTAGTCAGGTAAAAAAAAGTAATGTTTGCATAGCCCCAAACCCCATGCACTTTTGTGCGAACAGTGCAAAACAGTCTGTAGATTTGGTGTTGTATGTAGCTGCCTTTCTTTTTTTCCCCAGTTTTCTGTAATAATGTTACAGCTAGTACACCACTCTTTACACAAACAGTTGTTAAAATATTCCCTGTGTGAAGCAGGCTACATGTATGATTCTTGGAGCTCTAAACACAGCATGGAAAGTTTTCATATTATTCCGAGACAACCGATTGTATTTATTTTTTCATATTTATTTAACAAGGCAGAATTTCTTTTTTTTTCTCTCCAGTTTTTAGCCTGTTTTAATGTAGCATGCATTGCCTCTCAGTCCTTATTGTGAGTACTTCAGTTATTTTCTACCACCTGAAATCTGAAGAAGACTCTGTTGTTCTGTTAGAATTTTGTTTAGTTTTTGTTGTCCTTGTAAATATTTGTAATATCTGTAATTTATATAGATGCATAGGAAAAATGGAAAAAAATTATGAGATGAGTTTTGTGCATGTTTGAGCCCCAAGTGTTGTCAGCTTTCTTGGGTAAACTGAAGAGATGTGCTTCATATCAGAATGTACAAGTCATAGCAAATGTTGGAGAGGTGTCAATGTAAATTAGTACAAACTTTGTGAAGGTGCAGGAAATTGATATGTAAATATCTGTTTTTAATTTAATTTCTTTTATAGTTCCAAAACTTTAAATCTTTCATAACATGTACATGTCTCATTTGGCCACTTGGGAAACATGATAGTTCTTTTTTTATATTTGTATGCAGTAAGTGTAATGTTCCATTCATATTGTCTTTTTAGTGTAATATTGGATGTATACCAGGAAAAAAAATGCCCTTGATGAATTTAATCCATTTTAGTTTTATATTTGTTCATACTTTGTGTTGGTGTGTACATTGTCTAAAACATGATGTGTTGATACAACCTGGACAAGATAAAATTTACCCTGGGCAAAATTGGCTTTTTCATTTTTTTTTTTTAATGAGAATATCACCAAAACCTTAAACGCGATTAGTGGACAAAGTAACTTGTTTTGTTTTCACCACATTTCAGCCTGTTGGAAATGTCAGGTATCAGACCCCTTTATTTATTTATTTTAAATGTTGAATGTAGGTTGTTTTTTTGTTTTTTTTTGTCGGTATACACAAATGAATGTTGTGTTGTATGAAACACGTCCACAACTCTTTCTCTTTTCACTGAAGTACTTATCTTCAGTGGAAACGACAGTTATTTGAAGGATATTGATATCAGATTCTCAGTCCTCAGGTTTTTTCCTTTTATTTTTTTTTTTACAAATTACTGTAATATTTTTTTAATGAATATTATTCCATTGATACATTTTAGATACAAATTACTTTGTTCAAATAGGTGGGCTAACATTTGTTATTAAAATGTTTCATCCTAATTGTGTTGAGTTTGAATAAACTATAAACATTAAACTATTTTTCATAAAGCCTGGAGAATCCAGCTGTGTACTTTCATGTGTCCATCACGAGGTTAAAACTGGAAATAAAAGTAAATATTGAATGGGTATGTCCTCATCAAAATAAAAACACACAAGCAGTCCTAATTTTTTTTTACGATTACAAGGGAGTGCCTTCTGTAGACACCAATAGCAGGTGTTCTCGCGAGAGCTAAACTACCGTACCACACTAGTGCAAGATGGAGAAGTAGATGTAACACGCATTCGAGGTAAGCAAATAGGCCTATTCCCATCGCCTGGTGTGGATTTTCACTCAACCTGTATCAGAGTTGTGTTCGTATATAGCCCCGCTGTTATTTTGCGCTTCTGTTCGGACTAAAAATTGCACATTAGTTTCTTTTTAAGGATAAAGTATGGGTCCTCTGCAATGTGAACCGCCATTTTTAATTTAGCCATGATCTCACGGACAGAGCATTGTGCGTAGCTTCTCATTGCTAGCTAGTTAGCTCTCGCGAAGCTCTCAAACATACCCGCCGCGCGCGCACACATACACACACAGAGACTGGTGTTGAGTGTGTATAGGTATGTTTGGCTCAACACAAGTCATAGCCGATCGTCTTTTTCTGGACACTCTCACGGTATAAGGAAACAACTGGTAACGTTCAAATGTGCGTAAGGTCAGAAAAACGACTCTTTGTGATGTGTTACCGTTATCTACCGGCACCAAATGAATCAGAAGTACCAATTGTTAGCTTGAACTGCTAGTAAATCTAGCAAACGTCACGTAATTAGCCATTAACTTTGCTAACGTTATCATGAACATTATCTGGAACTGCGTAGGTCTCTACTTTCAAAGCTCTGACAAAGTTGTTTGATCATACTAATCATACTAAATATTGTCCTTAGACTTATTATTTAATTTGTAGGATATGATAGCCCAGCTACAAGTAGCATCAGTTGCAGAAATTCAGTTTTCGTTTTAAATTAGGCACATCAAAAGTAGTCTCTTACTACCTAATAGACTTAGATCTGGCTATCACTCAGAGATACGTTTTTTTCTTTCTTTTTTTTCTGAGCATAAGAAATAACCCTTGCTATTTCTCATTTAGCTCCACAAGCCAATTAATTGGTCACACCTGTTTAGCTGATAAAGCAAAAATTAATCAGCTAATCACATGGCTGTTACTCCCTTTATCTGACTTGAAATAAGGGGTTGAAGTTACAGCCAAATCAGGACAGTAAAAAAAAAAAAAAGGGTTTTGTTGATAAATGACTTGTCGGCTGTTAGTATTTACAAAACCTAGGACTTGCTGGAATTTTATACATAAAGACCTAAAAAAGATGTTGTGGCTCATGTCTGAGAAGAGAGGTCGGATTAAGAGTATCCCAGAATACACAACATCTCAGTTCTTCTTAATGGCACATAAGACCATATTGGTTTACATATGTCCACTAAGAGCAAAAAACTAAAGGGTATGGGAGTAAAGGACCCAAAATGGGCAGTGATTGATAAAGAAATGGGGTGGTATCAATACTTCTTTCTTTTTATTCTTTCTATGATGGTCAGGTCATCAATGGAAATACTTCAGAAACTGCCGTAAAACATATATGCATTCTGTGTTGTGTAAGCATCTTTGGTTCGTACACAACACTAGAAGACAATCTCGCAGTTTACAGGAGTAGTGTTGATTATCATGTCAAGCACTTTTCAGAAGGCAGTGGTCATTTTACCTTCTTGCATCGGGATAATGCGTAATGTCAACAGAGCTGTTATCGCACACTGATTTTCTGAACTTAAATAGCCTCCACATTCTCCAGATTGAAATGAAGTAGAGCACATTTGGGATGTTGTTGAATGGAATATTTGCATACTAAATTAGCACTCCAGGAATCCATTGTAACTCAAGAGGTTATTATGTAGATATTAATCACTGCATCAGAGGAATGTTTCCAAATTCTTTGTTGATTTCTGGCCGATAGCTGTCCACTTTATCCTTTATCTAAGTAACAAAGTTTCCAGTGACTGGAACTTAAGCTAAAATTAAACTCTTACTCATCAACATTCTGGTCCTTGTCATCCTTGCAGTGGAGTCAATAGAAGGCTCTGTACATTTTGGAATACCTCAATATTTTGAAGACAATCACATTAATTGATATGATTGTGATTTTTTTTATTTTTTATTCCTCAATTGAATTCATACTCTAATAACCAGAACACGCATTATGTAAATTTTGGTATCATTCATGTTAATACACTATTCGTAATTAGACATCTCAGTTGTGGAGCGTTTATGTGCGAAAGACCAGTATTTTCATGGGCTTGATGTTCAATTTTGATAGGTTACTACTACCAATCACTTCTTATAATTTTTTTGTGAGTACTTGCAATTGAAAGAAAGGTCCAATAGGTAGTCAAGTATATTTGGTTTAGAATAAACAAAGGGAAAGATTAACCTTGTTTATTGACTTTTGCTTAACCACTTCATTGATTAGTGTAGTCGATTATAAGTTAATATAAGTTTTCATTGAAAAATTTTACAGCTACCAATTTGTCACCACATATTCATTTTTTTAATCTAATTTTGCTGTTTATTATATTTCCAGATAGTGTGAAGAAACTACTTGGCGAATCAAAGACCACGATGGTGGATTTATTTAACCAAAGCAGTTTCTGGTAGGTACTGCTATATATTGTCTTCTTAAAGGGAAATGATACGATAAAACGCATTCATACACGGGGAACAATGTTATTAGGTGAAATCTCAAAATACTGTCCAGAAAGAATTAAAGTAACATTAAAGTAACTTTTTTGTTGTTAATCAGGCTTGATCAGATATATTCTGTTTCTAAAGACAAATGATTGTAAAGGAAACTGTAATTTTTTTGCGGACCTTTTTTTGGATTACTTTAAATAACATGAGAAATTATTCTTTATCAATTCAACAACACACAAAATGGTATTTGAAATTTAAACTAAAAGCATATTCAGCTAATCAGCATATTGCACCAACCCTCGTACTTACTTGGCAATGGGCAATTAAATGTGATCTTATTTCTGCTAGTTGCTGTCAGCTCTGACATCGACTATAGTTGCAGTGATTTGATGCAAGTTTCTCCATAAGTTTCACGCCCTCAAAAACGAAACTTTTAACACTGCCCAAGAATAGTGTTCCTGCTTCTTGCAGTTACATGCATTATGAGGCATTTATTTAAATAGAAATCAGTATATCCAAATGATATGCTGATTTTAATATTTTGGATATATTGTTAGAATGACAATGTTTCCATGCACGTGTGTTACTTTTTCTCTCCCACTCTCTAAAATCGGCATATTTATTGTTTGTAAGAGGTGTATAGGAACATGTTGAGGTCCACAGTTGATGGACCTTAAAGAGGCTAGTTGGGATGTTGGCTAGGAATTAAGTAATCATGTTCTTTGTTGTTCTACTTCATTCGTATGTTTTGTGTTGTGGGTTGATGGATTGTAAAGCTGCAAAACGTGTTCATGTGATGCATTCCTGGTCCGTTGTCCAATTTTAATACGCAACGACACAAACAGCAGTGGCTACTCATTCCGAGCAGTAACGTTATTCACTTTTTGCACACTACCCGGAGTCATGACTGTGCCAACAGCTAATGCCAATGAACTATGGAAATAGGCGCGGATACAGTTGTACACCGGACGGATGAAGCAACTTCTTATTTGACTCGATAACCGGTAGTCAATCCAGTCGAGCGAAAATTAAAAGCAAAACTCGCAGTGTCACGATAGACCAAACCGACAATGATTCAGCGAGTTATAATGCATTTCTGCCTGCTGCTTGGTCAACGGTAGCTAGCTTGCTGGCTAGCGCGTGCCCCAACTGTGTAGCGGGGAAACCGGGGGAACCGAACCGTGAGAAAGTAACTTTACCCTTTCCAGACATTTTACACACATATATGTCACAGTCGCTTGTAACTAAGTGCTGTTTACACTTTCGTTTTTCGTTAGAGCGGAGACGACGCAGGATTGTGGAGTGCGGGCTTCCTTTGCGGCCTACGGGACCCCGACCTAAATTAGTCATAAGAACGATCAGAAGAGGTTGGTGAATCGGTTATGTCTGTTTTGACAGCTGTACTACTAATGATCATGCTCGGTTTCGATTTTTGATCGGCTACATGTCACGTGCTGTTGGTTAATAGACGCAACCTGTGTGGCTTGGCTAACTATTATAAGTCGCAGTAAGTTGGTATTTCGAGGGAAGCTCGTTTGCTAATGTTACCGGTAGCTAAGTGTTAGCCGGTCAGGGGTTAACATCATCTTCTCAACAAACGTACTTTATCGCTACGTTAAGCTTGCCGGTGTCTCTGGCTTTGTTTAGCATGCTGTTTGCGAGTCTTTAAACTACCTTCGTTTGTAATTCGTAAATATAATTCAGCCTCTGAGAACTATATGTTAATAGCTGGTAAATAACATATAGCTGCTAGCTATGGTGACGTTAGCTGGTTAGCGATGTAGTTCTAACTAACATTAACATTCAGTCCAGCAGAATTTATGATGGCCAAGCATATTTTCAGATTACGTATTATCAAACCAACATTTCATTAGTGTATAAGAAGCTAGACAAATGTTTCGAGTCAAAAGATGAGGCCCAGGCTAATTTGATTAACTTTGTGTCGCATGTTGCCTGCTAGCCACTGGCTAATGGTCTTCGTTTGTCTGCTTTGTGCTGACCAGACGTCTTGTAAATGAGACAAATGTAGTTTTATGATCACACGATGATGTTCGCTTGTGTCCATTTATTTCATATACCTCATATTTTCAAGAATTGAACTGGTGAGCAACCCGATATTCATTCGATGCTTTTCATAACGTTGAAACAAGTGATTGTATTTTATGACTTTTATACCAATTTCTGTAACCATTTTATTGTCTTACTCGTAAAAGTAAATTCAGTTTCGGGTAAAATTTCAGTTTACCCTTTCTGTCTGATAACCCAGTGTACATAGGGTTATATACTGTTTTGTGATATTACTGTAGTGTGATGGAAGCAATTGTTTTGCAGGTAATGTGACTAGAACATGCTGTGAAGTGGGTATTGCCAAATAATCTTCTGTAAGTATCAGGTTTTCAACCTCCGAGTAAATTTAGGCAATTGATTTTCATCTCGATTAAAGTGTCTAAATCAGTAAATAATGTATCTCATCTCTTGGTATCTCAGTTGAAAATGATAAGTCTCCATCATATACTTCTGCGTAATATCCATGAACTTTTTTTTTGTTTTTAAAGGAGCAGCAAATAGAGATCAGCTACCATGAAGGTTGACAGAAGCAAGTTAAAGAAAACTCCTACGGAAGCTGTAAGTATGCATAGTAATTTCCATTTGATTTTTTTCTTTTGTTTTTGTCCCCCTCTACTTTTAGCCTCACTGGTCCTACAAACCCTTTAAAAAGTTTTAAATGGAATACTAGCTTACTTTAGTTTTAGTTTGGTACATATTGTGCCTGAAGCTATGAGTTGAGCATTTTGGTAAATCAACCTGCTGTCAAAGAGTACTTTACTGGGTTTGTTTTTTGGAAGAAAAGGCATCAATCATCAATGAACACTGCTTTACCGTACATTTCTTTCTCCCTCTGAATCAATAGCCGGCTGACTGTAGGATACTAATAGAGAAACTAAAGGCGTGCAGTGATGAGCAACTACTAGTTGAATTGCAGCACATCAAGACCTGGAATATTGGCAAGGTGAGACCCAAGGAAAAAGTTAATGGAGAGAATCCTTTTAGTGTTTTGATATGGACACTGATTAGAATAATGCCTAAAGTGTACTCCAAAAATCTAGCTATTTTGTCTAGTTTGGCTAGTAGCACATCTTCATATCCAAGATAATCACAACAACAGCTATGTAGTTTTTTAAGCCCAGTGGTATTTTAACAACAAGATATATTTGCTGTTTTCTCTGTTCTAAGAGTGATTAGAGAAAGTAAGTGTTTGACTTGATTGGAGCACTGTAAAAGTAGCTTTGAATTTCTTGCCTAACATGATACATCATTCTTTAATCCAGTTTAGTTTAAACAAACTACATGTTTTCATGGGTGTTAAGTGGTTTTAAGTGTATTTACCATAAGAAAAAGCTAGAATTGTGATACATGATAAAGGGGTAGAAAAACAGACAGTGATACAGTTGTGCTGTACAGTTGCCTGATAAAAAAAAAAAAACAATTGTTTATAAACTCAGCATGTTAAAGACGATAATGAATCAACAATAAAAGCAGAGTCACAGTAATATTAGTTATTATGATTATGTATTTAATCATTGTGTATGTTAAAATTTCAACCACGTTTTATTTAGGTCTGTCATACTTGATCTCTACTTTACCACTTTATTTACCTGTTTATTTAATCTTCCTCTGCTCTATTTCCTCTCATGAACAGTGTGAGCTCTACCACTGGGTGGATCTACTGGATCGCTTTGATGGCATTCTGTGTGATGCAGGCCAGACTGTGGAGAATATGTCATGGCTGCTAGTTTGTGACCGTCCTGACAATGGACAGCTCAAAGCATTGCTTTTGGCAGTGCTCAACTTCACAGCTCTGCTCATTGAGTATAGTTTCTCTAGGCATCTCTACAGCTCTATAGAGGTAAGCTAGTCTGTCCTCACCGTTTTTCTGCCCCAATGTTTGACTTTATTTTGTCATAGTTAGAATTCTTTTCTCTTTTTCCACTCTCTTTCTTTACAGCACTTAACCACCTTGTTAGCATCATGTGACATGCAAGTGGTCCTGTCTGTGCTGAACCTACTTTATGTGTTCAGTAAGCGCTCCAACTATATCACAAGACTTGGATCTGATAAAAGGACACCTCTTCTGGCTCGTTTACAACACCTGGCTGAGGTTTTTTGAATACCCCCAATTTCATATAGTCATGATTGAGCTATTTTTCAGAGGAAAAGTTTTGTTTAATCTCTTTGCTTGCTTCTGCAGAGCTGGGGTGGGAAGGAAAATGGATTTGGTTTAGCTGAATGCTGCAGGGATCTGCCTATGACGGTAAGAATCTTCTAGGGTGATGTTCTGCTTTTCTCAATTAAGTACTGCTTTTGAAGTGTACCTTTTTTTTAAAGAACTTTTTCCCCCTCCCAATAAATGAGCAGAAGTATCCTCCCAGTGCTACCACACTGCACTTTGAGTTTTATGCCGAACCGGGTCCAGAGGTCAAAGTAGAGAGGAAGGTAAAGTCTGCCATATTTATCTAAGCAAACGTAATGTGAAATAAGTTATTAATTTTAAGTTGTTAATTTAAATATTTTTTATGTCACCGAACATCTTCCTAATTCTTTCAAATTATTATTTCCCTAGCAGACAAGTAGTAACACACTACATTACATCCATATTGAGCAGCTTGACAAGGTAAAAACAGATTAGATTTGACAGTAATTGCAAAATAATGACACCATTGGTTCCTGCCTTGTCACATGATATTTTCTCTTAGATTTCAGAAAGTCCATCTGAGATTATGGAGTCACTAACGGTGATGTACAACATCCCTAAAGACAAGCAGACACTGCTGTTCACACACATTCGTCTAGCCCATGGTTTCTCAAATCACAAGAAGAGGCTGCAAGCTGTGCAGGCCCGACTGCATGCCATTTCGATACTAGGTGAGTATAGTTTTATTTTACAAGATTCTATGAAAAGGTGTGAATTTTCTGATCTTGTTTTTTTCTTTTGTTTTTTTCAGTGTATTCAAATGCACTCCAAGAGTCAGCCAACAGTATTCTGTATAATGGCTTGATAGAGGAGCTAGTAGATGTCTTACAGATTACAGACAAACAGCTTGTGGTGAGATATAACTTTGCTTTTTTTTATTCTTGTAAATCAACAGATTGTCAAATTAAGCATGTAGAATATTTAGCAATGGTTTTGTATTTGTTTCAGTAGGCATAGTTACCAAGATTGCATTTTGTGCATGTTCACTGTGAAAGCTGCACTGTCAAATGCCAACATATGACGTTTTAGTTTTTCTGAAGTACCTTTACTTTATCTGTCAGGATATAAAGGCAGCATCTTTGCGCACTTTAACATCAATTGTCCATTTGGAGAGGACGCCAAAGCTTTCCAACATCATTGACTGTACTGGCACGGCATCCTATCACGGCTTCTTGCCTGTATTGGTACGCAACTGTATACAGGCAATGATTGGTGAGAAGAAATCTTGTTTTAGTCTTAAAAAAAGAAAAATGAATTATCTTTAAGGAAATATATGATGGATTTCTTTTCTCATTTTTCTCCTTTCTTTTTCAGATCCTCTGATGGAACCATACCCACACCAGTTTGCCACAGCACTCTTCTCATTCCTGTACCACCTGGCTAGCTATGATGCTGGAGGGGAAGCCCTTGTGTCCTGTGGTATGATGGAAGCACTTCTGAAGGTAAAGCCCTGCTCAGCAATTCATTTATTTATTTTTTGTCTTTTTTTTTTTATTGTTCAACAACATCATTTGTTGTCTTTTATCTGATAGGTGATCAAGTTCTTGGGTGATGAGCAGGATCAGATCACGTTTGTGACACGAGCAGTGCGGGTTGTGGACCTCATCACCAACCTCGACATGGCTGCCTTTCAGTCCCACAGCGGCCTTTCAATTTTCATCTGTAGGCTAGAGGTGTGTTTTGGATAAGGGTTTGGCATGCTTCATGCAATTGCGCAGTGACCTTTTTTTAATTTGAAGTATTTGTTTGTTCTCCAATTAATATATACCCTATGCATAGCACGAGGTGGACTTGTCACGGAAAGAGTGCCCTTTTGTCATCAAGCCAAAGATCCAGAGGCCTAGTGCAACTGTGGAGTCTGAGGACATGGACACAGACATGGAAAGTAAGTTTATCCAAGGAATGTTCTCACTTTCCATCGCTTAATTTTGTATTCACTGGCAAATTTGTGCTCACTGTATAATGAAAAGTTGAAAAAAGTGTTATTATATATAAAAAACTAATCAGCCTGTACTAGGGCATCTTGTTCAACCCAATACATGTGAAATTGAAGATATTTTGAGGCCAATGTGAGCAAAAACATGATGCTTTTGATGCGTTTAATCTTTTTAGGTGTTTAATCAAACATAAGGATTACCATAAGCCAAACATGTCTATAAAGGCTCTGTTTTATTTCAAGTTCAATGCCTTTTTTGTCGGTATTGCCAGTTTATAAAGACTCTTCAGCGTTATCGCTAATTTGCCAACCTAATGGATTCTCACAGTGTCAGAAGTTTCAATGGAGAGCAGCCCAGGACCATCAACTTCTTCTGTTTCCAGACCAGAGTCTGACCACCGAGCACAGAGCAGCTCTGCTAATACGCCTCGTGCAGGTAAACAAATGGCAGGCACACATAACACACAAATGTGCTCATTAAGTTTTAACTCTCTTTTATATTTGTATCTTGATAGGTATGCAGTGTATCCCCCAGCGGGCAGCTCTGTTGAAGTCGATGCTAAACTTCTTGAAGAAAGCCATCCAGGACCCTGCCTTTTCTGATGGCATCCGTCATGGTGAGCCATTGTCGTCCTCTCATCTCTTGCATAAACAAGAATGTGTACTTAACTCATGTTCATATAAGGTTAACATTTTCATATATTGCCTGTTTGGCACCTCCCTTTTTTGTGTTCTTCAGTCATGGATGGGTCCTTGCCTACCTCACTTAAGCACATCATCAGTAATGCAGAATATTATGGCCCTTCACTTTTCCTCTTGGGTGAGCTTTAAAATTCTGCTTTTCCATTGTGAATGTTTCTGTCGGTTCATTCGTGTAATGATTTTAACCTTCTCTTCATTCATGGTCCTGGAATAAAATCTCCCTTTTCCTTTTCTGTGCCCCTAGCTACCGAGGTGGTGACAGTTTTTGTGTTCCAGGAGCCATCCCTGCTCTCCTCCTTGCAGGACAATGGTCTCACTGATGTTATGCTGCATGCTCTGCTTATCAAAGATGTGAGTTCCCTGCATTGTTTTTTTTTTTCACGTTGGAACTTGAAATGCCTCTCACTCCGTTACTTCCAGATGTGTCAAACTAACCTAGAAAGTACATAATACATTAAAAAGGCTGGCGTCCATTTTGTTGCGGTGAATGGTTTCCGAACAGCACGGAAGGTTTACAATGGGTCTTTAAGCAGACAAAAGGTCATTCACTGTATTGTTTTTCAGGTTCCTGCTACTCGTGAGGTGCTGGGATCACTACCTAATGTGTTCAGTGCCCTCTGCTTGAATGCCAGAGGCCTGCACTCTTTCGTTCAGTGCCAGCCCTTTGAGCGCCTCTTCAAAGTGCTTTTGTCCCCGGACTACCTTCCTGCAATGCGACGGCGCCGTAGCTCCGACCCACTGGGTGAGTTATTGTTTTTTTTTTTTGCATACATTCTTCTGTTAAACTGCGAAACATGTTTGGATAGATGGTTTGTTTTGTTTGCTTTAGGTGACACTGCCTCGAACTTGGGCAGTGCTGTAGATGAGCTCATGAGACATCAGCCCACTTTGAAGACAGACGCTACTACTGCCATTATCAAGGTAGAGTGCCCGCTCATTTCTTCTAGTTTTGCTACATCAAATATTGCAAAACAATTCAGGCAAATTTTCTGTTGCAGTTGCTGGAGGAGATCTGCAACTTGGGTCGCGCCCCAGAGTACATCTGCCAGAAACCATCTATTCAGAAAGCCGACGGCACTGTGGCTGTGCCACCAGCACGCTCCAGCCATGCTGCTGAAGAAGCTTCAAGTGAAGATGAAGAGGAAGAGGAGGCTCTTCACACATTCACCCAGCAGCAGGGGGAACCAGAGAGCAACAGACAGTCAGTGCCACTTGAACTGTATGACGCTGAGTTCATAACACATTTCAACAGAACACCAACTCTTTACAAAACATCTCTACAGAATTTAATATTGTCAATTCAAATGACACATTATAACATTTTTGTTATTTTTGGTTGATTTTGATAAATATTTGTATTTTTCTTAGGGTGGTTGGCACTGAAGAACGGATACCCATCCCTCTAATGGATTATATTCTGAATGTGGTGAGTTCTGATTCTTCGGTTCGTTAATATTTGACTTCTATGCATTTTTTTCCACACTACAGTGGAACTCCTTTGGACATGTTGGGCTCAGTGTAGGTCCTGAAACACTAACTTACAAAACGTAGTTTTTGGATGATTGTCCTACGACCTAAGCCTCGGCTGTCCCTGCCTCAGGCCCCCATCGATGAAATGTCAACCGAAATGTCATTTTCTGATTGTTGATTAATTATTATTGGAAATCTGGTTATATTGAAGTAATTTCTATATATGTTATGTTTTAAGTCATGACACAATTTTTTCATGATTTGTCAATTCAGTCATTACTTTTAACATGTTTTCCAGATGAAGTTTGTAGAATCCATTTTAAGCAACAACACCACAGATGATCATTGTCAGGAGTTTGTCAACCAGAAGGGGTTGTTGCCCTTGGTTTCTATCCTGGGCCTCCCCAACTTGCCCATTGACTTCCCCACTTCAGCCGCCTGCCAAGCTGTGGCTGGTGTCTGCAAATCCATACTGGTGAGCAAAAAAGGCTAAAGCACTAAGCACTGTTACATTTATTATATTGTACATAGACTGGGTGTATTTTTTGTCTAATTTAATAAGCGATTGTCTTCCTAAACCTAAAATTTTCACTTTAGACACTTTCACATGAACCAAAGGTTCTTCAGGAGGGCCTGTGCCAGTTGGACAGTATTCTGATGTCATTGGAGCCGCTCCATCGACCAATTGAGGTGCCTGGCGGCTCTGTGCTTCTTAGAGAACTGGCTAACGCTGGACATGTCACCGATGCCACTCTGTCAGCCCGAGCTACTCCACTCCTACATGCCCTTACCGCAGCCCACGCCTACATCCTTATGTTTGTCCATACTTGCAGAGTCGGACAGGTATAACTTTATTACACTAAACTAATTCCAGTACAGTGTCAGTGATGTGAAAGTATTTTTTTATGTGGGATTTGTTTGGATGGTTGTTTTAAATTTGATCTTTAAAAACACAAGTTGTAAAACCAGCCCCCAAAAAAAGGGGAAAAATGCATATTATTGTCTGGAAATGCAGTACTCAAATTGATCTTGGGTGTATTGCACTACCTGTGTTTTGAGGTTTAAGTACTCCACCCTGTAAACCATACCCTGAAGGGAATATGTTATGCAGTCTTATTAAAACACATAACATTTTCTATAGGATTGATACACTGGCTGTATTTGTTTCTGTTCTTTAACAGAGTGAGATCAGAGCTATCTCAGTAAACCAATGGGGATCCCAGCTGGGATTGAGTGTTCTGAACAAGCTTAGTCAACTTTACTGCTCTCTTGTGTGGGAGAGCACAGTTCTACTGTCCCTATGCACTCCTAACAGGTTAGTTTCTGAATTTGTACTCCTTTTGTTTAACTCTACATGGCTGTTGTAATTTTTGCTTAATCCTTGTTTATGTCCAACAGTCTGCCTCCAGGATGTGAGTTTGGCCAGGCTGACATGCAAAAATTGGTTCCCAAAGAGGAGAAGCCATCTGGCAGCACTGCTGCAACAGCAGCCTCTACCTCCAGGAGAACTGGTAATTTAAACATTTAACCCAGTTGAACAATTTTGTCTGAAGAAGTGTCCTTCAAACTCATTGTGATCCACTTGAATTCAGCAGAAACTGATGCTGTGCCTGTGGATTCATCTGCTGGTGGTCTGTTGGAAGGAATGGGTCTAGATGGGGACACCTTGGCTCCCATGGAAACCGATGAACCCTCCACATCAGACCCGAAAGCAAAGTCCAAACTTACCCCAGCTATGGCCACACGGATCAAACAAATTAAACCTCTACTGTCAGGTGAGATAATTTCCTAAGCACTCACATCTATTTTTTAAATTAATTAAACTATTTGGTAATTTCTCCCTTCCCATCACTCACTAAACTCTTGTGCATTTTCAGCTTCATCTAGACTGGGCAGGGCTCTGGCTGAGCTCTTTGGCCTGCTAGTAAAATTGTGTGTAGGCTCCCCAGTGCGCCAGCGCCGCTCCCACCATGCAACAAGCACAGGAACCACCCCTACACCTGCTGCCCGGGCCACTGCTTCAGCCCTCACCAAGCTTCTGACCAAGGGCCTCAGTTGGCAGCCCCCACCATACACACCCACACCTCGATTCAGGTAAGACAAGACTACTGCCAGTGTGACTGCTCACTTTGGATGCAGAATGATATGAAATGCTCTTTTGTTTGTCTTGGCAGGCTGACTTTCTTCATCTGCTCAGTGGGTTTCACATCTCCAATGTTGTTTGATGAGAGGAAGTACCCATACCACCTCATGCTACAGAAGTTCTTTTGCTCTGGGGGACACGATGCCTTATTTGAGTAAGCTTCATGATGTTTTATGATATTCAAAACAAGGATTTTCTATTGAAAAACTGAGAAGTATGAATTAATCTGTGATCCCCTGTGTTGCAATATTTATTGATCAGATCAGAGGGAAGGTACTAAAAGTTTCCAAATAGCCAATGTTCTGAGCCCTCTCCATTTAATCCTAGAACCAAGATTGTAAACCTTTTTCAAAGTTTAACAATATTTTAATACGTTCCACTGCTTCTTTGCAGGACATTTAACTGGGCCCTGTCAATGGGTGGGAAGGTTCCCGTCTCTGAGGGCCTGGAGCATGCTGATCTCCCAGATGGCACAGGGGAGTTTCTGGATGCTTGGTTAATGCTGGTGGAGAAGATGGTTAATCCAAGCACTGTGCTGGACTCGCCCCACTCTTTGCCTGCCAAGATGCCAGGGGTCACACCCACCGTGCCCCAATTCAGTGCCCTCCGCTTCCTTATTGTCACCCAGAAGGTCTGTGTTTGCAAGGGATGGTTTTGCTTGATTTTTGAAAATTATTAAAAAATTTTAAGCTTCATTAATCGGCTATAAACTTGGATTGAAACTGAAACGTTTCTTCTTAGTGTTCCGCCTTTTATTTTGACTGCTTGTTTTGTTTTTTAAGTATTATTCTTTTTCTTGATGTATTAGGAAAGACAATTGTATTTGTAACATGTTCTCTCCTTCATGCAGGCTGCATTCAACTGCATCCGCAGTCTGTGGAACAGGAAGCCACTGAAGGTTTATGGAGGCAGAATGGCTGAATCCATGCTGGCCATCCTCTGTCACATATTAAGAGGGGAGCCTGTCATCCAGGAACGGCTGGCTAAGGAACGGGAGGGGACTGTGCGTCCAGAGGAGGAACCAGCCCCCACTAGTTCTTTGGGACCCAGCAGTGTCCCAGCAGGATCCTCAACAGGAGGAGAGGCACCAGCAGTGACCTCTGGACCTACCTCTGGAGCACCACCACCAGCAGCAGGAGGAGCAGCTGATGAGTCTACTAATTCTACACCTCGCCGAGAGCCCCAGGTTAACCAAGCTCAGCTCACACAGGTATGAAGGAAACACAATGACACTTAAACATCTTCTTCAACCGCGGTTTGACTTGGGTTGTCTCATTGTAACTGGCATCAATTTGGGTTAAATTCCTCCTTTCCTGGAAGTCTGCATGTGCTGATTCTTAGGACACCATTTGTTTTATGACAGGGATTCAGAGGGAGAGAGAGTCATGCACAGGTCCACCAGGAGCAGCTCCAGCAGGTATAAGAGACATCAGAGAGAAAAGTAGAAGTTGAGAGAAGAGTTAGAGACAAAAAGTATTTTAAAGATTGAGAGGATTGACTCGTATAACCAAACGGCAGCATGAAACCAAAAGGACACGTGTTATGATAAAAGGGATGGGGTGTGGGGGGTACATTATTGTTCCTAACCAATGTGCATTTTTATTTTTCTTATGTTGTTGATTTCATCTCTTTGTACTTGTGTAAAAGCAATGCTTTTATGTGTGGGATTTTAGCTGATGGACATGGGTTTCTCAAGAGAACATGCCATGGAAGCCTTACTGAACACCAGCACCATGGAGCAGGCCACGGAGTACCTACTCACGCACCCTCCTCCTCTTCTTGGTGGAGCAGTAAGGGTAAAGGACCATACTTGTGAACACAAGAATGATTATATTCCTCAGAGGATTTTCTGGTTTAATCAGGCTGTTTACGTTGTTCCTATTGAATCAAGGACTTGACTATGTCTGAGGAGGACCAAATGATGAGAGCAATTGCCATGTCACTTGGGCAAGAAGTCAGCATGGAGCAGCGCTCTGATTCCCCTGAGGTTTGTTGTTTTTGTTGCTGAGTTATGAAGTGGAACAGAAAGACAGTGTCACGGTGTATAACATTTGCGTTGGTCTAAGAAACCATCATGAATATTTATCAACATTTCATAAGTAGATGTCTAGATAATCTCTGTTTCTGTTTCAGGAAGCAGCACGTCGGCGTGAGGAGGAGGACAGGAGAGCCAGGGAGCGGGCAGAAGAGGAGGAGGCACGCTGCTTGGAACGCTTCATGGAGGCTGAGCCTTTGGACCCCCAGGAGCTACACACCTTCACAGATTCCATGCTGCCTGGCTGCTTTCACCTCTTAGATGAGCTGCCCGACACGGTCTACAGACTGTGTGACCTGCTGATGACCGCCATCAAGAGGAGTGGCCCTGAGTACAGGGACCTCATTCTTAGCCAAGTTGTCCAACAGGTAAGTGGAATCAACACGGGGTTTTGTTGTAAGGTTTTTCTTTACATTGTGTTTGGGTATTTTCTCATGGAATACTTGGCAAAAGCGTGGTGTCCTAAGACAGTGTTTTTTTGTTTTTTTGTCGTTTTAATCCTTCATTTTTGGACCTAATTTTAAGTCCATTTAAAATTTCTGTGGCTCAAGAAAGCTTTTGCAACCCTGATGGTCTCTTTTTGTGTGCGTAGGTGTGGGAGGCTGCGGACGTGCTGATCAAGGCAGCCGAGCCCCTGACCACCAGTGATACGAAGACAGTGTCTGAGTGGACCAGGCAGATGGCAACGCTGCCACAGGCCTCCAAGCTAGCCACACGAATTCTGCTGCTCACATTGCTTTTTGAGGTACCAGAAATACTTTCACAAAATGCTCAGTCATAGAGAGTAAAAAGATTTTGGTGTGTGGCAATGTGTTTTTGTTCAAATGTTTTGCTCTTTTAGGAACTGAAGCTTTTGGGTGCCAGAGTGGTGGAGAGCAGTGGGATTCTTGATTTGCTTATCAAGCTTCTGGAAGTTGTGCAGCCTTGCTTGCAAGCAGCAAAAGAACACAAAGACATCCAAACACCAAAGTGAGATTTCCATAGAACTTAATTTTCCTCTCTTGGCGATGACTTGCCAGATTTTAATTTAAAGAAAAAACAAAACATGCAAGTTAATAAGTTTGGTTCATTTTCAAAAGTTATTCATTATTCATAAAAAAAAATCGTTTACAGATGGATCACACCAGTGCTACTGATTATTGACTTCTATGAAAAGATGGCAGTGTCTTCAAAGCGAAGGGAGCAAATGAACAAGGTAAATGATTACTAGTTGTAAAAAGCAGCCACGTGGGTATTTTTTGGAGCATGTTATTGAAAGCTGAATCAACGCTCTTATGTACATGGATTAACAGCACATACTTTCTGCTAATCATTATCTGTCATTCCTCTGTTTGACATGTATCGTTGGCTTTATGATGTTATATTGATTCATTGTTTCTTCATAAATTAGTCCATATAAAAATTTTCCTGCCTTTAAGATTTCTTACGTTACTTTTCTGCATTATGTTTAAAGTTATGTTTTAGATCTTTTTCTCTTTTGTAAAGTTAATGGATTGTTTCTGTGGCTTTTATAGTATCTTCAGCCCAATGGAAATAACTGGCGATGGTTTGATGACCGCTCAGGCCGTTGGTGTAGTTACAGTGCATCTAACAACAGTACCATTGACTCAGCATGGAGGGCGGGGGAGAGCAGTGTCCGCTTCACAGCTGGACGCCGAAGATACACTGTACTGTTTAACACAATGGTGCAGGTAGACACATGCTTTTTTCTCCACCTGCAAAGATTATATGTGCATGTAATGTATGTCTTTTTATCTTTCACCTTACCTTAACTATAATAAAAAAAAACTCTTTTGGGCAGGTAAATGAAGAGACCGGCAATAGAAGGCCGGTGATGTTGACTGTCCAGAGAGTGCCTCGCATTCCCAAGCCTTCCAAGACTGGTAGTGTTCCTGACTCAGAGAGAGAGGAAGGAGACAGAGGCAAAGTGGAAGAAAGCCAGACTGACCTAGATTCAGGCGGCGGACCAGTGGAGATAAGTTCCTCCAAGGACGATTCCAGCCTGCTGAAAGAGACCACCTCCGGCCCCTCATCTTCTCTGGAGTCTGACTATTCTCAGGGATCTGACATTGTGGTCAAAGGCCTCACTGAGGACATGACCACTGTTCTCATCCGAGCCTGTGTCAGCATGATAAGTGTCCCTGTTGACCCTGACACACTTCATGCCACACTGCGTCTTTGTTTACGTCTCACACGAAACCACCACTATGCAATGATGTTTGCTGAGCTGAAGAGCACACGGATGATTCTGGGGCTGACGCAGAGTTCTGGCTTCAACGGCTTCACTCCACTCGTTACTCTGCTGTTCAGGCACATCATCGAAGATCCGGCCACACTCCGGCACACTATGGAGAAGGTTTGTACATTGCGGTGCTTTCTTTCACTGTTTATGATGACATTTTTTTGTTTAGATTTTTCTACATAAGTTCTTTCCATACCATGAAATCAATTGGTCAATGTGTTGCTAAAGGTGGTGCGTTCAGCCGTGACAAGCGGGGCAGGGAGCACCACGTCAGGAGTGGTGTCGGGCAGCCTGGGTTCCAGAGAAATCAATTACATCCTCCGTGTGTTGGGTCCTGCTGCCTGTCGAAACCCTGAGTGTTTCATTGAAACAGCCAGCAACTGTATCCGCATTGCACTGCCCGCACCCCGTGGAGCCGGCACAAGTGAGTTGTTTAATCATTCCGGATATGTAAAGTTTATTTTAAAGTTAACTTTAAGGTGACTTATTTGTAAGATATCAATTAGTTTCATGCTTTCGAGGATTGTCACAAAGCTTCGACAATGTCTACTACACACACTCATGCCTTTTTTTTTTCTTTTTTTTTTCTACAGCATCTGATGATGAATATGAGAACCTTCGAATTAAGGGGCCCAATGCTGTCCAGCTTGTGAAGACCACTCCTCTGAAATTGTCTCCCTTGCCCTCTATCCCTGACACTATTAAGGAGGTCATCTATGACATGCTCAATGCCCTGGCTGCCTACCATGCTCCTGAAGAACGTAAGCTTAGTTTTAGGCTTTTATATTTAGCTATCCTGGATTAAGCTTTTTTTAAGATATTGGCCATATATTTATTTGTGTCTGCTTGTGTCACAGCTGAGCGCACAGAGGAACGGGCTGCAGCTGTACCTGGTGGTCAAGACCTATGTCAGATTCTGCAGGATGTCGGTGATGATGTATACCAGCAATACCGTCTCACCAGGCAGGGAAGTGACTTTGACTCCCAGTCGGCATTCCATATCAATGTGAGTTTCAGTGACAAGTCGTCTTGTGTAATTGAGGTATAAACTGACATTTATGGATTTAATAATTTGGTTTGCATCTCCTCCTCGCAGGCTCAAGTCTTTGCTGCTGATGGAGGGGTGGCCGAATCCTCCCAATCTGGCACACCACAAGGAGAAGGTGAACTAAAGATCTACCTGCTTCTCACCTGTCATCATTTCACATTACTTGTTAATGAGATAATTAGATTCTATGTTTTTATTGCTTGATCAAAATCATTTAAAGCCTAAAATGTGCTTCTGAACAAATTACATTTTTTATAGTAATTACATAAAGTTTTTAAGTCTTATTCTGTTGTGCCAACATCCTTAGCGTCCACACCAGAAGAGATGAGGGAGGAGAAAAAAGAACAAGAAGGAGAAAAGGGAACAAGCTCGGATGAGAGCAAAGCAGCTAAAGTCAAGGCGAGCAAGCCCCTCATGCCAACATCTACCATCCTGAGACTGCTGGCTGAACTGGTGCGCTCCTATGTGGGCATTGCCACGCTAATCACTTCCTACTGCTACACCGCTGGACAGTCCGAGCTTATTAAAGAGGTGGGTAGCCTAAAAAGATCCTTTCAGCTTTTTAAAGCACTGGATTTTTAACCTTAAGATTAGACTATTATTTCTTGTTGGCTCGGTTTGACCTGCTCTATCTTTACAGGACTGCAGTGTTCTAGCATTCGTGCTCGATCACTTGCTGCCTCACACACAAAACTCGGAGGATAAGGACACCCCTGCCTTGGCTCGTCTCTTTTTAGCCAGCCTGGCAGCTGCTGGCACAGGCACCGATGCCCAGGTGGCCTTAGTGAATGAGGTAAAAGCTGCCCTTAGTCGAGCACTTGGGATGGCTGAAGGCGCAGAAAAACACGCCAGGTGAATGCCAGAAAATAGATTGTTGATTCATCAGACTTGCACTTAATCTGTATTAACCGTTTGTATTCTTGCCTGACTTTTTATTTATTTTTTAACAGGCTTCAGGCAGTGATGTGCATTATCAGCACCATCATGGAATCATGCCCTTCCACATCCAGTTTCTATAGCACAGCAGCAGCCAAGGCACAGCATAATGGGATGAACAATATCATAAGGCTGTTTCTTAAGAAAGGACTAGTCAATGACTTGGCCCGTGTGCCTCACAGCTTGGATTTGTCAAGGTAAACAAGCACAACATATGACTTTAATTTCCAAATCAAGGTTAACTTTGCATGTGTTAAAGATAAGTTCTGCAAGTCTCCCTGTATTTGGAGCACTGTATTTACATTCTACTCAAAAAGACAGATTAACAAAATATTGTTTTTTTGAATGACTAAAACTAATCTGACCAAACAAATATCATATTTTGACTGAGCTATTCTTTATTTAATCATTGACTCAAATTAATTTTGGAAAGTTGTTATTTTATATATTGTATAAAATATCTTCTTCTAGTCCAAACATGGCCAACACGGTGAATGCTGCGCTTAAGCCTTTGGAGACTCTGTCCCGCATTGTTAACCAGCCCAGCAGTCTGTTTGGAGGCAAAGGAGCATCCAGCAAGAGTAAAACAGAACATGATACTGTGGGCACTGCCAGGGACAACAACAGCAACACACAGGACCAAGGTATCAACACCAGACATATGAGATACCCCCCACTGGGCCATTTATTCCACATATGTATGTTTGTGACATGTCGTGTCTGTTCTAGGAGACCCTAGTGAGGCAGAGCCAGTGGATGGCAGCCACAGAGTCCAGGGCACAGACAACGACCTGATGGATGGAGAAGCAGAGGGAGACACAGTGGTTATTGCAGGACAGCCAGAGGTTCTGAGCACACAAGCTATGCAGGTGAGTTTTTAGTGCTTCACACGTCGATTCTTTCTCACAGTTAAAAGCCACAGCGCTAAAGTGGATATACCATTGTATCAGGCCATTTATCCAGCCAGTTTGCTTACTTAATCGCTAACATGGCCTTTGCACAAAATTTTCTGTTCGTGTAGGTGGAGAATGAGTTGGTGGACCTGATTGATGAGCTTTTAGAGAGAGATCCTGGCACAGTCAACAGCACGATTATTGGTGAGCAGTTTAGTTTAAAAGATGACGGCGAAGGTTCATTTAAAATATGACACAAATTAATATATGTTGCTATTTAAGGAGTGTTGTTAATTTGGTTATATATATATCAAAATGTTCGCGTTTGAGCCTATTTCTCAATTTGTTCTTTTAGTGGGACGTAGCGGTGAGGATGAGTCACAAGAGGATGTATTAATGGATGAAGCTCCGTCCAATATCAGCCAGGCATCCACTCTTCAGGCCAATCGCGAAGGTATGAGACTTTCTTATTGGAACTCTGCTGTGACCTTTTAGTGGAACTGTTGATTCAGGAGAATTGTAACATACTTTAATATGTGTGAAATAAATATAATAAAAAAGGTACCCCACCCATCAACTTTCATAATGCAATCAATATAATTTATGTATTAAAAAGGTGAAGCCATGTGACATTTGGTCATGATAATGAATAGCTTTACACAAGATTTTTGTAAATAGAATTTTGTTGGTCTCTTTCACTTCAAGACTCAATGAACATTTTGGAACCAGAAGATGAGGAGCACACTCAGGAGGAGGACTCCAGTGGTAGCAATGATGATGAAGACAGTCAGGATGAAGAGGAAGAGGAGGAAGAAGAGGAGGAAGAAGATCAGGTGGGGATCAATGATCCTGTTATTTAAAGTAGTCTTGATTTATTTAATTTATTTTTTGGAAATCCTTTATACTCATAATTGCTACTATCTTTTAAGGACGATGAAGAAGGAGATGAGGATGATGATGACGAAGGCTCAGAGATGGAATTGGATGAAGATTTCCCTGACATCAATGCTGCTCCGCACATCCGCTTTGAAAGGTTTGACAGGGACGATGACCTCATCATAGAGTTTGACAACATGTTCTCCAACAACGGTAAACAGGACATTCTTTAATGTGAACTTAAGTGGTAATTTAAATAATTTAAATATTTTTTCGACTCGCAGAGGAAACCTTTTTTTTTTTTTTCAGGGATGGATTTATTTGCATTGAAAATCTCAGTTAGACCAATTTGCATGATAACGAGTCAAAGTTTTGTGCTATTTCCTTCTGCATAGTTTGTTTACGTTAATGATTACAGGTACAAATAACCCAAGTAAAGAAAATTTACTATAAAACTATTTCCATGGCAATGTATTTCATCATCATCACAAGGGCTTTGGTTGCAGATTCACACTTCTTCTTTCTTTTTTTTAAATCTCCCATCAGCGGACATCCCTCCTTCACCAGGGAACATTCCCAGCTCCCACCCATTGATGGTGCGCCATGCTGACCATGGCTCCCTCACTTTGGGTGTGGCAGGCACTAGCAGTCGACTGGCCCAGGGAATGGGTCGTAGTCAACGAACGCTGCGTCAACTCACTGCCAACAGTGGACACACCATCCATGTCCACTACCCTCACAACCGCCAGCCCAACCCTCCACTTATTTTACAAAGGTGAAACAGTTTTTCTGTTTCTGACGGCGCTTAACCAAACTTCCCTTATCTGACCCCCAGCCCTCTCACCTGTCCTTCTTTTGTGTGGATAACAATAACTTTTATTTGTTGTTTCAATGTAGATTGTTGGGGCCGAGTGCTGCTGCAGACATTTTACAGCTATCCAGCTCTCTGCCTCTGCAGTCCCGTGGTCGTGCACGGCTTTTGGTTGGAAATGAGGATGTGCACATCATTGCTCGCTCTGATGATGAATTGTTGGATGACTTCTTCCATGAGCAGAGCAGCACTGGTGGACAAGCAGGTAAGGATTCCTAATGAACCGTAGATCAAGTAACATCTCTTTGGTTTATTTAAACTTTCTTAAACTCTTTTTCTTTGTGTCTCTAAAGGCACCCTCTCTAGTATTCCCACTGCCTTAACTCGATGGACCGACGAGTGTAAGGTACTGGATGCTGAAAGCATGCACGACTGCGTAGCAGGTAGATTTTCTGTCATCTCTGACGTTATTAGAATGTCTTATCAGTGGAGCATTGATGTTTATCTGGCTGTATGTTTTAGAACGTTCTGTTTTAAAAACTGGAATCACAAAGCATATTGAAGTATTCTATGTTCATTCAAATTTAGTTTGCTATTTTACTCCACTAGTGTTTTTTTAAATGGATGATATCGGAGTTAAGTATCCCTTTAAGCAGAATATCTGAGTGGAAGGTTATGTTTTTAGAATTTGTTCGGCAACTTAAGCCAAATTAATCAGTCTTTCAATTTTAAAGACTTTAGCTCTGTTTAAATAACTTTGGTGACTTGCACATCCACAATTAAGTATGTTTTGCATTTGGGTTTGCAGTTGTAAAGGTGCCAATCCTGCAGCATCTAGAGAGTTTAAGAGATGAGGAACTGGAAGAACGCAGGGAGAAGAGAAGGAGGCAGCTCGCTGAAGAGGAGGAATCCAAACAGAACGAAAGGAGGGCTTCTGGAGTCGAACAAGCGAGAGAGCAGAGCCTACAGGTTTGTAAATAATAAATGTTGGATGGCTGAGAAGAATTTTTGAAAACATAGACTTGGGCGGTTAAAATGCAGATTATTATCCCAAATAGTGAACCTGTATATGAGCATCTTTATAACAGGTGAACGGCACAACTAGTGACACATTTTTGTTGTCTACACATGCTAAACTAAAGCTTATTTTTCAATATTCCCTTTTTCATAATGTGGGGTAATGAATACAAACTGTTCATAAATAGATTAGGTAACATGAAATGTACCTGAATGTGGCCTTTTGAACAGATCTTTTAAAGGTAATATACAGTAAAGTTGATGAAACAACGGTCTCACAGGCTGGTTTTAAGTATAACAGACACTGGCAGCAGGTATAACCTACTTAAAAAGTCTGATTGATGTTTACATCACGCTGTCCTTTTTCTCTTTGTTCACAGGGTTCTGGATTGGGGACCGTGAATGGGGCAGAGAGCACTGCAGGTACTGATAATTGTCATGCTTAAATGCTTAAATTTAGGTTATCTCTTAGTGTTAGTTACTTAACTTTTGAACAGGACAGCTCCATGAAGGCAAGAAGGCAAGCAGCTTGTGGTGCGTGCTGTGGGATGAGGTAGTAGTTTGTATAGTTTTAGGATCACACCAGATCTGGGAGATAACTATACAGTCTACTGTCTTTCTTATGGCAACGCAATGCCAACATGACCTCTTCGTTTGTTGTTAAGAAGCTATTCAGGTAAGCTTGTGAATTGCTTGGATAAGTTTCAAAAGGCAATCAAGCATGCACATGTAAAGAGAAGAAAATTGACAATGATGGGATCAGATGGTTCTGTTAAGTGGGGCATATTTTACTGCCACAGTTTGTCTCTACAGTGATTATCAAAGCTAAATGTTCTTTGAAAGAATGCCGTTTGGGTCCCTGTGTTGATTTTAGCTCTTAAATTATTATGTTGGTTTAAACATCCTGTCAAATATACCTGTGCGATTCTCTGCATTTTGCTGCAGCTGCCTCTGCTGTGGTGAGGTAGTAAGTTGTGTTGTTGTAGGGGATCAGGATTGTGCACCCCATTGAGGAGATAACTATACAACTTACTGCCTTCCTCATTAGAGGCTTTATGCATTGTGTTAAAAATCATCATGCTTTCTCTCTATGTGCTCAGAATAAGCTCCCTTCTGTAGATAAGTCTTTGGGAATATGTCGAAACACATTCAGCTCCAGTCGAGTTAAGAGGTTTTCTATACAATAAGATGTTCTTACAATATCACATTCTGAAAAAATGTTATTAAACATCTGGGAAATCTTGCAATATTTTTAGATGTCATTTATGCACAAACAATAAAAACTATAGAATGCACAGCAGTTTTAACCTTCTTTCCTTTGCATTTTACAGAGGGTGAGCAGGCTCAGAGTGGTACCATGTCCTGTCTGGACCCACCCAGGGTCTCAGAGGGCTTCCTCACTGCTCCCCCCTCTGGAGAAGTCACTCCCACCACACCTGCTCCTCACGAACAGGCCCTAGTCTCCCTGGAGACTGCCATTAGTCAGCAAGTCCACCAGCCAATTGCTGACCTGCTGCTAGCTGAGTCACATGCCAGCTCACTGGTTGGTTTGGCAGGGGCTGGCCTTCCACCCCTGTCGGCAGCTGAGAGGCCAAACAGTGAAGCAGAGGCATCTCAGATGGAAATGTCCCCGGCACCCACAATTGGTGAGAGAGTCGGAGGAAGTGGTGGTGGAGGAGCGTTGGATGAAGTCAGGGAAGGTAGACCAACTTCAAAAACTAAATTTACTCAGACAGGCAGACAATAAGGACATGCACAATATTTGTAAAGCAAACTGTAGAAACTTTCGTGTAATGTTTTATCTGCCATGTGTGATACAAAACTTTCAACCCCCTTTTTTCCCTCAGCCTCCTTAAGTCCAGACATTGTAGAGAACTCAGAACCGGCAGTAGTTGGTGTGTCACAACTGGAGGGGTCTCCCATGGATACAAGCAGCCCTGCCTCTGCCACTCAGGAAGAAGCTGCTCCCAACGCTGCCCAAACTACCCAGTTGTCTCAGGAGCTCTCTGGCAGTGGGGAGAGCGGGCTGACTGACAGGCAGACAGATGCAGACACTGGGTCAGTAGAGTTTGAAATTTAATATCTGGCCTATGGAATGCTTCAGGTTGCCATTGTTTAACTTGTAGTTGCATCTGAAAACTCCTTTCATCCCGTTTGTTCTGGGAATGAACACACATTCTTACTGAGTGAATGACAACGGGCTCTGTCTTTGAACAGCTCTACATCTGTTTCTTCACCCGGGGAAACGATGCCCAGAAGTGATAGCGCTGATAGCCAGTCTCAGGCCATACAGGAAGAGCCTCTCCCCTCCACAAGCAATGACGAAGAGGATCCACTTGCAGGTAAATCAGATTTGATCCGTTACGTCTTTGATTCACTTATAAAACAGGAGAGACGGGTACATCATACGCTTTTGTCATTTTGAATAATGTTTTTTCTCAACAGGCATCAGTTTGCCAGAGGGCGTTGATCCATCCTTCTTGGCAGCACTTCCTGAGGACATCCGCCGAGAAGTGCTGCAAAATCAGCTTGGTATTAGACCCCCCTCTCGCCCTCCTGCTGTCACCACCCTACCATCTTCTACAGCACCTGTACTTGGGGGACCAGGGGTTACAGAAGTCAGCCCTGAGTTCCTGGCAGCACTGCCACCTGCCATCCAGGAAGAGGTGAGAAAAACTGAGAGAGATTACATTAGGCAAAGTGCCCTTTTTTTTTTTTTATTCGGTCAAGAAATAATTGATAATTGGGACTTTTCACAACACATAAAATTGCTTTCCAAGGTTCTTGCCCAGCAACGAGCCGAGCAGCAGCGACGAGAGCTAGCCCAGCAGCCCCCACAGGGAGACACTCCCCTGGATCCAGTCACCTTTATTCAGACTCTGCCCTCAGAGCTTCGTCGGAGTGTTCTCGAGGACATGGAGGACAGCGTGCTGGCTGTCATGCCCCCAGATATTGCAGCTGAAGCAGCTGCGTTACGTAGGGAGCAAGAGGCACGTCAGAGGCAGCTGATGCATGAAAGGCTGTTTGGTCATAGCTCTTCTTCAGCCCTCTCAGCCATCTTGCGCTCCCCAGCATTCACCAGTCGGCTTGGGAGCAATCGTGGCGTCCAGTACACCCGACTGGCTGTCCAGAGAGGAGGGACATTTCAAATGGGTGGAGGAACAAACCATAGGTAAGCCCTGTTCAGAAGCCTTTTGAGATTTTACTGTTGCTGAAAATGTCAGAATTTATGTAAGGTTCTATTGGAACAAAAACGACACTCATTAGGATGTTTTTGTTTCCTCAGACCATCCAGTTCAAGTGTTGATTCTTTGTTGCGTCTGCGTGGACGGTTGCTGCTGGACCACGAGGCTTTGTCCTGCCTGCTGGTTTTGCTGTTCGTAGACGAACCAAAGCTTAACACCAGCCGTCTTCACCGTGTGCTCAGGAACCTTTGCTACCATTCTCAAACACGTGGGTGGGTCATTCGCAGCCTCTTATCCATTCTCCAACGCAGCAGTGAGAGTGAGGTATGTGTGGAGACTTCACGACTCGAGGACTCGCGTGGCAAGAGAAGTGCTCATGGAGGCTGTGGAGGAAAAGGTTCTGCCGCTTCCTCTCTCTCCTCTTCATCCTCGTCCTCCTCCATAGAGCTGTTGAACAGGGTGGAGTCGCGTAGCTCCAGCCAGCTTTCCTGGCTTTCAGTGTCTATGGATGCAGCCTTGGGCTGTCGGACAAACATATTCCAGATTCAGCGCGCATCGGGTAGGAAGCATGCTGATAGGCATTCAGCTGGGGGCTCCACCGGATCTGGAACCCTGGGAGGGGGAGTGTCAGGCCCAACAACTGGTGTTACATGTGCTGGAGGTGGAGGCTCCACAGTTCACATTCACCCTCAAGCTGCTCCAGTGGTCTGTCGACATGTGTTGGACACACTCATCCAGCTAGCAAAGGTGAGGGTCTAGATTCATGTCCGTCATCATAAATGTGTTGTAAGAGTCTCTTGTGAAATGGTTCCCTAATTATCCCCCTTGTTCTGACCTGCAGGTTTTCCCCAGCCACTTCACCCAACAACGGTGTAAGGATTTGTCAGGTTCATCTTCAGACCTGGACTCTCGTCTTTGTTCAGGTGCCTCAGGAGGAGGGAGCGGAGGTGGGGGCTCTAGGTCAGGGTCTCAGAACAACCCTAATGCCGCCAACACCCAGAATTCCTTTGGGTCTTCGTCCCTGACTCCGCAGTCTCTGGGCATCTCTACAGATTTTTGGGACCTGCTTGTCAAACTTGACAACATGAATGTCAGCCGAAAAGGCAAAGCCTCCATGAAGATGGTGCCGCTTGGTGGCAGTGCAGAAGCAGAGGGTGCACAGTTCAGTTTAGAGACCTCACCTCTTGGCCAGCTGATGAACATGCTGTCTCATCCCGTCATCAGGCGCAGCTCCTTGCTCACTGAAAAGCTTCTGCGCCTGCTGTCCCTCATATCTATTGCCCTACCTGACAACAAGGCCACCGAGGTGCCAGCTGGACACCCCACCCCACAGGCTGCCAACCCCAACACGGCAAGCTCAGGAGCCACAGTCTCAGTCACAACACAGGGCATGGCATCAATTGGCTCTGTCCAGCCCACTGTAACAACTTCAGGAGCTTCTGTAGGAGCTGCAAGCCAGGGTACATCCTCAGGGACAAGTCTCGCAACCTCCCAAACATCCTCTACTACAGTCTGTATACCAACGTCCACTGGTACAACATCCACAGGTTCTGCCTCTTACTCTAAATTAAAATGATTTAAACTTAATAGTGCAACAAATTTTACTTTAAAGTAACTCTGTATATTTTGGGGCTGTTTTTTATCAAAGCAGGAAAACAAAGGGGTACTACTGGCATTACAGAGATTGACAAGATGGCTTCCACAGGACTTACAGAGAAACAGCTTCAACTGTCTGTGGAGGTATGAATTGCAAACAATAAGCTGCCTCAAGCAAACATCATAACTTTGTATTAATATTCCTCTCCTCCGGGAAAAATGTGGGTCGTGAAGTCCTTCCCTGTTGCTAAATTTAAAAACATTAAGTCCAAATATTCATACTTAGAATCGGTGACTGTCTACAGACTAAAAGGAGAAATTGAGATCATGAATGATGGTGTATTTAGAATTTGAGTTGAGCCCCACATTGAAGTTTTGTGGCTGCTGGTGATGAGCAATTTGAGCTTAGTTTTTTTAAACTCTCATAACTAAACATGTTTATCCAAAAAGCATTCTAAAGCTGGATTATCGTCAGTTACCAACACCCGAACAATTTCTAATCAATCCATCTTTTCTGCAGTTTGACACATGCGTTTTTCTCTTCTCGCACAAGGTGCTGACATCTCACTCGTGCTCAGAGGAGGGCTTGGAGGATGCTGCTAACATTCTGCTGCAGTTATCCAGAGGAGACTGTCCCACCAGGGACACAGTGCTCAGGCTGCTACTCAGTGGGGCCAGACACCTTGGATACACTCTGTGCAAACAGATCGGTCAGTTTGGGGAATTTGTGAAGATGCTACAAGGTGTCTCTTATACACATAGATTTCTATTTTTCCTTCACAAATTAAACATGTTTTTCCTTTCAGGCACATTACTGGCTGAACTCAGAGAGTACAACTTGGAGCAGCAGAGACGGGCACAAGCTGACTCGCATTCCCCTGATGCACCTCCTGAGGAGTCCTCCATATCGGGCAGATTAAAGGGCAAGATGACCAGCAGGTTTGAATTTATGATTCTTCTCAGCTCGCTGGCAATAGGCCATGAGCACTTAAAGTTTCAGACAAGAGTCTGACATGAACTAAAGATGATTGTTCATTTAACAATAATCTCTTCTCTACTGTGACTTTGAATATAGGTTGTCAGTCACTTTATTTTCTTTGGACGTGTTTGTATTTATTGGTTTGGGCACAGGTTTGATGGGGCAGAGAGTGTTGTGATTGTGGCCGCGCAGAAGCGGACACTGGGGGGACGAGAACTGCAGCTACCTTGTATGAGCTCGCTAACGTCCAAGACTTCAACGCAAAAGTTTTTCCTGCGGGTGCTTCAAGTTATCATCCAGCTACGTGAAGACACACGACGAGCCAACAAAAAAGCCAAACAGACAGGGCGATTAGGTAAGAAGAGTAAAGAAAATGCACTTTATTACTAATTTGCCGTTACATGGTGTTCAAAAATTGATAAATTTTCTTAAATGCCAGGCTCCAGCAGTTTGGGCTCAGCCAGTAGTATCCAGGCTGCCGTGCGTCAGCTGGAAGCAGAAGCTGATGCCATCATCCAGATGGTGAGAGAGGGGCAACGTGCACGTCGTCTCCAACAGGCACCCCCACCCACCGCCCCCTCTGCCGCCGTTGCTGCCGGAACCTCAGTGGCTGCCCCCCATGCTCCCGCTGGTGCTGCTCCCCCTGCTGGCACGGCTGCTGCTGCCACGGTTAGCATGGGCTGCACTGACAGCAGGCATACTCTTACTCACACACTGCACACATGTACAGCAGAAGACCCATTTGAATGATGGGCAAAAAAAAGGTTGCAGTGTACGAGCATCACAGTTATTCAGAGTTACTGTGATGGTCAACACAATAGATATGAAATGGCAGTTAACCACCAACTTATTTTCTCATGTCTGATGTGACCACAGCTGGACTGGCTAAATGCATATTTGGATAATAAGCAAAGTCTTCAATCTGAATTCAGATCTGTCTTAAAACTAAATATGCTGCAGTGTGCTGCCACCCTCAGTCATGTATGCTTTGTGTGCTCACATAATGAACATTGACTGACTCAGCAAATGTGCCAGTGATACATTGCATTGTGTATTAGTGTGTTTGCATTGACTTATACCGCTGTCGTAAAAATGTGAATGTTCTGCCTGCTGTACTGATGATGATGTTTGCTGGCTGATCTGGCTTCATGCTTCTTCCCATTACCCCTTCCCTAAATCATGGGAATGACATTTTGCATGGCAGTCCAAGCTGCATTCCTGTAAAAACAGATACCTTTAGGTTTATCTTTCTATTCATCCCTGTTGCTTATCCTCCATCTGGTTTGTTGTCTATAGTCTGAAGTGCAGTCTGCACCCGAAGCCCAGGCAGCACAGAGGGATGATTCTCCAATGGATGTAGACCAACCATCTCCTCTGGAGCAGGACCCTGCCCCTCTGGGTATGATTCACCTCTACCAGAACCTCGTATCCATTTTTTTTTCTTAGTACAAAATATAAAAGCTGTTAACATGGATCCCATCATATTGTAAACAGCACAAACAGGGCTCTAAACTTGCTGCAGCTTTGTGCATTGTAGCTCATTAGTTGAAGATATTTGATGTTTTTTTTGTTAATGGCTTTGATGGCTGTCAGCTGTATCAAAGACAGCAAATTAGGCACTTCTTTACAAACTCTGGAGCAGTGGAACGGGCAAAAACATATTTTAAATGCCAGTTTGTTTGTTTGTTTGTTTTTTTTTTTTTTTTTTTTTTTTTTTTAGATGAAGATGGAAGTGGTCAGTTGGAGAGTGAGGAGAAACTTCCAGACCTGCCTCTGCTCAGTGAGCAGCTGCTGCTGGACGAATTATGGGACATGCTCGGGGAGTGCCTAAAAGAGCTGGAAGAGTCACATGACCAGCATGCCGTGCTAGGTATGTCAAATTGATTTTAATTGAATATCCTCGCTATGTTTTTTGTTAGTATGTTTAGTTTTTCTGTAAATTATATTTTTGTCCCTGCAGTACTCCAGCCCGCTGTGGAGGCCTTCTTTCTGGTTCATGCCACTGAGCGTGAGAGCAAACCTCCTGTTAGGGACACCCGGGAGAGCCAGCTTTCTCACATCAAAGATGAACCTCCACCACTATCCCCAGCTCCCCTTACCCCCGCTACACCCTCATCCTTAGACCCGTTCTTCTCTAGGGAGCCATCCTCCATGCATATCTCTTCAAATCTGCCACCAGACACTCAGAAATTCCTCCGGTTTGCAGGTTGGACTGAAATACATGTTGCATAGTTTGTTTTGGTTTTATAGTTTTTGATCCATCTGATCCATCTGCTCCTATTTTTTTGTGTGTAGAAACTCACCGCACCGTGCTTAATCAGATCCTGCGACAGTCCACCACGCACTTAGCTGATGGGCCTTTTGCAGTTCTCGTTGACTACATTCGCATCCTGGACTTTGACGTCAAGAGAAAGTAAGGGGGATTATTCTACCTTCCTCCAGTGTTTCATCATTCACACTTTAAGTCACTCATGGCTTTTCTGTTAATCTTTGCAGGTATTTCCGCCAGGAGTTGGAGCGACTGGACGAGGGGCTGAGGAAGGAGGATATGGCTGTGCACGTGAGACGAGATCATGTGTTTGAAGACTCCTACAGGGAGCTGCATCGCAAGAGCCCAGAGGACATGAAGAACAGGCTGTAAGGGTGGATTCCTGCTCTTTTTCCATGTGTTTTTTTCACTTCACAAACACTCAACCCAGATTCCGCTCCCCCTCTGTCACAGGTACATTGTATTTGAAGGAGAGGAGGGCCAGGACGCTGGTGGCCTGCTGAGGGAATGGTACATGATAATCTCCCGGGAGATGTTCAACCCCATGTATGCCTTGTTCCGCACGTCACCAGGGGACCGTGTTACCTACACCATAAACCCCTCGTCCCACTGCAATCCCAACCACCTCAGCTACTTCAAGTTTGTTGGTCGTGTTGTGGCCAAAGCAGTCTATGACAACAGGCTACTGGAGTGCTACTTCACCCGCAGCTTCTACAAGCACATCCTGGGCAAGAGTGTCAGGTATATGGGCCCTCAGCGCTCCCACAAAGTATCACAATTGCTCATAACATGGTTGGAATAGCTTGTTCATTTCAACCAAGCGTTTGTTATTTCGATAATGTAAACATCTGAGATCTGTTTAGCTGTGTTTTTCCACCCTCTGCTTTGACACATCCATGGTTTCAACAGGTATACAGACATGGAAAGCGAGGACTACCCATTCTTCCAGGGGTTGGTGTACTTGTTGGAGAACGACGTGTCGACACTGGGCTATGAGCTGACGTTCAGCACAGAGGTTTGTGTCTTTAACCATTTCAGATTCTTTATCTTTTTTCACTTTATTTTTTACATTTGATGTCCAAACTGGGGAGGGCTACTGTCATCTGTCACTAAAATAATGTGGCTGTGATTTGCAGGTCCAGGAGTTTGGAGTTTGTGAAGTAAGAGACCTTAAGCCCAATGGCGCCAATATTCTGGTGACAGAGGAAAACAAAAAGGAGTACGTGCACCTGGTGTGCCAGATGAAGATGACAGGTGAGATTCGAATTTAGTTCCTAAATAAGCATTACTGCTGAATTCAGATTAATTGGTGCAATCAGCTTTAAGCACCACAATTGGTAAATCTGGATTGAACCACCTGGGGGCAGTACTGGGATTTAGAATCACATGCAGTCCTCAGCAGTCTCAGCAGCTGGAACCCTCCAGCTGCTTCTCCTCTACATCAGCCTCTGAAGCTTTGAATTTTAACCTACTCATTAAAACAAAATGGCAGAATGCCATGAGCTGATTCCCAAAGTTGATTCTGCCTCTTTCCCATTGGATTTATTTGTTTACTTTTTTTGTAGGCGCAATCCGCAAACAGCTGGCCGCCTTCCTGGAAGGATTCTATGAGATCATCCCCAAGAGGCTGATTTCCATCTTCACTGAGCAAGAGCTGGAGCTGCTAATCTCTGGCCTGCCTACAATTGACATTGATGACCTAAAGGCCAACACTGAATATCATAAATACCAGTCCAGCTCCATCCAGGTATGAATGAGTTAACACATATAAAATAACTGGTAATAACTGATGATGCTGAAAATTGGATGTTTAAATGGAAGAAGTGTATTCTCAGATGTTTAAAAGATTTGCCCAGCATAGTTCAGTTAAATCACATTTTCAACTCTGTCAAACCTATTTTTTTGAATGATGTTTATTTCTGGAACATTCCAAGTAAAATACAGAAAAAGGACCCCTCAAGATGAACTTTCCATGTCAGTGGTCTCAGGCATGTCTGTAGCAAACATCACTGCTTCCCTTTTTGCAGACCAAGTGTTTCTGAGCTCCTTTGTTCACTCCCAAACTGCAGATCCAGTGGTTCTGGAGGGCTTTGCGGTCCTTTGACCAGGCAGACCGGGCCAAGTTCCTACAATTTGTCACTGGTACATCAAAGGTTCCGCTCCAGGGTTTTGCTGCTCTGGAAGGCATGAACGGCATCCAGAAGTTCCAAATCCACCGTGATGATCGATCAACTGACCGCCTGCCATCTGCTCATACCTGGTAAACGCAGTGCAAGTTCACAGAATGTGTGGGTGGACTTGACTAAATGATAAAACTTGCAAGAAATCTAACGTATATGAAATGTATTCTTTTCCTTTCTCCACCCTCAGCTTTAACCAGCTGGACCTTCCAGCTTATGAGAGCTATGAGAAGCTGAGACACATGCTGCTGTTGGCCATTCAGGAATGCTCAGAGGGATTCGGACTGGCTTAAACCATGAGACTTTTAACACACACACATGCATACACTTAATTTAGATTTGCCTACTCCTGACACATTCACACCGATAACCTCTGAACGCACGCACACACACACTATCATCAACATTACTGGATTACTTGTTGAATGGCCTAGTCTTGCTGGTTTCTATTCCATATAAAACCGATAAAACCAGCAAGGGAAATAGACTGATTGACATTGCATACAACACAGAGAGCCTCATTTGACACAAATGTGTCTCCCTTCCCAATTTACAGTAAATGCAATGGGGAATTCAGAGGATAAAACATGGACTAATATAAGAGATGTTTTCTTCATTTAGTTTGATTTCTCTGTACAAAAGGTTTGGGAGTTTATTATGTTAAATCTTTTTTTTTTTTGTTCTCTGGCTGTGTAAAAAGAAAAAAAAGAATGTTGTTTGAACAGGATGGTTATAAAACCTTTGGGGAAAAATGTTGGTGGTTTCCTGTTGCGAATTTGTGACCTCACAAGCCTTGACAATGGGGAGCATTTTTATGAAAGACTTGAGATGTTTTGGTGATATCCACAAAAATGCACTTTTCAAAGTTTTGTGGCATTTTTAAGGAAGGATGGTACAAAAAAAATGAAGAGAAACCCTGAAGGTAAAAATAACCATAAATTCTAGAGTATTTTTGGCTATTAAATCGCTGACCCAGCCTTGAGCCTTTGAATCAGAGTGGAATAACTACATGAATAAATGCATAAAATTTCGTTCATTGTCTCTTTAACAGTCTTTCAGCCGTTATTTCCAGTGAACTCTCAAAATTCAATGCGATCATTTAAAATCTGTTTGGACAGTCACCTGTTGACTGATGTTAATCCTGCAGAGCACACCGGCAATTCCAGCAAATCATTTTGATGTCTTCAGTAGCAGATGTGTTGAAACGGTCTCTTTGAGGAGCCCTTTGATGCTGCAGCCTTCATGATGTCACAGCCCTCGGTGTGTCCCCCCCCCCTTCAGTCTTCATTACTGATGAAATGAAGATGACAGTGCTGATGGGGTGATGTAATCACAGGTTTCATCAACACTTCATGGCTGCAAATAGACCTGTGCTAAGGCAGACATTTTTGGCTCGTATCAAAGTCTGGGGGGGGTTAAATGAAAATGTGACAAAACCGCCTTGATGAGAGAACCTCTCGCTGTGAATGTCGTAAAGGGAGGTGCGACATGATTCTCTGTGTACTTTCAAAGCCTGAGAGCCCGAATCCACCACTTTGAGCCTCTGCTTTTGATGAGTAAACTGTGGAGGAAAGCTGTAGTGAGGAGTGTTCATGATTTAGCCTCATTTAGCATTTGATTCAAAAGACGGTAGCAAGACATTGTCAGAACTATTTATCTTTTCAGAAAGTGAAAGCTTTTTCAAATCGGTTAACTGGCACCAGAGAACAGTCAGCTTTGAAGTGGAAATTTTTATTTGTATTTTTTTCAAAGGATGCAAATAATTTAAGTGTACAAACATGGAGTTTATTTGTATCAGATAATCGCAGTGTACATTTGATGTTCACAGAAAATCCTTCTGTTAGAACATGTCTCTGATCTTCCTGATAAGCCACACTGTGACAAATGAAAGATCAAGATATTACTTATTCATCAGATTTACTTCATGCAAAGTCTTTTTTGTATTAGTTTTTTAAATTTAAAAACACTGGGTTTCTTTTACACCTGTTCAACTGCTCGTTAATACAAACAGATAATCAGCCAATCACATGGCCCGAACTTGATGAAGGTAGAGGCAGTCAAGGCGGCTTGCTGAAGTTTAACCCAAACACGAATGGACTTAACAAATGTGTTCTTTTTTTTTTTTTAAAGGGCGGGTCACGTCTTATGTTTTTTCCAAAAAATCAGTTGACAGCAGGTTGTTTAACATGCAACAGGAAAACATGTTGGATCCTCAGTAACGAGTCTGACATGAACACAGCAGAAAAACCTTTTGGATGCATAAAACCGAGCTCTTTTAATGGTTTTCTTGTGGGACATTATTTATTCAGGGGAGGGCCTGGAAACGTACAAATCTGCATGACTGATGTCCACACAAATTCCTTTTGTTAGAGAATGATTGATCTGTGATCCTCCTGTTTAGCATCACTGTGTCGACTCAAGGGGTGGTGGCCTATAAATCAGATCAGGATCAAGATGATATCACACACATACTAATTTCCTGCAAGGATTTAATGGTGTTGGTTCATGAAAATACAAATGTATTATCCCCCCTTCTGTATCCGTCTCACTCAGCGTTCCTTACAGGCTCTAGATCTGCTCCAAGTTCCTTTTTGATAAAAGACGCCAAGCATATATCCACTTCTCCATATAGTTAAGCAGCTCTCCTGTAACACTCCTCTTTAGTTAACTAACAAAATCCTAACTGTCAGCGGGGGATTTGGAGATCATCATTTTGCAGAAGTTGTTTTTGCCACAATGCCCAGTGTTGTCTTCCTGGTTTTCCCCCCCGCTTAAGCCCTCGCATGCCTGCACCTGTCCACCCCTCTTTCTCTCTCAATCGTCCCATGTGTGTGCACCTTCTTTTAACCCCTCTCGCGTGCTGAATTTGTTCCACTCCAGGACCCCCTACAGCAGTGGCAATCGAACTGAACCCACCCACCCGCCAATGTTTGTCTCCTGCCCCCTGACCCTCCCCCACCGCGGCCCGCGCAGAAAAAAACCTGCTCACGCCCACGGAAGAATAGAGAGCGTCCATGTCTGATTTGCGGCGTGCTGAGGCGTGATAAATGAAATTACAGTGCTGTCATGCGGAGACCTCCGGGCCTTCCCTGAGACCTGGTTCTGGGCCGCCACATCGCCTCATGTCTGGGACGCGCAAGGTTTACCCCTCATTCAAGTATTCTAGAAGCATCTGTTGCTGTGGTGAGGCTTTGCTTTTCATCTGCAGGGGATTGCTCACAATGTGAGTTAACCACCCTTAAATCAGTCTGAGACTCACAGTGGCTCTCAGCAAACTCCAGCTGGGTTTGGACGTGTCAGCAATCCTGTCCTTTGGCTTGAGGATCCTTAGTTTCCTGTTTTTCACATCTTTTCGGGAAACATTTAAATGCTGACTGTGGCTGTAATTTAAACCTCCAGATTGTTGTCCTTTTCGATTTTTGCATATTACAAGCTGAGATACAGGTTTTGGTTTGTTGGAATTGTCCAAATCCAATCCAGTGCGTTTGTTGTTTACTGTATTAGTTGACGATGTTGTGCAAGGATAATTGGATTCCATTTTCATCATTGATAGGGAGGAAGGAAAGAAGCTCAGTGGAGTGAATTAATAATGACTACTTTGTGTATGAGAAAGAAAGCTTTCAGTCTCTCTAGTTCACTGCCGCTCCCTTCAGAGAATGTGTGATAAATCACTTTTATTACTTTTCAAATTAAGACATTTTTAGAATTTTTTTCCGTTTGTATTTGGGGGTTTTTTGTGCCCAAATGGGCAAAAGATCTAAATCAGTTAATCAAAATAGCCGTTTTTTACTTTTTACATTGTTTCTAATTTATTCTGGATTAAATTGATGGTGTTTAACCCTTTCTTTAACATTCTCCCAGTCACTCCAGATGGTCTTTCTTGCCAGTCTAAGTTTGATGTAGACCAAATCACATAAAATCCACTTTAACTGACAAATATTTGCACTGTGAAGGCAAAACATTCACTGTTTAATCATGGCTGAAACTCTAAATATAAAGCACTCTGGTGGAAGATTTCAAATCAAATGTAAAGGTTCTGTGCTCTCTCACATTCTATATTTAATGCTTTTGGTAGCATTTGTGAATTGTTGTGTCAGAGGTTTGCTTGATATATGAAGGTGGACAGGAGCAGCCCCCAGTTTTGACAGCCAGGCGACAACTTAGAAAAGGTGTTATGTGATGTTTTGGAAGTGTCTGGGGTGTCATCACCTCCTCATTAGGCTGCCGTCTCTGCTCTGCCTGTGAGCTCTGCTTCTGCAGGAGGGAGCAGCCAGACCGGCCTCTGCTGCTTTCAGCAAAACCCTGTTTGCGTGTCTTTAGGAAATGGAAAAAAAAAAAAAAAACTAAAACAAAACAGGTGGGCTAAAAGCTGGACTCAGGTGTGTTGAAGCTCAGCAGAAGCACTGAGGCCGTATCCAAACTGGAACTGACAAGTCCGCCTACTGGAAAGGTCACAGTCCTTATTACCTCTGCGTTTCCAGGCCTCCGTGGTCGCTCGCCGTCCGCCGCTTTGCCTCAGCCCCCCCCCCCCCCTCCAGCCCCGGCTTCACCTCCCCTCAGAGGCACAGCGGTGGGCACCTCGTGGCATTTTAGAGGAGACAAGCCACGGCATGGAATTCAGCCTCATCACTTCAGAGATCACGAAATGTGGTCAGCTACTGAGGGCTATCGTTTGGAGGTCCGATGGGATGGAAAGTAATGGCCACTGAAAGACGAGATGGCCCCTATTTATCCAGTGTCAATAAAACGGAAAGACCCTCATGTAAACAGGCCCCACATGTTTACATGTCAGTTAGTTTCACAATATGATTAAATAAATGTACAAAATGAATCATGTAATCTTTAAGAAGATAAGAATTATATGTAGAGGCAAAAAAAAAGCTAATTCCACTCTATGGCTGATTCTAAAACCTTAATTGCAGTGGTAAAGAATGAGTAAATTCCCATTTCCGCTCTACGACTGCCCACAGTTTTCCTCTCTGGGGGAAAACGGCACCGTCTCTGTCATGGAGCTCTAACCTCTGGTGAGTCTTGTTTGTTTGAGGCTGACTTGGAGCCATTTACCTACCGTTAACATGCCTAATGAGATCTGCCCTGCTCTGTGAATTGCTGGTCATATTTAAAAGCCAGGCATGGCAGGAAACTAAATCAGAGTCATTCCCCTTCAATTAGTGAGTGATTAACGCCAGGTCAGAAACGTCTGATTGACCTTCTGCCCGCTGACTGACTTCAGGCAGATCAATGGAGCTGGATGTAGGAGAAAAACAGTCCACTTCTCACTCATAGATCTGCT